CCCCCCCCCCCCCCACCCCAAAAAACAAAACAAAACAAAACAAAACAAAATCAGATTCAGGAGGATCACACAGTTGCCGAAGTCGCGCCAAATTCTCCAGGATCACTTCCTTCCCCTTATCGACTTGCCCTTGATCGCCCTCATTTAGCAACTCTTTCCATCTTTGCATCAGAGCAACGACCTTTTACACCACCTGCAAAGGAGATTTGATCAAAATGTTTTCAAAAACCCAGTCATTTCTAGTGAGCCAAATCGTCCAAATACACGCCGCAACTACAAACACGCCCAAGACCCTTCCCAATTTCTTTTTAGCCAAGCGCGAAGCATCCCCCAAATTCCCAGGAACCAAATCCAAGCCCACAGACTCTTTTATTACACACCACACAACATTAGCAATAGAGCAATTAAACAACACATGGCTTGTTTCCCTTTTCCCACAGAGTTTACAGAATCCATCACCCCCTCCCCCCTCCCAGGCTCCCACTTCTTTTTGACCAATTCCACAGAACAAGGAATTTTCCCTCTCAAAGCTAAAAGACAGTTTTTAATCTTAAGAGGTACTTTACTTTGCCACACATCCTGCATTTCTGCATCAATAACCCCTCCAAAACTTAACAATCTATACATGGACCTAGCATTGTACTCCCCCTTCCTCCCAGCAGGCCAAATGATCCTATCACAGTCTGAAGTGATGTCAACAGCCCTCAACTTATTCTGAAGATCCTGCAGCTCCAACAAACTCCCCCCACACAAATGTCTTCTAAAACTTAGATCCCATTTCCCCCTGTCCCAGACCTGCCTAACAGTCTTCCCGCACTGCAAACTGACCCCATACAGGCCTGGGTATTGCACTCTAAGAGGAGTTTGCCCATACCACACATCCTCCCAGAACAAAGTATAATTCCCATCCCCCACTTTTTTCTCCATAAACAGTTGCACCCATTTTTTACAGTATGAACAATATGAAAAGAGAGCTATCAAACAGGTGCCTCATCGTCTTAGTAGAACAGGCACCCTGCAGACAAGTGCAGACAAGTGCCAGGATAAAACGGTTTTTACACAGCAAAGCAACAGACGACATATTCACCAGTTAAACACGTTTCAGCATTTCTCTCCGTACGCATAAGAACTCTTCAAGCTTCTGTGCCTCATCAGGCGTTTCTTTGACCGCCATAATGTTTCTTTCAACCTCCTCGCCCTATCTCTCTGCGAATTTACAAGTTGCAGGAAAATCAAATTTGATTATTGTAGAATCTTCTGCCATCACCATAATATATGCATGGATCACCTCACAACATCACCACCAATTCACCATAACACATGGAAAAGTACAAGATCAACTTTATCATATAGAGAAGTATATGCTACTGTACACAATGTGCATACTACATTCACTGCTACAATTTCTTGAAACTAACCAAGCTTAAGTTGTCAACTGTACATTTGAGTTTATTTTAGAAATTCATTACCAGTCCAATTCATTCTCTTATTTGTCCCTGAAGCTCATATTTATTTGTTGAATGATCGTAATATTTTTAGGTGCAAATGATTTAGAAAATGTAATACCTTGCCCTTTGCAGTAATTCCCAGTGCAATGGCCCTGTAGTCATGTTAAATGCACCGGGGTAGCATATCAAATGAGCACCTGCAATGAACAGAAGAGCCTTTGTGTATTTTTACACTTCCATCCATTTCCACATGAACAACAAACAACAGCAAGTTCTTTCTTTTATGCATTCACACATGCCAATAGTAACTTGGAATCGGAAAATGTATGAAAGCACAACAGAACCGATTACATTTTACTAGCAGTTTTAGAAACTTGGATATGTATCCATTACATGTACACGGTAGTTCAGTACTTGATTAGTTGCCACGAATCTAATACAGTGAAATTTTATACTCCCTCCGTCAGAAGCAAAATACAGCACCGAGGTAAAAATTTTCAGAACGTGCTACATTCACTGCTACAATTTCTTGAAACTAACCAAGTTTAAAGTTATTAAACATGTAGCCAAATAGTCTCTGGTCAATTATCAGCTAGTTTATTCAAGAACTCACTGCAAAAGTTGTCATATTATCAGCTTCAGACCTAGTACTATAACGTTTTGAGATTTCTGAACAAACAACATTGCAACTTCAGATTTTATATTTCAGAACAAGCACCAATAAATTTTCAGATTCATACCTATTACCTAAGGTTTGAAATTTCAGAACAACCACTAGTACAAGTTCAGATTTGTAAAAAAAACATGTTCGACTATTCAAAACATTACAATTTCAGAACTTCAGTTTTCAGAAGGAAATTTCATATTTCAGGACATTGCTAGAATTCAGATTGACAGCAACTTCAGATCAATTATAAGATCAATTTACACGCTAGCAGCTTACAGTACCAATCTAACGACGTATATAGCATCAAATTAAATCTATCACAGATCACACCATTAAGAACATTCCTTACTTTCTCTAAACAATTGCACACAGCAGAACTTTAACCTAGTAACATAATAAATTGATTATGAAAATAGATAATCTTGCTCAAGAAGAGGTCTTCCGAAAGAAAAATCCAAAGCAAAATGCTTCATTACCTGAATCAAATGCGTAGGTGTCGACTCCAAATACAGAACTAATGCAGGCAAGCGGTTAGCGAGGAGGAGGGAAGAAAGCCGGCTGCAGGGGAGGGAGGAGAGCCGGCCAGGGGAGGGCAGAGAGCTGGCCAGCGAGGAGGGCAGCGATGTGACCGGGGGAGGGTAGACAGGCGGCCGCCGGGAGGGGAGGAGGGGGGCGGCGGCGACGAGGGCCGGGGGAGGGCAGCGAGGGGAGAGCAGCAATGAGACCGGGGAAAGCGGAGAGGCGGCCGACGGGGAGGGCAACGACATGGCCGGCGGCGAGAGTTTGATTCTCACGGTGGAGGGGCGGCGCGCCGGCGGCACCGGGTCGCAGGGGATGAGGGGAAGGTGGAGATGGAGGATACGCGACGCGCAGCGCAGATGACGGCTGGATGAGAGGATTGCGGGACGTGAACAGGAAGATTGGAACGCGAAGTTACCGTAATACCCTTCCACCAAAATTAAGAGAAAGACTAAAATGTCCCGGAAAATCAACGGTCGGATATGATCCTACTAACACTAGAGATATTTAACCATTTGCCACATTTAGATGTGGTAATTAATTTTTTGCCACTGGACCCACATGTTATAGACACATGTGAACCCACATGTCATTGAGATAGGGGTGGCAAATAGTTATTTGCCAAATCTAAAAGTGGCAAATAGTTAAAAGCCCCGATTCACCAGGCTCTGTATGACAGGAAATCAACTAGAGAAGGCAAGTGTCGTTTATAAGCATATTTAACTAGTTACATGCACAAATTTTGACAATGAACCGTGTCTGATATATATGATACAATACCAGAAGAAACTATGAGGTAAGTGATACATATGATACAATACCAGGATTATTTGGATCACTACATAGGGGTTTATTCGTGATCTCTGCATGACATCATCAATTAATAAAAGCCCTAGTGCTACCGATTTTTTCAGAATTTTGAATTTTTTTTTAGCTCATTGGAATGGATGCCACGTTGTCCTTTTCTGAAGCAGGGCTTCTCAATTGGGTGAGGGGAACTAGCAGCACACCATTCAAGCGGTCACGGTGCTGTTCCCCTTACGCATGTGGTCCCCTTTTGTCCGGATATGGCGGTGGGTGCATGCATGCATGCAGGACACGCGCGCAGCACACCCATACATCCCCGAAGAAAAAGGCGTGTGGTGATATTTTTGCAAAAGAAAACTCCTTGAATTTACACTGAATAGCGCATATACCCTCGAATATACAATAATATTCCCTCCGTTTCAGGTTATGAGATGTTTTGACTTTGGTCAAAGTCAAACTTGACCAAATTTATGGAAAAATAGTAACATTTTCAACTCAAGACAAATTTATTATGAAAATATATTCAATTATTGATTTGATGACACTAATTTAGTAATGTAAATATTACTATGTTTGTCTATATACTTAGTCAAATTTAAAATAGTTTGACTTTAAACAAAATCAAAATGTCTTATAACCTAAAACGGAGGAAGTAACTAATAGGTGATAAATATGTAGTAGGACACAGCCCGAAATCACCATTTTCTTCCCAGAATCTTGTCAATGTTCCAACTGTAATCTCTCTAGGCGGTTCCATCCATCAAGCTGCGACATGAAGTATTGGCTCAGGAAATCACGGTAACTGATTGATCTGTAATTCACTTTACCATCTTTCACAAACTCCGGCAGAGGGCTGGTCATCATATCCTTGCGCGCATAGTTGAACAACGCCGCTGAAAGACGTTCTTTGTTTGGATGTATCACAGCCCTGTGCTCAACGCTTCTGAACTTTCCGTTACTCAGGATCTGCAGATGTTAAATAGCACATCACCTATATATCATCAGGAAAGATGGTACAGAAGCAGACAAGTAGTGACAACTGAGGTTGTTGTCAGCATCTCGATATATACACTGATCTGATCTCACTGTATATCCAATTTTAATACTATATCTGTTCTAGAATACTTGTCGCTTTGAGTTTTTATTTGGAACTTTTGATCTTTCGTCTTATTCAAAACATTATGAAATCATTATTTGTTTTGTTTGTGATTTGTTTTATTATCAAAAATATTTTAAGTATAACTTCTCCATTTTTATATTTACACTTATTTTTCAAATAAGACGAATGGTCAAACGTTAAAAAAAGTCAAAGCAACTACTAATTTGGGATGGAGGTAGTAGTACCCCTCAAATTTTAGGGAAAATTTGAACCATGCCACACAAATTTTGCAAAATTTGTGATATGCCACCCTGACCCACATGTCGTTGACTCATGTGGGTCCTACATATCATTGAGATACGGGTGGCATATCACAAATTTTGCAAAATTAGGATGGCATGGTTCCAACAAACCCATAATATTATGTAAGAGTTCCCATACAATACAATAATATGGTGGTAGGATCTTACGCATGATTCCGATTCTACGATCCTACGTAAGTATTATGGTTCGTATCATGATCTGAACTAAATTACCCTTAAAGACATGGTGGGTAACTTATTTAATTAACAAATAGATCATTTAAAGAAATATCCATATAAGTGAATGGTCAGATTTTATCCATACTAGTATCTCTTATTGTGCACAGTAAAAGAACTCTCTTTAAAACAAAGGTGGATTGAAAATAATGTTAATAAGGAAGCTAAAGTTTATAGAATACCATTTAAACTTATTAATAACAATATTTTTGCAGCATACTACAAATCTTTTTAGAAAAATATATACTATATTTTATAAAATTTGATATGATCCTACGACCCCGGTCTTACGATACTATCAAGGTAGAAAACAATCCTACTTAGTATCCTGATCCTGACAAATTATCTTGGTGACAACACAGTTTATTCTTGTTAATTGATTAGCTCAATGTGTCTTTCGCTGAAAAATTTTTACCTCAAGCGTGTCACATGCATAGCTAGTTACATGCATGATGAACCTTCACAGTGCACATTGCCACCATTCAAAAAGAAAACTTTTACCAAATATACATAGTACAAGGCCAACAAAAATGTCAGGTATTGTCATCATAAGATATGGTTATTTCATTATTTGTGATCTCCAGATAGTACATACAGTAAGAAATATATATGTAGGACACAACCCAGAAGCATGCTCATTTCAGAGAGTATCTCAGGCATCATAGTCGATGGCTACTGTTCCAACTTTAATCTCTCCAGCCGATTCCTTCCATCACGCTTTTGATTAAAAAACTGCATCATGAAATCATTGTAACTGATTGATCTGTAATTCACTTTACCATCTTTCACAAACTCAGGCAGAGGGCTCAGCAGCAGATCATCGCGCGGATAGTGGAATAGTGCCGTTGAAATCCGCTCCTTATTTGGATGTATCATGGCCCTGTGCTCAACACTTTTGAATTTTCCGTTACTCAGGATCTGCAGATGCTAATAGTACATGACTCACTCAAATCAGCACAAAGGTGGTGAAACAGAAGTAGGACTCACCCAAAAGATGAAAAAAAAATGAAGTTAGAACTGTTTGTTTGGTGCTTTGACAAGTAACGGCATAGTTTGTTCGGTCATTACCTCAAGTGTGTCCCCTATGTTGACGATGAATGCGCCACTCAGAGCATCCACGGAGAACCACTTGCCATCCCTCTTGATCTGCAGACCCTGAACATCGTTCACCTGGAGCAGCAGCGTCAGGCCAACCACATCGGTGTGCGGCGACAGGCCAATTACCTTTGTCAGATTGCCGGCATGGTGGGTAGTAGTTCATCCTCATTCCTCGAGGCTGCTCTTCAAAGATGCCTAACAGCGACTCTGGCTCAGCACCCACGGCCTTAGCCAGGAACTCAAACAAGCAGAGCGACAGGCTTTTAGTCTCCGATGAGTATTGATCAAGGGATTGCCTAATTTTCAGAGATCTCTGGTTAACAAGTGGCAGAGGATGCTTATCAGAAGGTAAGTTGCACAACTTTTGGTAGATCACCTGAAAGATGCAGGGTGACTGGCCAAAATCTCAAGTCCCTTGAATCGGTAGGATGGACTTGAAGGTACAACATGTCTCCCCAGTCTAGTTTCTGGTCCTCAGAGAAAACAAAGGTCTGTCCATAGCCTTCAAGGCTGTTGGGCAGCTGTGAGTACTCCTTCTTGGCATCCAGTGGCAGGCTGAAGAACTCAATAATGTTGCTCCTGAAGTTTTCAATCACTTCCTCTGGCACTCCATGGTTGATGAGCTGTAGTTTTGTTCCACAAATCAAAACCAAGGTATAGGACGCATTTGCATATAATCTCTTAACATATTACATTTAATCTCTTAATCAATCTTATATATATATGGTGTATTTGCATATAAACACCTGTTACTCTTCCAAAGTAGAAAGGGCAAGAACTTTGCCGAGTCGGCCGGCGACCAAATTTCATTAAGGAATTGGGGGAAAAAAAGTTTACAGATAGATTAGGCTTACAATCGACAGGAAGAGCAAGGGCAAGAACTTAAAGTTACATACCTGAAAGAATCCCCAATACTGGCAGGCAGATCTCAGCTTCACACACTCTTCTTCTGATGATTGTGGAGAAAGCAACTTATTGAGATCAATGATTGGAATCGCCATGTCACCATGGTAGTTGCTGATGACCTCCTCACAAGTAGCCTCTGTCCTGATGTACCTTTCAGGAATCTGTTCGTCTGAACCGTTGCAAGTTCCTGCAAGTGCCTGCACATTAGGCACTGGGAGAGACCCAATAGTTCTTACTTCCGCCATTGCTTTTCCCGAGTTTCTTCAGTGGGTGGTTATTCTTTTTGCTAGCAGTTGTAGGCTGTATCTTACAAAGAGTTTGTAGAAGGTAACCACATATAAAACTTGAAAAAACACTTGATTGTATGGTTTGGGTTTCCAGGACTGTCACACCAGCTTAATTATGACATGAGAGGGATGTACATCACATATATGTTGAAAGTGACATCTATCAGAAAAGAGTGAGGCACAATATTACTACCATTCATTCAATCAACAGACAATTATCAAGGCTCTGATCCTGACATGCCTAACTTCAAGTACCCTATTTCCAGCTTTGTGCCAAAATAGCCCTGGGGAATTCAACCATATTTCCCCATTTAATACCTTGTAGCACGCCTCATCTGTTGTCAGCGAATTCTGGAGCGGACTAACCAGTAACCATGGATACGATAGAGGTTTACAGCAGAATGCCACAATGGACAAAGATCAGGTGTAGTTAACAACTGCACACATTCTGAATAATGTCATCTATATTCAGATCAAACAGTTCAGATTCACTGCTACATGACCTATTTTTTGTGGGTTTTTTTCTACAGTAAAAAGGTGCTACAATCAACTCATCAAAGGTGCTACAAAACACAGATTTTATCTGCAATCTGAGGATTTTTTTTTCAGAATAATGCTGTTGTTTTCTTAGTGGAAATTATTTTTATTGCTACCGATAAAGACTGCCAGTGTCATGTGGGGCTCCGTTAGTGGCTGTTACTCTCAACTCGTATGCATATAGAGTACACAAATAATAGCAAATATCATATATAAATAGTGAAAGGTACACTTGAGTGTATGGTCAAGGCAAATACCAGCTGAACTGTACCAGGATGAGGAAGATACAGTGTCATTAGCCTTTCACGAAAACAAAAGGATCAAGAGAGGCAGAAAAATCCCATCCTGACATCATCACACTCCCAGCTTCAATCTCTCCAGGTAGCTCCTGCCTTCCAGCTTCGCAGTAAAGTAGCCTTTGGTGAACTCAACGACATCAACCGTCTTGTAGTGCGCCTTACCTTTCATTAGAAGCTCCTGGAGTGGGCCAACTCCAACTGTGCAGGAAAGCGGGGGTTTATGGAATGCAGCAAGGGTGATCATTTCCTTATCGGGGTTTATTACCGCTCTGTGCTCAATACTCTTGTACTTGCCATTTGTGAGGATCTGATGAGAACGAAAGCAACTTAGTATGTAGAGAATTAGCTGAAAGATGATCAAGTGTCACTCATTCATTTTGTTAAGGAAAAAAAAGAAGGGTGATACATACTCTATTTCACCAACATATTTATGGCTCTTAGGAAATTTTGTCAACAATTTCAGTCAGCTGTTTATTTTCTTCCTATCAACCAATGATGGCATGATGCATAACACAAAGCTTTTGCCCGTCATTAAAAACATTGCCAAGGAAGGTGTTAATTAACCAAATGCATTCACCTCAAGAATGTCACCAACATTGACGACGAGGGCTCCAGGGAGATTCTTCACAGCGAACCACCTGCCGTTCTTCCTGATCTGCAGCCCTTGCACGTCGTTCACTTGGAGGAGCAGTGTCAAGCCGACGCCATCGGTGTGCGCTGAAAAGCCCAGCACCTTGTCAGCCTGACGGCAGTGGGGGTAATGGTTGATCCTTACACTCTGAGTATGCCCCTTGAATACTCCAAGGAGTGCTTCCTCATCGACTCCCAGGTTGATGGCCATGAACTTGAACAGCTTAGTAGACACATGCAATCTCTAACGAGTACTTGTCAAGTGAGTCCCTGTAATGACCAAATTTCAGAAAGGGAATCAACTGGATTTCATGGGGTTCTCTCACACCAGCATCCATGGGGAATGAGCATATTTCTGCAGCATTGAGCATTTTCCATTAAATAGATTTCTTCCATATGATAATTCATGCTTAGTTCAGCTATTCCCAATTCCCCAATCCTAATGCTATACTTTCTGATCAAATTTTTGTTTTGACAGATAAAATTATGCTCTGGAGACTGGCATCAGATGACAGCAGCAAACTGGTAAATGAAGCATTTGCTCACCTGAATGTGGAAGGCTTTGTAGGCCAGAAATCCATTGCTCCTTTCCTCAACTGGCCGTGTGACGAGGAACAGCAAATCTGCCCAGTCCAGCTTCTGCTCCTTTGGAAAGAAAAAGTGGTGGCCAAACCCCTGCAAGCCATTGGGTGGGATCGCCACGGCCTTCTCCTGCAGAGGGAGTCTGAAGAATTCCGTGATGTCAGCCTTGATCTGTTGCAGCAACCCTGCATCCACCCCATGGTTCACAAGCTGCAAAAATTGCACATTTCTGAAGATCACTTGCTGTTGCTGCAGTCTAATTGATGTGGAAAGTCCTCGCTATTGCAGAGTAAAAACAGTTGGTGCCTTCTTTTTTACTTGAACTGAATCAGTTATTATGTGAGTTCAATTCCATTATAGAAAAAAAAATGTATGTGAGATCAGAGAGAACACATACATGGAAGTATCCCCAATCCTCACATGCAGATCCAAGCTTCGCGATCTCCTCCTCAGAGAAGTCAGGATTTTTTTTTTTGACTAAATCACCGGGGGGGAGAGCTTCCCCACCTGAATTTTGTCATTACAAGAAAGGAGTGAAAAGGTTCATTACATCAGGTTTAGAGATCTTAAGGGGGAGGTGAAAATGTTTTTCCAAGCAGAAATTACATGTCTATCCTCTATTTTTAAATTTTCTGCCCAGAGGGCTGCTTCATTGATGCATCTTTGTAGGCAGCATCGAATCGATGGAGTTTGCCCCCTGAAGACGACATCATGCCGATGATTCCAGATCGCCCACATACAGAGCAAGAAGAAGACATGATGATGGAGCTCCGGGACATTGGGAGAAGGTTTAAGCTGGTGTAGTAGCCACACATCCTGAATTGTCGGATTCACCCTAATCCGTTCCCAGAAACTCTGCACAAAAGGACATGTAAAACACATATGATCTGCCGTTTCATCCCCTTGTTGACAGACATCGCAAACCCCATTTTGAACTATCTTTTTCTTCAGCAAGTTTTGTTTTGTTGACAGACGGTCTCTGACAAGAAGCCAAGCAAACAATTTAACTTTCAAAGGTGCTCGGCACTTCCAGATTAGGTTCCAATTAGGAGAAGAAATTCCTGGGGGTAACCTAGTGTCATAAATGTTCTTAGTTGTGAATTTTCCCATGATTCCCCCCGTGCGAATGTCCCGCTCATTGTTTAAGGAAAAGTCTTGTAGCAGGTCCTGCAGACATTGGCACTCTTGCCTAGCTGTTTCAGAGAGTCGCGGCACCAAACTTGCTGTTAAACCCTGTTGAAGTGCATATTTGACTGAAATTTGATTGTCCATTGTATGAGTGTAAAGTGCCTGAAATTTAGTAGCTAAGCATTCTGAAGCAATCCAACAATCATGCCAGAAGGAAGTCCGAGACCCATCACCAACAATCATGCCAGAAGGAAGTCCGAGAAGTCAGGATTGATCAATCTTGACATGTCTATTACTGGTAGACTATAACCATTGGCGTTGTCAATTATGACAATATTGGCCTCAATCTCATGCCTCACATACCTTTCAGGAACCTCGCCAGAGCTTCCAATGGTGTCTGCAACAACCTGCACACCCTCATCTTGGTCGATGAACTCCACTTGCAATTTGTCAAAGATACTACTGGCCATCTTTCCTGATGTACTTGATGGTTGGCTTCAAGAGGATATGAATGTTTTGTACGGTTATGCAATGGCTTCTACATATATATCAAACCAGGCAAGATATATATATATATATTTAAAAAAAACTGTTGCAAGATAGCTAGGTTATTGATTTATGACGAAAGCCAACACTGCATATGAATGATACACACCGAGAGACAAATAAAGACAGTGGGGTTCAGTCTTTCAGCTACCGATTCTATCCATATTTGGAGTTGAACATCTCACCTGCCACTTTCTTTAGAACGATCACTCCCCATTGTCTGCTACTTTCTTTAGGTGGACCACTCCCCGTTGCAGCTTCATTGTTCTTCCTCCGTTATCTGCCACGAAGAGATCCAATAACACACATCATTTATTAGTTCAGTGCGATCAACAGGCACCTTGTTCCTAAAGCAAGCGCACAACAGGCATTTTTGGCTTTCCATATAGCCCAGATTACTTCAACAATCCCAAGTACTACTAGTTTCTTGTCTTTTTGTTCAAACTATATAGCCATCCCCAAAAAATGTGGTGGATATTATTCATTTTCTTCAGATTAAGGGTGCATTTTACCACATTCCAAATGAATCTGGATGAAGGCAGAGAGGCTCTGTCAGTGGCTGTCACCCTCAACTCTACTGACTATCAATACACATAGTTGAATAATTCAAGCAGCGGTATACTGGATAATTAAATCATGTGCAGTACACAATTCAAGAACTCTTCCATGGGACATTTCATGATTAGCACTGGATCCAGGGCAAGGTCGTCGCAAAAATCAAGCATCTACTATCTAGTTGCCCTCATAGAAGCACTGATTCAAGAAGCAGTATACTGGATGCAGACATGGTTGGGGTCATCAAACTATTGAAGGGGAAGCTTTGGCTTACTGTGAGGAGGTTAGTGCCCTTGAGACGATTGATATGGAGATCTTTCTTCGGCTAAAATCGGTGGCCACCTCCCACCGCCTCTGCCGCCGGCAGCGCCGCCCTTCTTCTTCTTCTTCTTCCCCTTGTTGGCCGCCGCCGCCGCCGCCGGGGATTCGTTCCGACGCTGCGGCGGCGGAGCGCCGTCGCCTCCCAAGTCCTCGAGGGAGGAAAGATAGACTTTTTTACCAGTTCAATTCGAATAATCTCGGCCTGGGCCTGCCTTAGAGAACTGGGCCGGGAGAATGGGCTGAGAGCCTTCGTGCACATAGGTCGCCGCCGCTTCTAGCTTTTCTCCGTGTCACATTCGGCGGCTGCGCAACGGAGGGGCTTTACCGGCGGCGAGAGCGCTAGGTTGCCGCGCCGCCTACTCTCCGGCGGAGCCTTGGCTCCCGCGTCGTCCTCCCCCTCTGGTATGCAAGCACTCCCCTGAGCTGTCCTCGTCCTCCTCCTCCTCCCCTCTAGTATACCCATCAGTAGCAGTGATTATTCACTTGTTGGTAGTAGTAGTAGCACCACCACTGATTTGTATCCATTTGCAATGCACTAAAAGCTGGCGATGTTCTGCTCTTGAAATGGACTGATAGGTTAATCTCCATTTGCAATGCACCCATCTGTTTATATTCCTTTGAAGAATAGATATTTTAGCTAGCTCCATTAGTTGATCTTTTCTGTAGAATGGAAACCAACGGTGGTTTCTTTGTGAACTTGATCTGTAGGTTCCGTACATTAGTTCGTTTAGTCAGTGGATTCACGAACCCATGATGTCTATCGATTTGTTTCTTGTCAGATTTTTTTCTCTTTCTTTGTCATTTCGATGTTTTCTTTGATTAATCCCCATCTGCTCAATGCGTTTACCTGTTCGACCTGCTTTTGCCGACCAATCCTTCTTCATGCATTGCAGGCTAACGTTCTCCGCAGCTTCACCTGATGGAGAATCTCCCCGGTGAGCGGAACCCGGTGAGGCCGCCTCACCGACGATCTCGTCATCGAGATCCTCCGCCGCCTCCCCATTCGCTCTGTGTGCCGCTTCAAGTGCGTCTGCCGGTCCTGGCGCAACCTCATCGCCGACCATGAGCACCGCTAGAAGCTGCCCCAGATGCTATCCGGCTTCTTCTACACAACTTTCAACAAGGAGTGCTGGCCTTCCTTGGTGTACCGCTTCACCAACGTCTCTGGGAAAGGGGTACCTCTCATCTAACCATCCTTCTCCTTCCTGGGCGAGTGCAACGATCTCTTCCCCTTGGACTCCTGCAATGGCCTCCTCCTCTTCCGCTGCTTCCAGTCTGGCCCTTGCGATAGTGATGGGAATGCACCGTTCCATTACGCCGTGTGCAATCCTGTGACCAAGAAGTGGGTGATGTTACCAAAGGCCAACTGGGCTTCTGACTCATCTTATCTTGAAGACCACCCCATTGCCTGCTTGGGTTTTGACCCAGCCATCTCCTCGCATTTCCATGTGCTCGAGTATTTGGAGGGTCCAGATGGGTGCATCACAGCGGTGGGGATCTATTCGTCCAAAACTGGGTTATGGAATCTCCATGAGAGTGGATGGAATCATGGTGTTGGAGTTAGTTATGGTGGCCCGAGAGGTGTGTTCCTTAATGGTTTTATGCATTTTGTTGCTGTAAGAAATGAGATTGTGGCGGTTGACATGGAGGGGAAGAGATGGAAGATAATTCCTATGCCGGATAGTGGTGGTCATGGTGCTCCCATGATTGATCGTACTCAGGGTCACCTATGTGCTCTTAATGTTGACCCGCTTGATATCTTCAATCTGTCACTTTGGGTCCTTGAAGACTATAATACAGATAATTGGATCTTAAAGCGTACTGTTAGCACCTTGGAGCTCTTTGGAGGGAAGAAATACGAATTTGATCGTGGTTACCAGGTAATTGCAGTTCATCCAGAGTGCAATTTGATCTTCTTTCATTATGGATTGGACAATACTTTACTGGCATATGAAATGGATCCCAAGGAACTGCGTGTTGTACGCAATCTCGGACATCATACCTGCCAGCCAGTTCTACCATATGTTCCATTGTTCTCTGTGCCGTTAGCTCATGGGCACTAATACTCCAGTTGAGTGTATGGTCAAGGAAAATACCAGCTGAATTGTACCAGGATGAGGAAGATGTAGCATCGTTATCCATTCACCGAAACAAAAGAATCAAAGAGAAGCAAAAACTACTCATCCTGACACATTCACACTCCCAGCTTCAAGCTCTCCAGGTATCTCCTGCCTTCCAGCTTCGCGGCAAAGTAGCCTTTGGTGAACTCAGCACCATCAACCGTCTTGTAGCGTGCCTCACCTTTCATCAGAAGCTCCTGGAGTGGGCCAACTGTGCTGGAAAGCGGAACGCTCTGGAATGCAGCAAGTGTGATCCTTTCCTTATCAGGGTTTATTACTGCTCTGTGCTCAATACTCTTGTACTTGCCATTGGTGAGGATCTGTTGAGAAAGAAAACAACTTTAATATATAGACAAATAGCTGAAAAGATGATCAAGTGTCACCCACTCTTTTTGTTCAGAAAAAAAGGTTGCTACATACTCCTATTTATTATAGTTCTTAGGAAATTTTCTCAAGAATTTCAGTCAGCTGTTCTTTTCTTCCTATCAATAATGGCATGATGCATGACAACACAACACAGCTTTTGGCGGTCATGAAAAGCATTGCCAAGGAAGGTGCATTCACCTCAAGAACGTCGCCGACATTGACGACGAGGGCTCCAGGGAGGTTCTTCACGGCGAACCACCTGCCGTCCTTCCTGATCTGGAGCCCTTGCACGTCGTTCACTTGGAGGAGCAGTGTCATGCCGACGCCATCCGTGTGCGGCGAGAGGCCCAGCACCTTGTTAGCCTGACTGCAGGGTGGGTAATGGTTGATCCTTACACTCTGAGGTTGCTCTGGCTTGAATGCTGCAAGGAGTGCCTCCTCGTCGACGCCCAGGTTGATGGCCATGAACTTGAACAGCTTAGCAGACACATTTGCAATCTCCAGCGAGTACTTGTCAAGTGAGTCCCTGTAATGACCAAATTTCAGCGGTGAAAAAGGAAATCCATTAACTTATTAAGGGAATAGAAAAAGGAGCCTCCACGTTCGCTCTCACGGTCTAAAAATTCTCATATTAATCGGAGAAAAAGAAAAATAGAGTCCATATAGAAATACAATTTAGAAATAGTTGACTATAGTTCTAAATTGTATTTCTATATTGGAAATTGTATTCCTTATATAAGGAATATCGGAACTCCTTAGTTCTGTATTGTATTCCTCTAGCCATATAAGGAATATTGTACTCCTTATTGGAACTCTAGTCAACTATTTCTAAATTGTATTCCTCTAGCCATATAGAAATACAATTTACAATCTGTGTGGGCCACCATGCTAGTTAAATAGATTTCTTCTAGCTGATCACTCATGCTTAGTTCAGCAATTTCCAGTTTCCCGATCCTAGTGCATATATACTTTCTGATGAAATTCTGTTTTGACAGATAAAATTATGTTGTGGAGTCTGACATCACATGACAGAAGTGAACTGGTAAAACAAAGCATATATTCACCTGAATGTGGGAGGCTTTGTAGGCCAGAACTCTGTGGTCCTGTCCTCCACTGGGCGTGTGGTGAGGAAGAGCAAATCGACCCAGTCCAGCTTCTGCTCCTTGGAGAAGACGAAGTGGTGACCGAACCCCTGCAAGCCATTGGGTGGGATCGCCACGGACATCTTCTCCTGCAGAGGAAGTCTGAAGAACTCTGTGATGTCATCCTTGATCCGTTGCAGCAACTCCCCATCCACCCCATGGTTCACAAGCTGCAAGTATTGCACATTTCTGAAGATTACTAGCTGTTGCTGCAGTCTACTTGATGTGAAAAGTCTACAATGTTGCAGAGTAAAACAATCAGCGTCTCTTTACTTTTAAAACCGAGGCATAAGAACTCAAACCTGGAAGAATCCCCAATCCTCACAGGCTGATCCGAGCTTGGCAATCTCCTCCTCGGAGAACTCAGGATTGATCAACCTTGACATATCTATTACCGGCAGATTGTAACCATCGGTGTCGATGATGACAGGATCGGCCTCCATCTCAGGCCTGGCATACCTTTCAGGAATCTCACCGGAGCTTCTGATGGTGTCTGCAACGACCTGCACACTCTCATCTTGGTCGATGAACTCCACTTTCAGTTTGTCGAAGCCACCGACCATCCTTCCTGATGTGCTTGATGGTTGAATTCAAGAGGGATATGAATGTTCTGTAGGATTATGCAATGGTTGGTACAATTATACATCGAGTCAGGCAAGACAGTACTTTCTTTTTAAAATTGTTGCTAGATGGTTAGGTGATTGCTTCAGTGTATGAATAGGAGTCAAAATTGCCAGCTACTAGCTGCCAATTTGAAGGAAGCAACTTGATGGATTTTGTATGACCTACTAGACTTGGCAAGAGGAAATATATGCAGCTACCTCGCTGATGCCTGATGATTGACTTCTATGGCTGCTATAATAGATTTCCTACGAAAGCCAACACTGTTTAGTCGTTTGACTTTTTTCCTAATTAAAGTTCTTTAGATTTGACCAAATTTATAAAACAAATTAGCAACATCTAAGATACCAAATTAGTTTGATTAAATATAGCATAGACTATATATTTGATACCATGTTCGTTTTGTATTAAAAATGTTACTGTATTTTACTATAAATTTGATCAAACTTTAAGAAATTTTAAGTATTTGACAAAAAAAGTCAAATGACTTAATATGAAACGGAGGAAAAAAGTTGAATTACTTATAATATGAAACGGGCGGAGTATATAAAGTGAGTTTATGTGCCGACAGTGACTATCCGCTTACATCCCTTAGCAAATTGATGACCTACTTAAGCGATATGGTCAGAAGGCTTGATTTGGTCAGGAGCCACAAGGCCTCATTCATGTCATCATTTTCTGGCACTGGCCGTGCTGTCAACATCTAAACGATTTTAGCAGCCCTAATCAGTACATCCCATTTCGTCAATGAAGCATTTAGAGCGACGCTGCACGCACGACAGGACGCAGCAAAAGGGAAAGAAACTGAAAAGGTTGCGTGTCCAAACTTAAGTTGCTGCAGCAAACGTGAATCAGATCCAACCTCCAGCCAAACAAAGCTATCCGCCATTCCAGCTGCAATTGCAACGGCAAAGCGTGGACGCACAAATCCAGCTGAAAGAGCAGCAGCACGAAATTTGGTGATCACACAACGATGAAGAGGCAGCGGCGCAAGGAAGAATAAAAGGGTTCAAACTGTAGACGAATTCACTGAAGTCAAAACAAAAGGTAGCAATCCATCAATTCCACAAAAGGACGGAGAAGGTTAATACATCCGTCAAATGGTTTACCACAGACGATGAGTTTAAACCGTGTCCAATTTCTCTTTCGCTGTATCCATACAGATTAAACGGTGGTTTTTGGATGATTAATGTCTACTCTACATCACATAACACAAGTGTCCAGTACAAATCCAAAAAATAAACCCCACTAACTTAAGCTAGCATATAATACACCTGAGCACATCTTCTCCGGGGAAGTCTTTACTCCAATCCTATCCTCTTTTGCCTCCATCGAGCTAACCAGTTATGTACAAAACGAGAATTATCCCAACAACAGCGCAGCAAAGCCTTTTTCTCAGCCAAGGTTTCGCCCTGTTACACCAAACAGATTGCAAATTATCAGTGCCTCAGAGGGAAAATGGGGGCCATAAATTATCTACAAGCACGAAAAAGAAGAGTCACCTCTTGAGGAAGCACTTCTGTAGTTAGTCCTAGGACCCTTTTCGCCTGGAACTTTGGAAACTATAAGGGAACTCTGCAGACCCTCCAGTAACTGTCGCAAACACAAAACCAAAATTAGCATAAATGGCATGCTCAATAAAACAACAGGAAAATCAACTATTATCCACTCAGCATAGACATAATTAATAATTTGCCACCACATATTCGGCAATTTATTATTTGCCACTTAACAAGTACCATATGTCTATAATAAAATGCCACTTCGGGGAAGTTCGTTGCAATTTACCACCTAAACACCAAGCCCATCTATTTTTCTTCCGGTTTTGGCCATTGGTGATACCGCTTAGCTTGCACGCTTTGAACTATACGAGGCCCACTTTGAACCAGATGAGTGGCGCATTGCTCCCTACCATCCACGCGTGCAACGCAACAGTGCCCTGATGCCTCTCGTCATGGTCGCAATACAGCACTCTGGCGAAGACATAGGGTCACAACCTAAGGTCTTCAGGCAACTAAATTGGAAACTGCCCCTGACAAAACAATATCAACGATCAAGCTGCTGAAGCAGTTGGTACCATTCGACTGGTTTCATTTTTCTAGCATTTTTGGCTTAGCCATGCGAAGCATTTAGGAATAAGCATTCTTTCCACGCCTTGATTTACAGCTGAATTGCTTCCCTGTTCTTGCCAACAGAAACATTTACGATGGAAGTCGCATTGTGCCAGGACAAATTGGAGCAAGGTAATGCTGATTGCTGGCGCCAAGATGGTGACGGTGCCCATCACTGGTTTCCACAAGGGGATTGCGGAGGAACAGAAGGCAGCAATTTCGTGAGGAGGCAAGCAAAGAGATTAGCCTATGGCGCCGGAGGGCAAAACAGAAAGAAAAATAAGTGGGACGGGTATTTAGGGGATAAACTGATGGTGTTTTATTAGGAGTGTGCATCTCGAGTGGTAAACAGTTAATTAGCAACTACATAGCGGCAAATTCTTAAATACATCTATATTGAGTGGCAAAATAGTTAATTTTTCCCAAAAACAAATGGACTCCTACAAATTTCACAGCAAGCTCGCACATGCACCAGCCGTGTTTACTCATGTGCAGAGGCAAAAGAAAAGAACACAGGTATCTCAAACCATCTGAAGAAAAAACTACACTCATGTGCAGAGGCAAAAGAAAAGAACACAGGTATCTCAAACCATCTGAAGAAAAAACTGCCAAAAGTTTGTATGATACTGATAAACTCATCCAAATTATGACTAGTGAGAAAGGCTAGACCAACTACAACGTAACTACACACAAATTGTGTGCTACAGAGTAAACAGTTCTTTAAAGAATGTATTACCAACATTCAGTGACATAATAGTAAAAGTCGGTGCCAAAAGAAAGAAACAAATGTCCATTATAACTTGACGGTAGTTCCTGATTAACTTACCCGTGAGGTTGGTTGAATTCGGCGGTTCGACCTTCTGGGTTCAGTAGAATCAGCACTCTTCCCTGGAATTTCAGATGTTTTGTTTGTGGTCCTGTTCGAATTATCCATAGAAGGAACAAGTTTCCTTTTAGCTCGATCAGTAGTGGTTAAATTCTTCCTGGAAGTAGGAGCAGCAGATGCAGCTTGGATGTGTGGTTCAGAAACAGAAGAATCTTCAGATCTAAGGCCAACGCCATGGACAGAACTATTCTTTTCTACAGAGAGGTTCATGTTGTTGGAAGAACCTATTGTACTTCCTATAAATGTATGACTACTTTCGAAAACACCAGTGCTTGGGGCAGACATGGATAAAGGTCCCTTGCCAGGAATGATGTTAGTTGCACCATCCTGAGACTTTGTAGATTTAGGTACTCTCGATCTCATCTCCCCTATCCTCTTTCCTTTCTGGTCAACTTTAGAAGTACCTTCCCGTGGTCTTGGCACATTTGGCACCAAATGTTTCACAGGTCTGGTAGATGCATTACCCTCAGAAATTTTATCAGCTTGATCTGCATCATAGTGTTTGCTTACTTCCATAAACTTTTTCTTCTTTCCAGGTTTTGGAACACCAACTACCCGTGATCCTTCTTTCCGAAGTCCAGGTCGCTTGAAAGCAACACCATCAGTTTTACTCTCAACTACCCTCTTTCCGATGTTGAAAACCATGTCCCTATCAGATAAAGCCAATGGCTTTGGCTCCTCTGGTTTTGCTGCAGCATTTGTGCTCGTATCCATAGAAGGGCCTGCTGCTGCTCCACCAATAGGTACATGATCATTACCTTTTGTTCTTTGCCGTTTCTCATGAGGAGAATCACCCTGAGACCATAAAAAACTATTAATTGAATATAATTGTGCAAAAGTAATATATCAGGCATTCGATTGAAAAAGGAAATAGCATATCTAGAAAGTAAAGCCACCTTATTACAATCAACCGTCTTCCCTCGGGACCACTCTATCCACTGCCCATCGTTCCAAACAAGTGATGGGCGAAGATTCCAAGCATCAACAACTAAGGAATCACTGGTTCCTGCTGGATATAAAATGATCAACACAGAACAAAGGGTTAAAGGTCCTCCATTGAAGAATTCAAAATACACGAGTTAAAATGGAAACATAGGCTTTGATATGAATCACATAAATCAATATGAAAGCAGAAAGAGTTGTAAATAATCAAGATCAACAGTTTTTTCAATGAAAATTTTATGGTATATCAGTTTCAATTCTGAGGTGGCAGCATCCCACGGTCATATGGCTATGCACTTGTTAGGGTCAGTTTGAAGTGAGGAATGAGATGGTCAATTTGATTCATTAAGTCATCCCACAATAATCATGAAACGATCCCCATGATGGATCAACGTACACAAACCAAACATCCCAATAGTTCACCTGACATTCATGATAGTTGTATTATTACTGGTTAGCACATCACATTACTATGATACCTGAAAATTGTACGGTAAGCTTTGTTTCATCACCATCACGGTTGCGAGAAATAATTCCCTCTCGCCAACTGCAGGAAAAGAAAGAAATAGGTTACATATCAAAAGGAGCTAATAACAAAAAGTTACTGATGATACATCAAATTAGAATTGATGGGATTGGTTACATAGGTAGACTTAAACAACAAACCTCACATGCCCAAGAACCTATGTGCAAACAGACCCAGAGGAAATGAAGAAAATGGAACAAAAGGAAATCAACTCTAAAATACAAGTATATCAAAAAAAAAAAGTAAGGTATTTCAACCTATGATTTGAACACATCCCTCATCCAATTCACATAAAAAACACATGATTTGAACCTTGCATATATACTTCACATTTTTAACCTCCTGGGAATTGTCTCAACAGACTCAACATGGGACTAACATGCTGATACAGTAACAGAAAAACTAATACATAGCAGAAATCATTATGCACTCCGAGACAAAAACAAGACATGTTTGATTATTTCTACCTCTAGACATCCAAATTTTAAGCACAAAAATGGCATCAGGTTGGTTAGGCAAATGTACAAGTATACCATCCTCATCCATCTTCCAGCCCTTAACCTACAAAAATAGTAGAACTAGAGAATGTTGAATGACATACCTATCTTCAATCAATACGTCCACATGATCACCAATAGCCCAAGAGTAATTTCCTGATGTGTCCCTACGGCGCTTCCTAGTTCCTTTAAATCTAGAAACAGTTGCAGGATGAGCAAGGCGGATTTGAGGTGCCTTCTCCCCTTCCTGTCTCAATGGCACCCATTCTTTGCGAAGACCAGTTTCTGAAAATTAGTCAATCCCAATACTCGATCAGCTTAACACTTGACTGTAGCTCAAAGTATCACTATCAGCGTCAGCATTACTAGGACAGATATTGTGTATGGTGTATCTGATACCGAATAACCGATAGATCAATTTTGTGAAGTATCACCGCTATATAGATGTCGAAGGCCTTATAGTTGCATTGTGGAAAAGAAGTGCTCGTCACCACATCGATGTGGACATGTGAAAAGAATAAATGCACACTCACCTTCAGTGTGAGAGTCGTAGCTGATACATGCACTATCATTGTTTATATCAAGAACTTTGGCAGAAAACCAAGCTACTCCAGACTCACCCTTGTGAACTAAAACCTGATGAAATGAAATGCATGAGCTAAGAGGATATCACAGATTTGCAGTAAAATATGTGCAGTCAAACATTAAAGTTGTAAACTGACCTCAACAGCAGATCCCTTTTCAATGCCATTCCAGATTATGTTCGGTGCTGCATCATTTCTGTTCCCATTGACTGGAGCAATGGTGGGAACATCTTCAGCCACGTTCCCTACATGAGCCAAACAAAAACACAAAATCAGTTGCGCGAGTTGGAATTGAACACAACTACTCCCTGCTGCTTATGTTTAGACAACATGTTCAGCCCTAGCATCACGACAAAGGCATTGTCCAAAATGACCGCAACACCAATATCAATTGCTTCAAATTTCATTTTAATGCTGGGTAAAGAATCTTGGGTTTAATGCATATGCTGCCAATTTCCTTGTTCTCTTGCCACAATACAAGCACACACAATTCCAGACCACAGATACTTGATAAAGCCTAAGGGCCTGTTTTGGAGAGCTTCTAGCAGCTGCAGCTTTTCCCAGAATCGAAAGCTCCCCCAAACCGTCCAGCTTTTCATCCTAATTCTGAGAAGCTGTAGTTACGGAATCTAGAAAATGAACTAGAAGCCAGAAGCTAGGAAACCCAGCTTCTCCAGATTTTTGGAAGCTGCCTACCAACAAGTTGCTTCCCAAAATTTTAAACTGCCCCAAACAGGACCTAAGTATATCAATCACTCGAGTGGAAATATGTGCAAGATATTTATAATGGATAAGATGTAGCGAGAAATACCGAGGAACATGCTTCTTGAAAAACTTAAAAGGCCATATATTGTTGGACAAGTTGAGTCGTCTAAAGTGCCATATATTTATGAATGGGATAGTAGCTTTACCTGAATGCACTACATCTAGCTGCAACCCTTTGCCACTAGAAGATGGCTCTAAGTTCTGTATTGCATGGTCATGTTTAGCTTTGCCACCACGCTTCCTTCCAGATTTACTAAAATCAGTAGGTAGTTCCAATTTTGTAGCCTTCTTATTCCTCACTTGATCAGATTTCCAGTAACCATCAGGACCAGCTTCCAACAGCTCACTAAGGGTAAAAGGTAAAGGTTCACCCATACCAATGATGGTTCCTGCTTTGAACACAGCCTCTGCAGCAAGTTCTGCAGCTTTCAGAATGGCATCCAAGTTTTCTGCACGTTTTGCAGCTGCTGCTGCCTCTTCAACCCTCTTTCTAGCAACCTCCCGTGCCACTGAAATAATGGAACCCTTGGAAATGTCATCCTTTGTTTTCCAAGACGATGTGGGTGTCAAACTTGAGAAACTAGCCAGGTTGTTACTGACTTTAAATTCACCAGCATCATGCTTCTGAGAGGAATTTGCATAGGTAGAAGAAAGGACTTCCTCTGCCATCATTTTTGCCTGCAATGCAGCCTCTGAGGCCATCTTAGCAGCTTCAGCAGCTGCCTTTGCAACAGAAACTGCTGCAGAAGCAGCAGCAGCAGCTGAAGTAAGCTTCTCTTCTACTTCTGCAGGTAATTTGCCTTTCGAATTTGTTGATAAGTGGCTCCAAATACCTTCAGCATGCCTAACTGCATCCATCGCATGCACACCTGCCCCTTTTGCTTGTCCCATTGATTGCTCTATTGCACCAGAGATCTGTTCTGAAAAGATTCTTTGCTCTGCATCCTTGATACCAGTAATCTGATAATTAGGCACAGGGGTGACCAAGCCTGTGTTAGAAACAAGCCCACTGGCCAAAATATTGCTTGGAGAATGAGTGGATAAGGTGAAGCCTGGTGTATGCTGAGTGGCAGGAGTAACAGATGCAATATCTGTTTTGAGCAGAGGGGCAATGATAGGTTGTTCTGGACTTGCTGGAGCTTTCTTTCTTTTTCTTGACTTTTGTGGTGTAGCTCCACGCTTAGAAGTAGAAACCGATGCCTTCTGTTTTTCCTCAGGTATGACTGCTAATGGAGAAATGGTAGAAGGCGCCTGATTCGGAGGGAATGCAACAGGTGAAACAGCTTGTGAAATGGATATGTTTTTAGAGGATGCTCCCTTTGCAGTTTCATTTGCACTTGCCGGCACAGGCGGTTTCATCGATGAATCAAATATCAAATTCTGTGGTTGAACCAACCAGGGGGCAGCGCGCCCACCAGGGCTCTGGGGAAACCACGATGCAACACCAGAAGTAGGCTGCCTTGTCTGTGAACTGTATGGGAATACTGGTGATACAGCCTGGCCAAAATCCAGATGAGTACCTCGTGGCAAGCTCAAAGCAGAACTACCAAGAGGAGACATATTTAAAGTTGGCAAATGAAGGGGCACAGCAGTATGTGCTGGCAACACAGTTTTGCCACCCTTTTTGCTAGCTGGTGCAGTTTTAACCGCTGTGCTTCTACTGGCTTTTTCCGTCACACGGCTACCTGCAGACATCTTTACTTAGAAAACAGAATATTGTGCAATACATAGAATACTATGACATAATCACACAATATTTACCTATATGTGAGCTTGTAGGAGTCTCCAAGCCAGTTAAAGATGACCTCTGACTATTATATCTTTCCAAAGCAGCTTGCAAAAGTGTCCCCCATGGAGGCTTACGACCACATGCTGTTCAGTAATACAAATAAATGAGAATATAGGATAGAGATAAAAAATTATCACTTTGAAACTTTGCAATGGAACCAAACAAACCAGGTTCTCCAAAAGCTGACACCATGTAAGATTCTGCCGGTGGCATTCCTTGACTGCCAAAAGAAATAGTTTTCGCTAATCAACACATTTGCATATATAACCAACTCAAATTTAAGAGAGTTTAGAGTTTACATGAGAGCTCCATAAACAAATATCTGTGCACGTAGCTGCACATGCTGTAAATCTGTGAAAGGTTGGTGCCCCAAAGCTGCAGAAGAAACTGAAGTAGTCAGGTCAGGTAATTTATATACTTAGACCACTTGTACACAAGAGATTTACGACTTTACGCACCATTGACATCAGGAGTTGGATGTTGTTGTTCCTGCTCTAGTGGTGTACTTTTGGCTTTAGTGATATGACCAATATGTGAGCTTACAGAAGACCCCTCAGCACTTCCAACCACTTTCCTTCCAGATAGTTGTTCTTTGCTGGTCTCCACAATCGCCAAATTCTTACTTTCATCACTACCATGATTCGATGGATTTCCAGGTTTAGGAATTCCAGTGGTTACCTAAAATTTAGAGCATAATAGACCATGTTAATAAGTCTCAGCTACTTAATCTATGAAAAATCGATGAATTTATTAGTTTCAAATACATCAAAAGAAGGCAAGAAAGAAACCTCGGGACTCTGAGCAACTTCAGGTCGAGGCAATGGGCTCCAAGCAGGAGCATGAGCTTTCTCAGTTATATTTAGTGGAGCTCCAACCTCAAATGAAAAACTTTTATCTTCGGCTGTATGCGTCTCCTCCGAAGTAAGAGTAGGTTTTACATTTCTGGAAGAACCTTCTTTTGAGACATGGGAATTGTTAGTCGAAGCTGTATGATCTTTAGGATCCTTGGGTGGTTCGGTTTGTTTGTGATGAAGCAAAGCATTACTGCCCTGCCCATCTTCTTCTGGACAGGATTCATTGCAACTAATCACTGTAGGCGAACCACATGTAGCATCAGTGCAGCTTCCTTCACCAGTCCCATGTTCTAAGCCATTCTTATTCTCTGATGAAACAGTAACAAGAGTACGATCTCCACCATGACTTAATACCTTATCTGTAGAAAAAGAACGTATCACTTTGGATCCACTTGAATTACTCCACTACTTATGTTAGCATACTTAACACGTTTACTTGGAATAGAAATGTGAATATGGTTCAGTGCACAGAATGATACTGGTAGAAGTGCATAGAAAAGCACTTAAAAGTCTAAAAGATCAAATAAAAAAGAACAGATGAACTATTACTATCAAATGTTTGCTTTATAGAAAAGTTCTATTTCCTAAAAAGAATAGTAGTGAACAGCTCTTTTAGAGGAAAATGGCATTAGAGGCCACAAGCAACTGACCTTGTAACTGCACACCCGAATCATCCATCCCATTCAAGGGAACTTTTCCGTTATTTTGTTCACCCTTTTCAGACGAGGCACCCAAGACAGAGGATGGTGCAACTAAATCTTCATGATCCTCAGGTTGCATCAAAGGCCCAGTAGTCAAGACTTTCGGTGGACAAGCGTCTGGATGATCACCTGAATGAATCCAAGCATCGTCAGTTTTAAAGACAAACTCCACATTAATGGAATGCATGTTAGTAATGCATACATCTCAAAAATACGCCAACAGGACTGATATGATAAAAGGAAATATAGCATAATTCACCTAGTTTATCCTGAGTTGCATTTGTGGTCAAACTACCCGAAGAAGTGGCCTGTTCTTCGCATTGTGGTGTTTCTGCAACAGCATCAGTACCACTGCTACAAATAGTATCAATGTTCGGATTCACTGATCCTGTTGATCCCATCAGCAAGGGCTCAGAAACAGGAGATGTGGTATTGTGTTCTCCAACTTCTAAAGTAGATTTATCATCTTCCTTCAATGGCTCCTCATGATTCATTGAGGACATTTTCTCAGGATCGTCTTCTAATGCAGGCACAACACCTTCCTTGAATGACACCTCGTGGTTAACTGTGATGCTTGGGTCTTTTTCATCAGGTAAACAAGCTGAAGAATTGTCAGGCACAATATCACCCGGTGACTCAAACTTATCATCTGTTGTACTGGTAGAAACTGCAACTTTTTCACAATGACCACTTTTCACTACATGTACAACGTTCCCTGAAACAGCTGAGATTTGCCCTCTGATTGTCTTCTCTTCCATAACACCACTAGATAGATTATCAACAGAATCTTGAAGCTGCTCCAACATGGCAAGTTTTGAGTCATCACTAGTGCTATGGTTCGTATCATCCACCCTGTCATATTTGGTTTCTTCAGAAACTCCAGCAACATGAGCAAGCTGTTTTCCTTTTGGAGACTGAATAAACTCACCACTTATGGTTGGCAAAGGAATGACAAGATGAGGACTAGAATTTTTCAAATCTGGCTCACCTTGAGATTTAGCAGAATTGGGTTCTTCACTAGCACCAAATTTCTTCATGGCGGGCTCACTGCTCCTGTCAATAGAACCTTTTGTGCCTTCTGATGCATGCTCGACTTGTAAGAAAGATGATTGCAGTGTAGCACTGGCTCTCTTACTAGTGTCATCACTCCTGTGCAGCATCTTTACTGGATTTGTGATGGCCTCCAGTAATCCATCAGAACTTCCCGACAATAAAGTTTCATTGCTAACTTCACTAGTTAAGTTTGAAGAACCCAAATGCTGGCTTGTACATGACAAATTTTGCAAATCATGAAGTCCATCTTTATTTTCATTCGTGTGGCATATTTCTGAACCTTGAGTGGTAACACCAACTCCTGATTCTTGATTGTCCTGCTCAAAGTGATATGAGCTGGTAGTATAAATGTTCTGTAATGGTGCCAAGTCTGAGAAGGGTTCATTATTCAACTTTCTAGAACCTACTCCATCTGACTGTATGTTGAGGTTGTCCAAAGAATCGTCATCATGGACCACCTCAAAATAGCTGCCAACATCTGGACAGCTTTCTGATGTTTTCTTTGGAGAAGAAGACCTCCCACTCACTATGCACCTCTCAGAAACAGATTCCAGCGTATAGTTAGATTTTCTGTCTGATAAAGTTGAACCTACTGCTTGTTCAGCTTTGTCATCCACTGAGAAAGGTCTGATATGCTCAAGCTGAGGCTGAATCCTTGAAGGATCTTCTGCCATTTCCGAACGAGTGCTCTGAGACTTATCATTCTCAGCTGGTACTATAATGTTGCCTGTGGGAGAATCACTTGTTTTGGACGGCATGTTGGATGGATCAGTTTTACTGTCCATTCCACTAATCTGATGATGTGCGTTCTCATCCATGTTACCGGTCATCTCATTTTCACCCACTGACTTCAATAACATTTCCACAGATTCAGTGGATGTTGCCTCAGACCATACATTATTTGTCCTATTTATAGAGCAAGATTCAGCAGCACTAGAACTAAAATCAACAACACTACTTCCAGTGGACAAAACCTCAATCCAACTGTTGCCGTGACCTTGTCCGCTAAAAAGTCCCTCTGAATCAATTAGGTTATCAAATCTGAGGTGGCTTTGTAGTTGGTCGTCGATGTCAAGTTTGGGCAGTGGAAATTGCCGCAGACCTGCTGGGAATTTATTGTTGTCTTCACCAGCTAACTGGAAATTCTGGCTCTGAAAATCAGAATCATCATAATCCATGGGTGTTTGCCTGCAAGGTGTAGTAATTCAGTAGAGACAAAACTGCCAACAACAAGAAAACATCAATAATTAAAGTGGACTAAGGAGACTTTCGACCAAGCTAAGCATTTGTGAACTGCGTATGCCACAGTCCATACATATAAATAACACCAAAGATAAATTCATCAGACGGATAACTAAATGCTCCAGGCACTGCATTTTTCCCAACTCTAGGCGACCAACACAGAGTGCCTACTGATGAAGATTGCATTATAGGCTATAGCAAGTAACGCTGGAAGGCAGAGATTTAAACCATGATGATCGTGTGGGACTTGCTTGCCTAAAGCTCACAAAGTAACCACTTAGAATGTGCTAAATGCTAATTCAACATGAGATGATTCACCATGATGGGGCATCCAGTACCAACTAAAATGCCATCTATTGGTCAGGTAAAAAGGATCAAGGATGTCCCAGTTTGACCACCAGCGCCCTGTGGTTAGTGAACATAAACAGAGCTTATACAACCAGGTCGGCACAAGTCAAAAGGCATACTCTATGCTCCGCAAGCCCACTGTACAACCAAAGCCGCAATTCAAACCTACGGGAATGAACTAGGCTATCATGCTAACTTCCTGACTTAGTATAACTGACGGCGCGCCGCAGCATGATACTACTCCGAAAGCTCAAAACCCTAATTCCAGCCCCAACCGCGAGTCTCCAACTAAACCTTCAAAAAAAAACCATCCATGCACACAGCGGCCCGACTTTAAGCCCCACGCAAAACCCTAACTCGCGCCGGTCTAAGCGCAGCGCCACTGAAGCAAGCAACGCATGACGGGCGCACAGCGAGAGAGCAAAAGCGGAAGCGAGGGGAGGGGGGAGAGAGCGAGGAAGACGTGTTACCGAGTGGAGGTCGCCCGCGCCTCTACCACCCTCCATCCGTGAGCGGAGTCGTCGGAACCCTAGATCCTGCGGGGCGGCGGCTGCTGCTCATAACCCCCGGCGCCCCGGCGCCGGAAACCCTAGCTCCTGCTCGTGCGTCGGCGGGAACCACAAGAGGACAGAGAGAGAGACGACGAGCGCGTCCCCCCCGCGTGGCCGTGGGTCGCGCTGCGAGACGACGGCGAAGGCGGCGGCGGCGGCGGTCGGCGGCGAGGGCGGAGTGGTGGAAATGGGGAGGGGTGGACTGAGAGAGAGGGGAGGAGGCGTGAGTGGTGTAGTGGTGTGGTGGTGGAGGGGGGTGGGGTTTTGTTGCGGCGGCATCTTGCCTGTGGTTTGGTTTGGTTTGGCTGCTGTGCCTGTGCTGTGCTGCGCCTGCGCGGCCGCACCGCACCACGCACGCACGCACCAGTCACCGCGCACACAGACGCGATGCGAGTGCGACCCGGAGACCCTTCCTCCCTTGGTTGGTTGGATGGATAGATCGGGTTTGGTTTGGTTTGGTTTGGTTTTCTTTTTCTTTTCTTTTCTTTTCTTTTATTTTCTTTTTTAGACGGGTTTGGGTTTTTTGAGTTTTTGGGGGGGTTGGGTTGACGTGGAGCTTTTGGCTGTGGGCGACTTGAGTGACTTGTGTGAACGCAGCCTGTCAGGAGAGGTGCTGTGACTCTAGTCTATGGACCTACAGGCTGGGGCCATGGCCCACATGTGGGTAGATTGACTTCGGTCCTGTCAAAAATTTACACCCTATCATATCAAATATTTGAAAATATACATAAAGTATTAAATATAGACGAAAAAATAACTAATTACACAGATTGCGTGTAAATTGCGAGACGAATCTTTTAAGCCTAATTGCGTCATGATTTGATAATGTGGTGTTGTAGTAAACATTTGCTAATAACGAATTAATTAGGCTCACTAAATTCGTCTCGCGGTTTACATGCGGATTATGTAATTTGTTTTATTATTAAACTACGTTTAATATCTCAAATATGTATCCGTATATCCGATGTGACACGCCAAAACTTTACACTTCCTATCTAAACACACCCTTCGTGAGAATATCTCCATCCATCCATCGTTTATTCTCAAGGAATATCTATGTACACTTGGTATACTCAATGCAGCATTTACTTATTCTGCTTTTAAATATGAATGTTTGTAAGATTCAAATTTATTCCATTTTAGGAAAATTAGAACCATGCTATTATAATTTTGCAAATTTTGAGATATGCCATCCTGACCCACATGTCATTGACTCATGTGGGTCCTATATGTCATTGAGATACCGATGGCATATCTCAAACTTTGCAAAATTATAATGGCATGGTTCCAAATTACCCATTTTATTTCCGTGGTATAAGTATTTTTATTACACTGATTTCAACCCATGAAGATGGACACATTTTCAGTCATCGGGTGCTTAGGATGGAAATCCATGTGATTCAAAAATATACCCGTGAGGTAACTGAAAAGGGATATTTTCTTTTTAATCTTAATCTTTTTCTTAAACAATGCAAATATACTTATATCACGAAGGCAGGTAGTTGATAATGTGTATGTATAACATAATTTTTGGTGCATCCCTATTGTATTTCTTACTAGTATTACTCTGAAAGAATATTTATCTACGTGTCTCCTCTCTCGCGCCATAGAAACACAAAACCACCATCTAACTTAAAAAAACACAAACAGCTGATAAAACCTAATTGATTGGTTAGGGTTAGTTCGCTTCTTAGAGTTCCCAACTCCTCTCCCATGTTTTTCATACTGTTAAATGGTGTATATTTTATAAAAAAAATTGTATAGAAAAGTTGCTTTAAAAATTATATTAATATTTTTATGATTTTTAGCTAATGCGTAATTAATCTCGCGTTAATTCTTTACTTTGTTTTTTGTGTTAGGAGGCAAGGTCACGAACCTTGTCTCCCGAACTTAGCCTAAAAAGAGACTAGATCTCGTACTCACACTCCAAACAAAAATAAAATTTGAAAGGAGAGACATCACTCTGAATATTTTTTTAAGAAGAAACAATAAGCGTGTTGGAGATTTAACATGAGCCATTAAGATTGAAACCACGCATCACTTGCCATTACACTGTTAAGTATATCTCATACTCACATTCCTAGTCCATTCCCAATCTCATGTACCTTAATCACCATAAAGTTTAATATTTATCACAAGTTCCAATGTCCATGTTTGTTTATAATAAAGCCAATGTATTTGTTTTCAGTGAACAAAACGCCTATCCTGCGTTATACTACGAAATATTATTTCAATTACTCTTTAAGTAAATACATGTTATGTCTTTATAGTGTCCAGGATTTAACTTACTGGGGAAGGAGGGGTTACCGCATCATACCGATAAAAGATAGGTAACAATCCAGTTATCAGGGTTGAATAATAAAAAAGCTAACAATATTTACTAAAAGTCTAAGGGCCTGTTCTGCAAGCTGTGCAGCAGCTGCAGTCCCTACTATCTTAGAGCTTGTTGGACTGTTCCAGTGCGCCGCAACCCCGGCAGCCAAACATGCCCTTCTTTTGATCTTTATGGGTTACGAAGCTCTTAATTTAGATTTTACTTCGATTTCTGTTAGCATGCTTTGTTTTGATCTTTATAGGTTACGAAGCCCTTAAATTTAAATTTTACTTCGGTTTCCGTTAGCAGGTTTTTCAAACTGTTAAACGGTGTGTTTCTTATGAAAACTTTCTATATAAAAATTTCTTTAAAATATCAAGTATATCCATTTATCAAGTTTGTAATAATAAAAACTTAATTAATCATGTACTAACAGTTCTTGCTTTTTATGTGAGTCAACTTCATTTTTATCTTTATCAGTTTCAAACACCAACTCAAAAAGGACCTTAACCACATATACGGTAAGTGGTAACTGGCGGTACGGAAACCTAGTTGCATTAAATTGAGATTCTTTGACTTAAATCACATGACTTCTTTGAGCCACTACTGGCATTTGAGCACCTCTTTGCTATGGACTCACATGCTAGTAACTCTAAAGTCACCTGACCTAAGGCAAAGGATTTTAATCTAGTTGCATTGCACCACGATAAACTGTTCACTTTTTTAAAAAAAAACTTTATTTTTTTATTTTTAAAGAAGGCATAAATGTTCATTTAGAAGACATGATCCGAGAGGGCTGCTATCCCTGCGCACGCCGTGTTCAGGCGGGCAGGAAAGGGCAGTGTAGTCACTGTAGTGGACGGTGCATAGTCACTGTAGTGGACGGGCAGCGTACCGTAGCATCCGAACGAAAATCGTCTCATTCCCCAACGAAATCGCCGATTCTGCCAGCTTATCTTCTTCCTCGTGTTCGTCGCGAAACACATGGATAATTTACCCCCCCCCCCCCCCCAACACACACACAGCTTCGTAGCTGCCACTGTCAGTACTCTCTCTGTTCATGTTTTGCAAACCAACCATTTTAATTGCTCGATCCAGTCTTACCTGCCATTTGCAATGAACCATCCAGTCCAAAAACACAGCAACATTCTCAAGGAATCCATTGCTACTAGATATTAGCAACAATCCAATTCTGTACACGGCACAGCAAAAATAGATGTAGCACTTCTGAACTTTGTCACTGATCTCATCTCATCTTCAATTCTTCATCTCAAGATCACAAAACAACAATGCAGCGCGAAACATTGGAGCATCAGAATGTACGCTTGTTTCTTGCTCAGAAGAGTGGCTTGTCGACCATGGTCCGGGGGAAGGCGTAGCGGAACCTGGCGTTGTAGGGGAGCCACTCGACGGCCTGCGCTGCCTTCCTCCGGCCGCCGCCGGCGTCGACGCACAGCCGCTGGATGGCGTCCTGGGTGGCGCGGGCGTCGGCGTTGTCGCGCGCCCACGCGAGGAGCTCGTCGGCGCCGGCGAGGCCGGCCTCCCGGGCGTACCGCTCGACGAGGCGCGGCAGGAACACCTTCTTGGACTTCCTCACCACCACGCTCGCCTGCAGGAACTCCCGCTTCGCACGCTCCAGCTCCTCACTGATGTTCTTCGCCGTGTACACCTTCAGCTGAAACATTTTTCTTTTTAGCTTGCCATTTTCTTCAGAGTTCAGAACAATAACAAGCAGTGGAGCTGCACGGTGGTTTTGTTGTGCAGTGTCAAATCGACAATTACCATGGGATCAGATGAAGCTCCTGTGCACAGAGCGAACAGGGCGAGAGGCTGGCAGTCCGGCAGGCCGAATTTGAGCTGGACGAGTTGCTTCTCATCTGCGCATTTCTTCCGCATCGCCGTCGACAGTATGGATTCAAACCACTGCAAGTATGAGGGTGAGTCATCAGTATTGTGCCTTCTCTGCTACTCCTAACTTAGCTGATTGCTATGTACTACATGGCAGTGAAATTCGTATCAGTTATCATAAGTGATGTTCTTTGGTTTGTTTCATTGATGTTCATATAAAGACCACCTAGACCAGTAGGCCAGTCAAACAGTAAATTTAGGATCTTGGTTTGGAACTCAGAAGTGCAGAATCAATGTCAAATATACTTATGACATACTCATTTAGGAAAAATGATTTCATTTTTTTTGTTCATTTATAGAATTTTAGCCTGAAATTATCTATACTTCTTATGAACAATCTGAAGCACAAGTTAAAATTCAGCATGAAAGTGCAAGTCATACATACACGACCAATCCGTGGAGATCTGCAGCATAGTAGAGCGTGTTCGATGGAATTGGCCGTGACTGCATGGCCTCCAATATTGTAGGCAGCCTGCTTACGGTGATTTATTTGTAAGTGAAAAACTCAATAATTCGGTAGCAAGCACAGTATGCTTACATTGCAGGAATAGATATTACTAGAATATCTTTTTCACCTTGTGAAATAGAGCCATTCTTTTCAGAGAACTGTTTGGAATGCCATATGCTAGATATGCCTGCAAGCGAATTATATGCAAATCAATATAAGCAGTAAGAGCATTAAAAGTATAAGTATAAAGAATAACAGTAACCACTGTAGAGTATCCAGCAATTACATGCATGACAAGAGAATTATACACATTGATCCAGAAGGCCAATTTAATATTGGTTTCTGACATACTCAGATCAACCCTTTCAAGCTGCTCCACAAGCAACCTGCACCCAAAACAACACAGTGAAATTTGTTATGTTATTGTCAGGAGCATATATATTATGTTTTCATGATGTGTAGATTATATTATTTTGGACCAACCTGTAGTGCGTAATTGCATAAGAGACATCTGGCATGTGATTCTTATCAGCTGATATTGAAGATACTTCCACCGTACATTTGGTGTTTGACAAATTAGTGTCCTCTCCGTTTCCTCTCCGAGGAAGAATGACATTTGTTGATGACCTCGACAAGAATGGTGAACGGACCTTTTCAGGGTTTTCGGGACACTCGGTGCGAAGAAGACAGTATATGGAGGCCATGCATCTAACCATTTCTTCGGATATTTTGCTTGGACATTGGTAGAGGTGATCTTTCAGGGTCCGAGTCAAAGAACTACTTCCTGAATAAGGAAGCTTTTTTTAAGGAAGAAAAGGCAAAACAATAGTCAAGATAAGTCCAATATGTGATTTTCTGCTTTTAGAACATCTTCTGAATTAAAACCAACAGGCTCAAGGTATAAATCTGGGGAATAAAGCATCACTGTGGCATGTTTCTGAATCAAACACAATGAACATGAAATATGCACCCTAAAATAGATTTTCGGCTGATGATTGACTAGCACCTATGATTCCTCAAAAGGGCATATAAAAGACTAGGTTAAAAATTGGCAGCATGACATACACAGAAATAAATATGATAGTCGTTTTGAGGATTTTGCTAAATGCTTGTAAAAAGGTTGATTTTCTTCTCAGATGTTTTACCTTCCTTGGATCTGGTGGGAAGGTTGCAGGGTGAATATCCAATGTTTCACTTGAGAAAGATTCATGCTTAATCTTGGTTTTCAGCATACTCTTCGATCTCCCCGACTCCGATACCGATGTCATGATTTGGAAAGGTTGGAGCGGGAGCTTCTTAGATGAGCAAAATGCACTCGATATTATGCTCGGATGCCGTCTTGTTCTAGAGCTGATACTCTTGGTATGCGCTGGGGAAGAAAGACCAGAACTCTGCCCTGAGGATGCTCCAGACGCAGATTGATCGAAGATGCTTCTGTAGAGGGTAAGAACATGCTGCTCACGGTTTGCGATTTCCTCTTCAAGCAATTCAATCTCTGCAATCAGTTCCTTTGTCTGCAGGGACAACAAAAACCACTTATTGAACACAATAACTTGAAAATGATGGAGCCAGCACTTATCCGTTTGTCCCCTCTTGATTTAATAATTGCTTTACTGAAATTACAAGGCATCCCATTAATGCAGAAGTATGTCTGTCTAGTATCATAACTGAATTACCATGTTCCCTTAAACCGATTTTTCATGGGAAAAAAAAGGAATTTAAAGAGGATTAATCAGTTATCCAAGGAGATACAATTAAACTTGCAACAGCATTGCTGAGACATTGCAAGCACAATTAAAACGCTCAATTTATCTGCTCAGTGTAGCACACGAATCAATTAACAGTCGCAAGGGGAAATTCTGCAGAGGCAGGAAAACCATCACACCTGAGCTGGGAAATGCATGTGGCCAGGAGACAGAGTGCTGGATGCGCGGCCAATCGCCCGGTCAAGCATGATCCGGATCGACCTCTCCTGATGCAGGTTAAGCTGCAGCTGCCTGATCTGCTAGAATTCAGAAACAACGCACACATAACAACAATCAATCAATCAATCATCATTTTCAGAACTGCACAGTAGGCAAAAATCGGCATGGCTTAAGCTATTTTGCATGACGATCCTCACTCACATCATTCTCCTCTCTTCTAATATATTGACGGTGCAATCCTTTTACGTGTTCGCGAAAGAAAAAAAACTCACATCATTCTCCAGCGAGACGCGATGGTTCGGCGACGCGCTCGCCCTGCTGCGATCTCTCGTCAGTACATGGTGGATGGAGGAGCCCTCGGCGGCGGCGGCGGCGGCGGCGTGGGATTTCCTCGTCGTCGCGTCCGGTTGGTGATGAGAGCTCGGCGTCGCCTGTGCTGCTTGGGTGCAGCGCTGATCGTGCAACGCCGCGTGCTTGCATGGCTCCAGGCTCCGATCGGAAGAAGCACTGGCTCAAGAACAGTAACCATTCCTAGGCACAAGTTAAAAATCCCAAACTTGCACTGCAAATGTGAAGAGAGAAATCAAAGATCACCTCTTGGATCGCCGGTGTCGCGGCAAGGCGGCAGCGGCAGCGGCAGCGGCATGCTTGCGCGGGGAGGCGTCGCCGCCGTTCTTGCCGCCTCCGCCGTACTGTCCGCGAGGTTCTTGTGCTCCTCCTCCTCCTCCTCCTCCACCCTGCACCGTCCCTTCCATGGCGGGTTGAGCCATCACTAGGCTACGCTAGCTTCATCATCTTCGTCTTCCTACATGGCATCGAATCGCCAAGCATGGAAGCTGCTGCCGCTGCTCGTCTTCGCGGGGGGCAAAGAGCATCGCGCGCACAGTGGTGGCCTGGCAGCTGCGCGAGACGGCGGCGACGAAATTAATAGCACCACGTCGCCGTGTCGCTGCTGCTGCTGCTGCTTGGTGCACTGCAGTGCAGGGAGCAAGTGAGGAGGGATTCGGAATTCGGAGGTGTGGGAGACGATGGCGATGGGGGAGTAGTAGACGAGTAGTAGAGTGAGGAGGTAGGGGGGAGTTATTGCGGTGAAGCGAATCAGTTGGTGGAGGCGAGTAAATGCTCGCACTGCTGCTGCACGCCTGCACTGACGCAGAGTAATGGAGACCGATCGACCAAGAACTCGCCATTGTTACCACTAAAAACTTCTCTCTTCTCTTCTCTTTTCTTTATTTTATTTTCTCTCTGTGTGAATGTTTCCTTGCGTGATTCTTCGGTTGACCTCGACTGTACAACAGTGGCAGCCACTGGCTCCAGCACTCCAAAGTCCAAGATCGATATTATACTTTTGTACGGTGAGTGGCACTGCTCCTAACATTCTTTGTCCAAGGGCCTTTGCTGTGGATCAAAGTTTGGTCTGCATCCAAAACAAAGAATCAAACTTTGCGGATTAGCGGCAAGTCGCTGATTAGTTTTCGTTTCAAAGGGCAAGGTCAGGAGCTCTGCCTAATCAAGTCAAAAGTACTTAGAAAAGCGGTTCTTTAATCCATTTGCCAATCAAGCACGGCATAAGGGCACACTGTTGTGTTAACTCACACTGCCCCAATTCCTACCTAAACTCGATCGCTTCAGCAGATAGCAAAGATCATGTCTACGAGATACGCGAGCAGATGGCCTAGTATTCTCTACTAACACCATGGGGGCGTGGAATCGACATGATCAGAGATGATCAGTTCATGCTGCCGGCAAAGTTTCACGAGGTAGGTAGGTAATGGCATCAATGCCGTTGTTAATGCTCTCCTCCTTTGCATGTCCCAGGAAGCAGTGTGTGTTTGGTGACTGTTTTCCCTTTTCACTCGATCTGCAGCACGATGCCCACACAATAATACTAACACACTACTGTGCTTGTTCTTGAACTTGGCTACTCCTCGTCGTATACGCTTTTCAAATTTCTAAATGGTACATTTAATGTAAAAAAAATTTATATATAAAGTGCTTTTAAAAAAAATTAAATAAATCCATTTTTCAATTTTTTTGTAATTATGGTACTTAATTTATCATATGATGATCATATTTCTCGCTTTGGTGTGTAACTAACTAATAAGCTAAAAATAACCTCTAAAAAGAACACGCCTTACAACTCCTGATGATCTCTTTATGTTCTTTTGCTGTCCCGACCAAATTTCATTAAGAACCCGGCAAAAACAAATTTCATTAAGAAGAGTGGTATATGCAAAATGATCTCTTTCTTTTTGCTGTAATCTCTGCTTTGTGAGCTGTGAACCTATCAGTACTGAGCAGGGTTGACGGTCCTAATACCGAACTGAAAACTGCTCACGAGCGGTACCTTAGGATTTCGTGGAAACCGTTGGTAATCCGACAAGAACCGACGAAATTCGGACAAAGCTGATGAGATCAGTTTGATTTTTTTTTCAAAAGACTGAAAAACCAATAGGTTTTGTGTTTTCGATCTTGTCCGGAAGGTTCGGACCGGTTTTCATCAGTAAAAACTGACTGTGAGTCCGTGCGACTGACTGCTGAAAGGTCTAAAACTCTGGCCGAGTTTAGTTCCAAACTTTTTCTTTAAACTTTAATTTTTTCATCGCATCAAAACTTTCCTACACACAAAAACTTCCAACTTTTTCATCACATCGTTTCAATTTCAACCAAACTTTTAATTTTGGCGTGAACTAAACACACTCTAAGGCACCACATCTGCTTGATGGAAGCTACTATAGACCAATTGCACATATGCATATATGCTTTGCATTGCATGGCAGCAGGGGGCAGCATTGCAGTTACAGCTAGCTAGGCAGCTACTGTGTATTGTGTAGGCAGTGAATGGGTGTAGTAATGCTCACATCACAGGCAGGCAGGCAGCAGAGAGTCGTCAGGGTTTTCAGAAGATGTGTACGAGTGGAACAGTGCAGTGATCCATCTAACGCATTGATTCGATCTTGGTTTTTGGTTGGATTGGATTGGATTCCCCCTCTTGCAATTACATGGCGAGCAGGGTTTCCCCTTGGATCATTCACTCATTCATTGGCGGTCCACCTTTTGGTTGTGGTGGTGAGGGAGATCGATCAGATGTGGGAGGAACAGTTCGCTGAACTGTGCTGATCAGTGTTTGACAATTTGTTTGGCTTTAGTTTAGGATGAAATCATCATCAGCAGCAGCAGAATCAATGGCAGGTTGGTTGGCCATGGTGTTCTTGCTACTGTATGCTAGCAAGTACCATGGTTAGGACAAGTTTGGCAATGTTCAGTAGCATTCATGGTTAGGACAAGTTAGGAGTATGTACATTGTTTGAACTAATCAGTAATCATCACAGTGGTTGGGAGTGTATATTCTCCATCAAGGGCTAGCTGGACTAGTTTGGAAACAAAAGAATTCATTGAAGCACATGAGCAAGAAAAGGAAGGAATCGGTTTCTGATGATTGATGAACAGTAAAATCATACAGAAGCAGAGAGCACATAGACAATTCGTTAATAGAACGTTTGGAATTTCACTGAAAATTTACCAGGAAACAAATGATAGAGCAAAGAAAAGGAGTTGCAAACCTGCAATTCGACGAAATTTCATACCGAAAACCATCTATAACAAAACAATCCCTAAAATAGCAGCTAAAAAAAGAAAGAGTAGGTGCAATTTACCACCTGAATTACCTCAGCTTTGCTCGCGCGAGCTCTGTGGCCAGGCGGTGGCCGGTGCGCCGGTGCGCCGGTGCTCACCGGCGGCGGCGATGAGAGAGACAAGGTCGGAGTGGGCGGCGACGGCGAGAGGGAGGAGACGCCACGTGGGCGGAGACAGTGGAAATGGGCTTGTCAAGGCCGGCCCATTAAGCAGTTCACGTGGGCCGCACAGTTCGGCCCATTAGGTCCCAGTATTCATCGTCCCCGTGTGCGGCGGCGGCGGCGTTCTCGCCCGTGCCACCCTCCGCCGCCGCATCCAGCTCTCCCGGTCGCCGCCGGCCGTGGGCGTCCACCGCCTCCGGCCTCCGACCCTCCCACCGTCGCCGCCCTCTGCTCCTCTTATCCGTCGCGCACGCCCTGCTTCCCCGCCTCCGGCGGCTACCGCCTCCTAACCCCTCCTCCATCTTTAGAATCCGACCACCTCCCTGTCCCATCCCAGTGGCTCCGGCGGTGGTGCGTCGCCGCCGCCGAGGTCTCCCTCTCAACGCAAGGACCCCTTCCTCCCCTAGCCCAACCCCGAATCCAGTCAGGCTCCAGAGATGCTGAGGAACATCCTGTGCCAGTCGTGGAGGAGAGGGGCTTATGCTCTTCAAGAAGGCAACCATCCTGGGGCACTTCATGCTTGTTGGAGTAGATTTCACAGCGGGCAGGTAACTCAACTCATGCTCTGGTTCTCTGACTGCTATCTGTTGTTGCATTGCTCTGGCATGAACAAGAACACAAGACACTTTTGAGTGATGTGAAGATACAAATATTGATGTACTAACTTTGGTCTTTACGGGACAACAGAAATTTAGTCATTGTTGTATCTGTTATGATGATGATGAAAGGCTATCAAAATTCTTCTGGTTACTTCGTAGCACCGAAGATCACCTTTTAAATCCTGCGCCGTATGGATTTTGTGGGGAAACAATGTGAAAGACAATGGCATCAATAATCTCAGTGGTCTAGATTGTAATCAGTTTTGACAGATGAGATATCGATGCTATACATCTGTCGTAGCTCAAACGGTAGTATAAATGTGTTTGTGAAAAAATGGTAGTATAAACATTTCTGCTGTGAGATAACCACATGTGCAAGAACAAATCTGATTATCATGTTTGATGATGAACATTGAGTAACTGGAATTAGATTTATCCCACATTGCTTTAAATGCTCGCAAATACTAAAATTAGCCTTTTCTTAGTGGTAAATACATGGAAGTGACAAAGGTGCAAAATTACCATAACTCACAGATCTGAAATTTACACTGCTAAGCTTGCAGCCTTGCACTAACTGTGTTTGTGAAATTTGACTCTGCATTCCTCGGGGCTTAGAGCTTTCTAATCTTTTCGAGTTATTCCACAATCATTCACAGGTTCTGCGCATATAATCAAATTGAGAATACAGTGACACCACAATTCAGTTATTCAGATATGATGGCACCGCAAGACATAACATTTTGATATTTAGTTACCCTTAAGGTCTTAATGCACTAGCTGATAGCCATCGTTTGATTTGTGTTTCCTTGTTCATTTTCACTCACTGGTAGTCTATGAACTGTGCTTTCTCTTCTTCTCCAGATGTTAAGCTCTTCCAGGAGCTTCTTTGGTGTGGAGGACTTTATGGACGAAGACAACAGCAAACCATACACATACAAGAAGGAGAAGAGATCAAAGAACCCGCACAAGCACATCTCCTTCAAGCAGCGCACCATCGCCTACATGGAGCCCTTCACGCTCGACGTCTTCATCTCCAAGCGCTTCGTCTCGGCGTCCCTCACCCACCGCACGACGTGCAGGCAGGTCGCGGTGGCCGGGACCAACTCCAAGGACATCAAGGCGGCCCTCAAGTCGAGGTCGGACATTCCGGCCTGCCTTGCCGTGGGTCGCTTCCTGGCAGAGAGGGCCAAGGAGGCTGACGTCTACACCTGCACTTACACGCCGAGGGAGCGGGACAAGTTTGAGGGGAAGATAAGGGCGGTGGTTCAGTCCCTGATTGACAATGGGATCAATGTGAAAGTTTACCTGGATTGAGTTCCCTGCTGTATGTTTACAGTACTACATTTGTTTCTGAAAATGGTCATCACCATTATCATGCTGCATTGCTGCTGATTGTGAGACTTATGGTGCCCCTGATGTTAATGTTTTATCATTTTCCTGTGCTGTGGCAGTGTGGCTGATCATGGTTAGCGGTAGCTGGGAATGGGATAGTCTTGTTTGTGTGTCTGTGCTTTCAGTTTCAGAACAATTTTGTCCCTTTCCCGGCCCACTGGCCCATACCGTTGGTACATTGGATACAGGTATCACAATCCAGCCCAAATTGTGGAGACGCGTTCTGTGGCATCGGGTGGGCTTAGGAATGGATTTTCGTGGTCAACTCTACGGCTCAACAACATTGCAACAAAAGGTTTCATGGCTTCTCTCTCTTTCGCAAAGCGTTGCGATGCCTTCTTTGATAGAGCGTGTCAAGCGTACTTAAAAAAATCTTTCAAATATAGCTGTTAACTATCGAACTGTAAAAGTTACAGAAAATCTTATATTTACTCCCATCTTGCCACATCAACGTTCATAAAAGTTTTGTGTGAATAACTTTGTACGTATAACATTTTTTCTATTCAATACTTCCTCCGTCCTAACATAAATATATTTTCATCATATTATTTGTCTCAAAATAATTTCATCTTTTAAGCAATCATTATATTGTAGTTTTTGAAAATGATTGATAAATACATTAAAGTTTATTTAAATAGTAGATAATTACATTAAGACTTGTTAAAGTCTATAGCATTCGAGTGTTTCTCTTGTATTGTTATGTGTGGGAAATGTGAAGAATGCTCATCGAAAACAGATCCTCTGACATACTATCTCACATCAAATATCAGCAACCCACGTTACATAGCACAGTAAGGCCCCGTTTACTTCCCCTAGCAAAACTTTACACCATGTCATATCGAATATTTACAGAATATTTGGAAACACGTCTGGAGTATTAAATATAGGCTAAAAAATAACTAATTGCACATATTCCGACTAATTTGTACCGGCGTACCCGATGTGACACGTTAAAACTTTACACCCCTATAACTAAACGCAACCTAAATTCATCCATATCCATTTCTATCAGTTCTTAAAAAAACATTTCTATCGCGATATGTCAAGTCGTTCCATTTCTAGTAGGGGCAAAAGAAAAAGAAAAAAAAAAAGAAGTCAAGTTGTTCCTGGGTGGCTGCGAGAAGTGGCCTGGAATTCCTAGGTTTGGTGCAACGCTTCTGACCTGATTACCGTCCGGCCCTAGCTAAAAGTGGAACGACGTCTAATGATAACAACGAAACAGTCGCAAAATCTGCCCTGGTCAGGATCAGGCACACGCGAGGTCTCATCTCATCAGTCATCACCCCCTCCCTGCCCACGTTTACCCTCGTATCGTGCAAACTTTTTCGCTGCAGCATACTCGCCCCGTTCGTGAGTTTTTGTTTGCACTATTTGATCACTCGTTTTATTAAAAAAAATAAAGTTATTATTTATTTTTTTGACTCGCTTTATTATCTAAAATATTTTAAGCATAACTTTTTGTTTTTTATATTTACATAAATTTTCTAAATAAGATGAGTGGTCAAACAGTGCAAACAAAAAACTCAAAATCCCTTATATTTTTGGACGGATGAAGTATTATACTGTCATGTCGTATTTTCGCATGCAGTTGCAACTCTCTCTCTCTATAATTTTGCCTTTACTTATCCATGGATCGAGTGAGTGTGCTGCTCATCTGTGTCAACTGCAAATTAAAGGGCATCAAGAAAGGGCGCAACAAGTAGAATAAAATAGGTCCATCATGCATGGCATCATTGTGTTTTCACACCACCTCCATTGCACATTTGCATGTGCCTCGCACTCTCCATTAGACGCCATCATCATCAGTACTCTGCCTAGTTTCCTAGTACAGCATAAATCACCCGGTTAATTAACACAGATTCACACTGCCACTGTGCCACACATATGAACTATTAGTTCTCTCCACCCGGGGGTGATTTTTGTTAAGATTGGAGAAGTTTTAATCATTGAATAACAAGCATAATTATTGTTTTAGACGTAGTTTTTTTAGATAAGTACGTAGTTTCACAGCAGAGCATGTAGGATGATTTCTCTATATTTAATGAAATAACATAATCTCGTGCTGATTTATTTGTTTTTTTAAAAAAAAGATGATGTCCAGTGCATTTCAGTTTTGTGCAACAATGGCCGTCGAGTCGACAAGAAGTATCGCCAAAGGTCACCTCCCAAACAGTCACCGCAAAAACAACATAATTGTCGCATGATGAGCTTAAACGCCACGCGTGACAGCATCTCAACTGACGACCCGAGCAACACACAAAACAATAAAAGAGTATAAAAAAAACCATGAGAAATGACATGGAGAAGATGCTGGCTCTCTCCTGTGATATTTTCTCTTCTCTCGGTTGTAACCAACCACACATACAAAAATGGCTAAACAGGGAAAGTGTTTTCATCTTGGATATTCCTCGTTTCTTAAGTATCATCTATTAGTCATTTTTTCTTTAAAAAAAGATCAGATAAATTAATATAAAATACAACCCTTCACAAACATACAAAATAATAAATATAACTGCAAATATACGTTAACTAGTTTCAGCTTAATTTGCTATTTTATTATAGCTTATAGAAATCGAATTTAATACAACCTCTATATTTATATGTATGACGTTGGCTAATTAATTTTGAGCTAGCCAGTGTAATATAAAAAAAAACGAAGGGAGTATATCTTATATTGATTTATTTTCTTATTTTTAATTTTTTTTGATAATTATTTATGTGGCATGGAAGAAACTGAGGGAATGTCCCTCGAGACAGAAAAATCAATCTCCGGCTAAACATGCATGTATAGTCCCTAAGCTAATAGGTCTCTTAAGCATCCCTGTTTTACGAATGCAAAGTGAACGGACGAAACAGGATCCGTCGCTTCCACAGGAAGCAAAGCCGAAAGAGAAAGAAAGCTAAGCTAAGCTAAGCTAAGCTTAGCGCAGGCGAGAAAGAGACGCAATGCTTATCCCATTGAATGCCAAGCTTAGCTAGCTAACATCAGGTAGATGCAATTGCATGACATAAGAATAGTTAATTAGCTTTGTGATGACTTATATATATGCAGTGTAAGCATGCAAGAGTAGTAAACCTAGCTACGATCAGCAGCTAGCAATCATCTGCATACATGGTGCGCTCACTGCTCACATTGCTTTTTTACAGTGCAGTTTGCCAAACACGATCAAAAGCAGAGTATAAGTGTAGATGAGAATTAGCCACAATGCGTGTCACCTTTCTTACTAAACACTGTAGCTAATTGCTAGTGGCACTGTTGCAAAGCACCAGCAGGAGAGACTCGAATCACGCGTACAAAGAGGAGGATGGACCAGGCAGAAAGGGGGAGGGGAAAGGGATCGTATACGGGAAAGAAAGGACTACATTCGTCTTAAAATAATTCATTTTTATCCATCTCACTCCCACACATACCAGTAAAAAAACAAAAGGACTAAAATATATTCTATTTTATCAAATCTCAATAAAATTATCCCTACTTTATCTACTTTCAATACATTTAAACTACAATGTAATGTTTATTTAAAAATAAACTTATTTTAGATATAAAGAGGAGACAAATATGAACTTATTTTGGATGGAGGGAGTAAGAAACTAGGGAGAAAAAACAGGCAATGAGTTAAGGAAATGTAGTGATGTCGGAAGGATTCAAGTAAAATTAGGAATTCAACTATATTAACTGGGGATAATTTTGTATCACGTCCGTTTTAAAATACTGTCATTTTGTTGACTTTTAATATGACTGGACAGTTTGTCTTATTTTCTAAAAGATATTACTATATTTATTTTGTTATATTTTTTTATATTAAAAAATGTTTTAAGCATGATTTATATTTTTTAAAATATTTACACTGAAGTTTGAATAAGATGAATGGTCAAATGTCATGTTCAAAAATCAATTAATAGGGTTGTATATTTAAAAATGAATATAGTAATTGCGTGCACATACATATTTACTATTCTTTTATCAATAGTAGCAGTACCATTTTTCTTCTAGAGGAACTATTGTCCACCGTGTGTAGTCAAAATGTTTGGATTTGAAAGTTGCATTGCAAAACTATTTTTCTAAAAAGAAACAATACCACCATTTTCTTTCATCCTACGTACGTATGTTCCTTAGAGGTAGCCAGAAATATCACTTCTCTCTTTCTCTTATACTAGAAAACGTGGTATTTATCGGAAAGGTACATAGAAATATCACCTCTCTCTCTCTTTTTTACTATAGAAGACGTCATACTTCTCCGTACCTTGTCATGATCTCATCTCAAGAACCCTAAAATTTCGCTTTTGTTTTACTAAACTCGAACCTGAAGTGACCCCTCTTTTCCCCATGCTATACGCTGGATCGTTCTTTTTTTTCCAACAGTTATGCTCCTCTTTTGCTTGCGGCGCAGCGATTCCAATCCTTCCTCTTGATGCATTGCCATCTATCGTGAGAAACAAAAGGCGACGGCATCTTTGCTTGGAATGTTAAAGACACATGATGATCTCACTCGCTCGGTCGGCATAATTTCTCTGCCATGCATGTGAGCTGTTTTGTGACGGAGCCAAGAGGCAACCACATGATTATTGCCAATTATACGGCCGGTCGCACACGTAAAAGCGACGAGGAGGAGCGTGAGATTCCATGGATCATTGGCAGCCAATTCGTCACACTCAGCGACAATGGATGGACACAGGATATCATGTGTTCTTCAGCTCGGCAGAATGTGCCTGTGGATTTTGGATGCATGGGGCAAGCTAATTAAGCTATAGTGTGTTTTCGTCTTGCAGCTTGGGACAAACCTGGCACCTAACAGTCCACTGTGTTCTGCTGATGGGCGATCTACCAACAAATAATCATTAGTGATCTTGCTAACCTTAGCTTCTTTCTTTGGCGCTTCATCAATTTCTTATGGGATGCTTGACTCACCCACTAACCTTACTTTGAATAGCCCTTTTTTAAGAGATTTTTTTTTATAAAAAACAGAAGTATAAGTTTGAATAGCTCTGTATGATTTGATGACTTGATCACTCCCTAATTCTATTGGAGAATTGGAACCCCCCAGACAAATTGGCATAGCGAAGGTATCATACTGATGCAGCTGTAGTCGTAGTTACATCAGAACTGATGCAATGAGTATGGGAGGTAAGGCATGCGTACACGACACCGTGCACTAGAAAATGACAGCGGCTGCTGTAAGCGTGCTTTGGCTCTAATACTGTAGCCATGCATCATGACGCAACCAACACCCGTTTTTTCAGCTAAGCTACAGCGACGCGAAAGAACTAATCCCCTTTTTTCAGTTTCATGGACTTTTGGACATACACTTAATCATTCGTTTGATTAAAAGTTCTGTAAAAATAGTAAATTTATAAGCTATGCTTAAAGCATCTTTAATGATAAAGAAAACATAACAAATAAATAGTATTTGTGTAATTTGTTGAATAAGACGAACTGTGAAACTAATGGATAAAAGTCAATGAATATAGATATGAGCTTTCCTTCTTAATGAAATATGCATATGAGTACATTTAAACTGAAGCAGCTATGTTGTCTGAATCGAGCATGAACTAAACATGAGCACTGTTTCAAATTTCTTTTACTGCGTTAGAGGCGTAAATTACTGCATTGTAACTTAGAAAACTTACCGCTTGATGGCAGTCATTGTCATTTGTCAGCATCCTAAGCACTTGACACAAGGTGATTTTGTGAGGCTCGATCGGAAGAACCCTCCCCTTGGATCCAAACAAAAGCGATGGCGCCTTCTCATACCCTACAGGTCTACATAAAACAAAGACATGAAGAAGCATCAAGCCCCACACCTGAAAAAGAAATAAAAAAAGATGAGGCATAAAATAGAATACAAAATGGATGGGTACAGACAAGGGGACCAAGACCGAGAAGCAGCGTTCAACTCCTTGTCCAGTTGAATGTTGATCATAAGAAAAACAGATGTGTATCCTGGAGAATCGTGCATCAACGGACGACCACTGTCCAGCTCACAAGGGTCTCCTCTCAAATTGATTGATACTGAAATGCAACCATAACACAAATTTCCGAATCATCACCTCAAATTTAATTTCAGAGAGAACTGCGTGATAAATGTATATATATAATGTCCAAATTTCGGAACTGAACATGTTCGTGGACATGGAGGGCATCCATCAATGCACCCGCGAAAACAGGAGTTCCTCAATAGAAGTATTGCAACATTGCTGCAAGTGCAAACAATTCAGATGACGAGGTTGCTTGAATGCAGGAGGAATACATATACAATACAAACATACAGGTAGTGTACCTTCCCGTGAGGCTGGGACCCGTTCATCCAACAACCATCGACATGCATGCCAAACCCCCAAGGTCTCAGATAGCTCAACTGCCGGGAACAATTAGCTAGAGAACAGCAACACAAGCAGTATACTATGCTGCTAATTTGCTAGTACTAATATACCACCCCACAGGTAGTGGAAAAACTTGGAGACAGGGTAGAAAGGAAAGCCAGGGACCTGTCAGCCTTGTGTCCCCTTTGTTCTTTCTGCCTTCCTCAGCATGGCGGCTCCACACCCCTCTCCTTGTGCTTTGTGTGTGCCTCCCTCCTTCAGTATAAGTACAAATGTAGTACTCCAGTCACAGGCAACCAAAGAACCATCACTTGGTACCAGTAGTGCAACAACTTGTTCAGTCGAGAGGAATACCTTCTAGCCTTCTAGTAGCCAGGATGGCCATGGAGAGAGCTTGGAAGCCAAGGGAAATTGCTGACACTTTTGGCATTGAGATGGATGAAGAGGAGGCTGCGGCTGCGGCGATACCGCCTCCGCAGACGCCATTGGAGCCCATGGAGTACCTGTCGAGGTCATGGAGCGTGTCAGCGTCAGAGATATCCAAGATCCTTTTCAACGGGAGCAAGAAGAGCTTTGCCGCCAAGCGTCTGCCGGAGATGACCATACCGGAAAACTCTGTGGTCGCTGCGTCCATTGTTCCCAGCCATCTGCAACATGTAATCAATCAACAGCTCTCTCCATCCCTTGTTTTTCCTCCTGTTCTCCTCATCTGCAAGATAATCAGAGTCAGAAAAGAAGCAATGGAAGAACATAATTTAGATAAGTTTGAACAGCATGGTCTAATCATTTTGAATCTCGTTTATACAAACGTTTCTGCAGATAGACACAAGAAGGAATTCAATCAGCAGCCACCACCTGCCAATTGGGAGGTGGTTCCAACACAAGGAGGCAAGCCGGGTCAAGCAGAGCAGCAAAGAGAAGCTGCGAGCCGAGAAGGCCCATGTACACGCCATGGTGTCGGTGGCCCGGGTCGCAGCTGCCGTTGCTGCGGTTACCGCGGCCACCACGAGCTCAGATATCCAGACCTCCAAGATGGCCGCGGCCATGGTGTCGGCCACCGAGCTATTGGCTTCGCACTGCGTGGAGATCGCGCAGCACGCGGGGGCACGCCATGAGCAGGTGGCCTGTGCCATCCAGTCTGCAGTTGGTGTTAGAAGCTCTGGTGATCTGATGACACTCACAGCAGCAGCAGCTACTGGTATGGAATATTTGATATCTTGATGAAATCTATATATGATGTTTCATATATAAATTTAAGTTCACATGAACATTTGGTTTCACAGCTCTTCGAGGAGCCGCAACAATGAAGCAGAGAGTGCAGCGAGAGATGAGAAGCAATGCGAGTGTTCTTCCGTATGAGAAGGGTCACTCATGGAGTCCTGACATCTGGTGCAAGGAGGGGGAGTTACTGAAACGCACAAGAAAAGGTAAGAAAAAAGGGCACCATTTAGAACACCCATTTAGGAATAAAAAACCATCAACATGTGGACTTAAGCATGATCAAAATAATTAAGGTTCAGAATTTCATTCTTGATGCAGGAGATTTACACAAGACACGAGTATCTATATACATCAACAAGAGGTCACAGGTAGGAATATTTCATTGCACACTAGCAAATGCTGAAAACCTAGCAGACAGAACTGAGCAATTACTAACAACATGGCCAAATAATAACAGGTCATATTGAAGTTGAAGAGTAAACACATAGGAGGAGCACTATCAAAGAAGAACAAGAGTAAGTTTCAGTACCTGCAAAGTAGTATATCTTTCTGACTCTAACAGAGTGTCAGTCCATGAAATTTCAGAACTGAACATTCTGCCTGTAATTGGGTGCAGGTGTGGTTTTTGGTGTGTACAACGAGCTTCCCACATGGGTTGAGGCAGGGAAACATTTCACAGAGGAGAGATGCTGCTTTGGCCTGAGCACGGCACAAGGTCTGGTAGAGTTTGAGTGTGAGAACAGCACAAGTAAACAGAGGTGGGTCGATGATGTGAAGAATCTGCTTCGGCAGGTCGCTGCAGAAGAGCAAGTGGAAAATAAGTTGGGATCAGTGAAGCTCAGTTGATGTAGTTCATACATGTGTACACTATTTTCATGTTGGCAGGTGGTATACCATAGAAGGTGCCTTATTGATGCCAGGCGTATATATTGTTGTACTCTTAAATTGTCAGGTAGTTTTGTACTGTACACACAAAATGATAAGATACATAATAGATCATATGTTAGTCCACTCTAGTCTGTTGCTATGATACAGTCATACAGATACATTATACTCTAAGGACCAAACACAGTAACAGAAGACTCAAATAGGGTATTGGACCATTAATTAATGCTCTGTTAATTGTACCATACACCATTTTTTTTTGAAAAGAATCAGCACGAGATTGTGCTATTTCATTGGATATAGAGGTAAAAAAAATACAGTCCCTAGAGGCAAGAAAAGAAAATTGTACATGAAAACAGAGACTATGACTAAGATGGGAGGAATTCTCCGAGACGCCTTGCGCCTGCTATGATCCAGGTTCTTGCCTCTTCCTTTATCTTCGCTATAAGATTGGGGGCCGCTGTTTCCTTATGCTCAAAGATCCGCTGGTTCCTTTCCTTCCAGATTTCCCACATGATGAGTAGGATTAAGGATCTCAATCCTTTCTTGGGCACTTCATTTATGTTAGTCAGCATTTCCCACCATTCTTGGACACTTTGGTATGGCTCCCAATGAGTTGGGTCCAATTACTGATAGGCCACCCAGCTAGCCGTTAGGCGCCAGATCCTCTTGGTGTATCTACAAGAAGCGATTAGGTGAAATGCCGTCTCATTCGTCGCACGACATAGGGGGCACGTTCCACTATTTGGCCATCCTCTTGCAGCTAGTCGGTCGGAGGTCCAAACTCTATTTTGTATCACAAGCCACGCATAAAATTTGCATTTCGCAGGGGCCCAAGATTTCCAAATTAAGGAATTGTAGTTGGTACCGACGTTCCCAAGCAATCCTCCAACATTCTAACTAAAACAAAAAGGCATTCCAACAGCTTGCCTAAATGAAGAGGGTTTACCCTATAGCTTATAACTTATCCAATGTAAATTACTCATCAATATCTAAAACTGCACAAGGAGCATAAAAATTTCAGTTCATCACAATTACTTCACTTTGCATAGAACCCCTCGGTGGAATTTAAATTGCTAGCAGCAAACAAAGAGGGAGCGGACCTGGCCGAGAGGAGCAGGATTAGAAAAGGTCTCCCTCAAGCCTTTTCCTCTGTCTCGGCGTTGGGGTTGTACAGCGCCCTGCCTGCGTGTTCTGCAATTGAGCCTTTGAGGCAAAACATCGAGCACCTACCGTGCCAACGCGCCGTGCCCGATCACCCAACCCCCACCCACCGTGGAATCAACAAAGATGCTTCCTCACCTGCGAGACGAGAATCCCCACCGGACGAAAGGCGGCGGCGCTCTGGTTCCCTCCCCGATCTGGCGATCTCCGATCTCCGCTGCGCCCAGTTTGTCGGAGTCGGAAACCGGCGGAGCAGAGGAGATAATATAGGAATAAAATCACTTTGACTCCCTTAACTGACCACCGAATCTAAATCGTAGTATCCCTCAACCGTAATACCAGAAATCTCGACCCCCCGAACTTGCAAAACCGGTGAAATTTGACTCCCTCGGCAGTTTTAGGGTGGTTTCACTGACGTGGCGTCTATGTGACGATATTGACCGAGTCTTCGGTCCACGTGGCGTTGACGTGGCACTTACGTGACAATAGAATTAAAAAATATACGTGGGACCCATTAGTCATTCACACAAAAAGAAATGTGGGCTCACTGACATGTGGGGGCAGTCCTTCCTACTTCCTCCTCCCTCTCTCTCCCTTCTCTCTCTTTCTCTCAATCTCTCCCCAACTTCCCATTCGACCGGCGAGCGAGAGGGCAGCAAGAGCGAGCGGCCGGCCCGGCTCGGCCTCGGTGGGGAGGCGGTAGGAGGAAGAAGGAAGGGCTAACATGTGGGCCCTACATGTTAGTGGGCCCCACATTTTTTTTGTGTGTGAATAACTAATGGGTCCCACGCATATTTTTTAATTTTACTGTCAGGTCAGTGCCACGTCAACGCCACGTGGACCGAAGACTCGGTCAATATCACTATGCAGGCGCCACGTCAGCGAAACTGCCGAGGGAGTTAAATTGCACTGGTTTTATAAACTCGGTTGGTCGAGATTTCTGGTATTGCGGTTGAGGGATACGATTTAGATTCGGTAGTCAGTTGAGGAAGTCAAAGTGATCTTATTCCGATAATATATGGGGCTCACCTCAACCGGGCCGTTACGGCCCAATAAGCCCAACTTTGCGTCCGTAAACGGATCAACTAGTTCCGGCCCAACAAGCCCAACTCCGACTCCGTTTTCCCTTCATGCTCGCGCGCTCTGCTACTCGTCTCGGATTCGGCGTGGCCGCGAGACATGGTTACAATTAAACGTGACCTCGAATTCGCTAAATCGGGTGTCGCGACGACGACGTCCATGGCGACGATGAGGAATCGGTTCGCCACTCGAATGCTCAACCTCCACCGACTCGTCAAGTCCAATCTCGTCGCCGGCCTCCTCCGCCGCCGCGGCCACCGCCCGCTTGACGCGCCGCCGCCGCGGATACGCGTGCTCATCGATGGCAACGAGGCTACGGTGGTCGACGTCGACCGGCTGCTGCTCAAGCCGTCCTCGCCGTCCTCCGCCACCGCGCTGTTCCCGCCATTCTTCCTCCTCGCCGTCGAGGCCGGCGGGTTCGTCAGGGGCCTCGTGCTGCTCGCGCTCTACCCGGCGCTGCGCCTCCTGACGGCGGAGGGGGCCCGGTTGAAGGCCATGGCCATGGTCTGCTTCCTTGGGCTGCGCCGCGGCGAGGCGGCCAGGGCCGGCAGGGCTGTGCTCCCCAGGTATTTCTTCCGGGAGGCGGCGGACGTCGAGGCGCTGATGGAGGCGGCGGCTTCTGCGCGCAAGGAGGTGATCACGGTGGTGGCGGCGGCGAGCAGGTTGTTCCCGACGGTGATGGTGGAGACGTTCTTGAAGGAGTACGTGGGGTTCGACGCGGTGGTCGGGAGGGAGGTCAGCTTCGCCGGCGTCATGGACGACGACGACGGCGACGACAATGGAGAGGTTTAGGGATGTGGTGAACAAGACACCGAGGAATGGAGCAGGGCCGCGGCCATTGATCTTCCACGATGGCCGGCTCGCGTTCACGCCGACGCCCGCGGCGGCGCTCGCCATGTACGTGTACCTCCCGTTGGCCGTCGCCCTCTCCGTCCTCCGCATCGCCATCTTCACCCTGCTCCCACGGGGCGTGTCGGGCGCCGCAGCCGCGCTCGCCGGCGTGAGGCTGCGCGTCGCCGGCGCGCCTAGGCCTCCAGCGGCGGGCGACGCCGCCGGCGGCCGGCTCTACGCCTGCAACCACCGCACGCTGCTCGACGCGGTCGCCGTGTCGGGCGCGCTCGGGAGGCCCGTGTCCTCCGTGACCTACAGCCTGGGCCGCCTGTCGGAGCTGCTCTCGCCGATCCCGCTGCTGCCGCTGGCGCGCGAGCGCGAGGAGGACCGGCGCCGCATGGCGTCGCTGCTGTCGCGCGGCGACGTCGTGGTGTGCCCCGAGGGGACGACGTGCCGGGAGCCGTACCTGCTCCGGTTCAGCCCGCTGTTCGCCGAGCTCGCCGACGAGGTGAACCCCGTGGCCGTGCGCGCCGCCGCGGGGATGTTCTACGGCACGTCGACGTCGCCGTCCGCCAAGTGCTTCGACTCGGTGTTCTTCCTGATGAACCCGTCGCCGGAGTACGGCGTGCACTTCTTGGAGCCGGTGGCCACGGCCGGCGCCGGCGCCGGCAGCAGCATCGAGGTGGCGAACCGGGTGCAGAGGGTGATCGCCGGCGCGCTCGGGTACGAGGCGACGACACTGACGAGGAAGGCCAAGTACTTGCTGCTTGCCGGCAACGAAGGTGGCGTGGCAACCAACAGAAGCAACAACAAGTGAACAACTAATCATGGGAATATATATCTGTTCTAGTGTTCAAGAACATTGTGTGGGAGTAATTCCTTTTGATTTGTTGTTTGGGGGGCACGATAATTTGTAGTGCAATTCAAGCACTGTATACTGTATTTGAAACAGTGGCTACATTATGTGTGTAATTTTAGTCATGCAATTTCTTCAGTTCTTCACCGTCTACTATCGACAGATTCCTAGGTACTCATTCCGTTTCACAATGTAAGTCATTCTAGCATTTTCCACATTCATATTGATGCTAATCAATTATTGATGCTAATCATTGATTAGCATCAATATGAATGTGGGAAATGCTAGAATGACTTACATTGTGAAACGGAGGAAGTGGTGTTCTTTCCCTTTCTTTCCCATCTTCACATTCTGCGTGCATGTTTTTTCAAAAAAATTTCAAATTGCTAAATGGTGTGTTTTTTGAAAAAAGTTTTCTACAGAAAAGTTGTTTTTTTAAAAAAAATCATATTAATCTATTTTTAAAATTTTTTAGACTGATACTTAATTAAACACGCGCTAATCCTCTCAAACTCAGCCTTATTAGGAGTAAAATCATCTTTTTGCACGATATTATTTTTTGAGTAAATTGCATTGTCGGTACACGAACTTATCAGGTGGGTGCAATCTAGTGCACAAACTTATAAAATACTCGTTTTGATGCACGAACTTATGTGGTGCGTGCGGCGGAAGTCAAAAAGGACATTACATGACTAATGTTATTGATTTAGGGGCTGATTAGGATACTATGTTAACATATATATATATATATATATATATATATGTATATGTATATATATATATATGTATATATATGTATATGTATATATATGTATATGTATATACATATATCTATGTATATATATATATATATATATATATATATATATATGTATATATATATATATATATATGTATATGTATATATATATGTATATGTACATATATGTATATACACATACATATATATATACATAGATATGAGGAGGTTGCCATTAGACATACACCTATTCAATAAAATATAGAATAGGATTTAGTGAATGTAGAAAAAGATTAAAAAAAATCAAGCACTAATATAAGGGTTAAAAATATATGAAATTCATCATTTCAATGATGAAGGATAAAGTAGAAATTAAATTTATAAATATTGCATGACTTATACATAATCACTGCACGTATGCACGTTACATCCTAATCAACATCAACTTTATAAAATTAACATTGCCAAGTTATTTTGGTCCTCGTTCGCACGAACTAGGCACGTTCAAGCACTGAAACGAGCATTTTACAAGTTTATGTACTAAATTGCACCCACCTAACAAGTTTGTATACCACCAATATAATTTACTCTTATTTTTTTAATTTTGCAAGAACCACTCCATAAGTCACTTGAAGGGTCTTTGCAACAAAATTAAGTTGGTAGGTGGGCATTTGCGATAAAATAACTTAAGGATGGAATATCAAACTTTAAGTGTTTCATGGGATGGTTTTTACAATTTTTCCAAGGATAAAAGGACTCATAATGGGATACAATAGTTAGTCTCTCTATAAAAATTGTAGTGGCAAAATACTTAGGCAACTCTCCTGCAGTGGCAAAACCTTTTATTCGCACACCGCACACGCATCATTAATCATTCCCAATATGAAAAGAGCATTCTTTTAGTAAACGATGGGTCTAATAATGTTCCAAGTGTTCAACCAGTTATGGAACTACTTATGCCGATACCTTGAGAGACGTTCTCTTAACACCTACTCCGGTAAAAGGCACACGGGTTACAAAGGTCAGTTTCATTTCTTATGTTATTCATATATTCCTATGCTTGTCTTGTATCTTTACTGTTTTATTATGATGGTATGTCCTGCACAGCTTCATGCTCACTGACAACCGTTCATGCTGCTCCATTCTCTGGTGTAATGCTGGGATGATTCCCGACCACGCTCATTTCTTGCATCGGTGGGGGGTTGACGATGGTGTTCCGATTAGCGTTGTTATCTGCAAGACGGCCCTTCCTTTCTCGATGCTCCTGACAGTTCGCGCACCAGTGCAGGCAGCAATGGACCAGGCAAGGATCACACGGTGAATCCTGGTGGAAAAGGAAACAATATGACATATGACGTGAAAAATCAGCTTATTAATTAGTAAAATGACTATCTCAAAAGATAAATATAACTGCTAGAGCTATTTTCTAGAAAACGCTGGATATGAAAGGAGAGGCTTTCATATCGATATGTTAATAGAAGAGGATGATAACTGAGCCATCGCGCAGTGGGTCGGGTCTGCAGTGGTGCGCCCGAAGGCCTGCGTTCGAATCCCAGCGAACGCATTCATCCTCTTCTTAATACATATCAATATGAAAGCCCCTCCTTTCATATCCAGATTTTCTTTTCTATTTTCTAGAAAACAAAAGTTGCTGATTGATGTTATCCTGAACATAATATTAACCGTAATATTGAATGGTATGACGTAACCATGGAAAGTCATGGAGGGTTAAAAAAAACCTTGAGATGATATTTTCTCTGGAGTTGTTGACGAAAAATTCCAGTATAGGTAGCAAATAACCACCAACTAAACACCAGTCCTTCACCAATCAAGATTGATGTGCTTGGATCAATACCAGGAAATATCACTGTTAGGATTGCTAATGCAATGCCACCTTCAACACAAACAGCATGGCAAGTGCAAGGTGTAGTCCATGGGATATCTTCTCTTAGGGCCTCAACATTATGTCCAAACAGCACACAAGGGAAGAATGATCCAGTCCAGCCTAAAAACAGAGAAGGTAAGCAGTTCAGGCAGAAAAAAGGAATAAGTATATTCCCAGTGAAAAAAAAAAGTATATTGGGATATAAGATCAATCCTGAAATGATAAAGAGAAGAATCGACTCTTCTCCAACAAATAAACTATTAACCTCCAAAAAAGTGATCATACAAAATGAAGACAATGGAGTGATGACATATTTTGGTATAAACAGAATATATACCTATTAGAATTAATTAAATGGCTGTTATTGGGTATGGACTGCACAAAACAAATAAATTTGGCGGTGATCCCTCTCATGATTCATCGTGCCAATATGAGCAATAAAAAAGGGAGTACATTGAAAGATATATGACTGACAAAATCAAGAGCACACAACACTACCCCGTGAAAGTCGTGCAAGAAAATAACTGGGCGGTTCATAAGACGGATCAGAAGAGATGATGGAGTTATCCTGGTAACGTGGTTAGTTTGGAAGGAACATAATGCTCAGGTGTTCGATGGAAAAACCATATCGGCGGTGCATCTCTGTGCCACCATCACTGACGATTGGGAAACATGGAAGGCCGCTGGACTGCTGCGCGTGATCGATGGCGGTTAGATTGCCGAGAATTCCCTTTGTGGCTCTAGTGTGTTTATAGGCTCCCGCTGCGGCGGTTGATTGTATCCTAAGCCAATCTCGGCTCATGATGTTTTGTAAAGATTTCTCTCCTTCTTAATATACATCCGGCCCGGCGAAAAGAAAATAACTGGGCCAAAGACCACGGGTTACAATTATATATGAATCATACTTTTGGCCTTGTACATTTTTGTCATCTGTCTGCTCAATGATTTATTTCAAATGTATTGTTATGCAGGGAAAGTGTAGATATTTCAGATGCATATTTAAGAAAAAATCTTCCATATTGAGAACATGAAAGTAACATCAATCACAAACCTACATTACATCAACATCAATCACAAACCTACATTACATCAAACATGGCGTAAAAAAATGATGGTATTCAAATCGTACCGCAAACTTTGATTGGTAATCTCTGAACTCGCATCCTTTCAATGGTACAGCCTACAGGCAAGTTTTGCATTTTTCTTTCATGGCAAACTTGTGGTCAATTTCTTTCCACACCAACTATGCAAAATGCACTGATTTTGCACGGATCATAGAAACCAACAAACTAGAGGAATGTAAGGTATTAGAGGTTCTCAACCACCTACTTGTTAAAACAACAGGGAAGGGGCGAATTAGGCAAGCCGCCAACAGAAGTGCCCAATGCAGACCAACTGATCATGAACACCCATGCAAAGTTCACATAAGAATTGAGGTTCATTCTGGAACATATTTGCCATCACTTCAGATGACAATCAACTAGAGAGAAGTAGTGATCCCTGATTAAGTGATTATGCATGGCCATCAATTAGCATAACCAAGTTGAATGCCCACCCGACTCTTGAGGTCTCAGCATAGTCTTCTGAGAAATTAGCGGTTCATTTGGGGGTTTTGGACCTAACCTCTGATAAATCTGAAGCAACTAACCTATGAAAAATAGGCTTCATAAGCAATCCCATTCCAGTTTCCAGGAGTTGATTAAATCTGAAAGTCACCAACCCTCCTATAAAAGTATGAACGATATGAACTCTGAATCCAGATATCATAAATTGCAATCAAATCTTATACCTACACCGATATTCACATAGCAAATGGTGACACACGAATTGTCTCTCAACGATTCCTTAAAAATTAAAACCCGCATGACCGCACGAATCATGATCAGGGAATGGGATAAGTAAACTACCAGGATTATAGAATCACAGGAAATGGAAAGTGCGAGGGAGAAATGGCAGCGAGACGTACAGCTCTCGGTGTCCTCGGCGCATCCGCAGATGCCGGTGGTCCACGGCTCGTCCGCCGGCGCCTCGTAGCTCTCCGGCAGCTGCTGCCCGCACTCGCAGCACCTCCTCTGCTCCAGCTACACGCACGCACGCAAACCACACAGCCCCCCACCTCGAACAAGTCAGATCGGACCAACAACAACACGAGGGCACCACGGAAAGGAAGGGAGTGCGACGCGAGATCGCGCGCGAGGGAAATGGCGCGAGACCTGCGGGAAGTGGGCCGGCAGGTTGAGCTCGCCGGGGCGGATGTCCTCGTCGGCGGGCGCGTCCTGGTCCCTCGTCAGCTGCACGTACCTCGACGGGTGGCCGAGGCCGGCCTCCTCCGCCGCCGCCGCCATCGCCTCCCGGAGAGCAGAGCGCTCGCGGAATCGCGATCTCGCCTCTCCTCCTCGCCGAGGATTTTGTTTGGGCGGCGGCGAGGTGGCGCGACGCCGACGAGCGCGACGACTGCGCGGGGTGTGGGTGCGATGCGACCGAATGCGAGTTCGACCGACCGACTCGTCTCCTGCTTCCTGGGCCTGATCCAAACAGGCTAGGAATAAGTTCACTTTGTGACCCTCAAAAGTGATCGAAATCTAATATGTGACCCTAAACTACAAAACCGGATATCTCGACCCCCAACTCTTAAAACCGGTGCAATTTGACTCCCTCGGCGGTTTTGAAGGGCTGTTTCGCTAACGTGACGCCTACGTGGCAGTATTGACTCGGTCTTCTGTCCACGTGGCGTTGACGTGGCACTTAGGTGTCATTAGAATTAAAAAATATGTGCGGGACCCATTTGTCATTCAAAGCAAATTTGTGGACCCACTGACATGTGGGGCCCATATATTATCCTCTCTCCTCTTCATCCTCCTCCCCCTCTCTCTCTTCTCTCCCTTTCGCACGTCTGCAGGGACGGGAGCTGGAGCGCCGGCGGCGGGGAGCGCTGGAGGCCCGCAAGGCTCCTGCCCCTCGCGTCCCCCTCCTCCGCGGTCGCGCCATCATCCATGCGAATTTGTTGCTCTGCTTGCCTATCTGCAGCTTTGCTCCGTCGGTCAACCCTTTGCTTGTTGGCTTGTCGCTTGATGTTAGTACATACTCCCTCTATTTCGAAATATTTGACGCCGTTGACTTTTTTTAACATGTTTGACCGTTCGTCTTATTAAAAAATTTAAGTAATTATTACATCTTTTCCTAACATTTGATTCATTGTTAAATATATTTTTATGTAGGCATATAATTTTACATATTTCACAAAAGTTTTTGAATAAGACGAACGGTCAAACATGTGTTAAAAAATCAACGGTGTCAAACATTTCGAAACGGAGGGAGTACATGCACTGCCTGTTGCTACCGCTTGCTAACCGCAACCCTCATCTGTCGACCCTTGCCGATTGCCTCGGCAACCAGCAGGAGAATGCTCGACACAGATGCCTCCCAACTCCCATGTGGTCGCGTCGTTGTCGGCCGGCTCGGCACGCTGACCGCGTCCATCAGCGGTACCACCGCCTCCCCCGCCCGCGCTGCTCCTCCCACTTTCAACGCCGTCGCCGCAGGTGCAGAAGAAGCCACCGTCGGATGCTGCCATCTTCGAGAGGATGCCGACATGAGTCCGGTGACGAGACGCACAGCCCTTATGCGTTCGTGGGCGCGGCGGGAGAACGGCAGAGGCGGGTGCGTCGTGGCCGGCAGAGAAGGCGTGGAGCGCAGCGGTGGATAGTGCGGTGGCGGGGCCGAGGGTGGCGAGGCCGAGGATGGCGAGGACGCGGCCGTTTCTCGTGGCCCGTTTTCTTCCTCCCGACGGCCAACCTTCCACGGCGGCCTCGATCTCCGCCGCCGCCGCTGCTCCGGCCCTTGCACGCACGCCGCCGTCGCCGCTTTGGCCCTGGCGCGCACGCCGCTGTCGCCGCTCCAGTGCCACTCCCGGGTCTTTGCCACTCGCGGGCCACTGCACCGCCACCGCCGGCAACGACACCATGGGGAGGGGCGGAGGAGGCTGTGGATGGGGTTGGAGGAGGCACCGGCCATCGCCGCTATCTCCCGTCCAACGCTCGTGGAGAGAAAGAGAGGGGGGAGGATATGATTTATGTGGGCCCCACATATCAGTGGGTCCCACCCGCACTTTTAGTGAATGACAAATGGGTCCCACCCATATTTTTTATTTCTAATGACACCTAAGTGCCACGTCATTGCCACCTGGACAGAAGACCGAGTCAATACTGCCACGTAGGCAACACGTCAGCGTAACCGCCCTCCAAAACCGTTGAGGGAGTCAAATTGCACCGGTTTTAAGAGTTGGGGGGGGTCAAGATATCCAGTTTTGTGGTTTAGGGTCACGGATTAGATTTCGATCACTTTTGAGGGTCACGAAGTGAACTTATTCCAACAGGCTAACAGAACAATTGGGCCTTCGAAAGCCTTGCTCATAGACGGATTTGGCCCATTTAGGCCCATCCAAATATAGAGAAAAGATTGCACCGTAGGCCCACTAACGTTTGGGCCGCAAGAGGCTTCTTGTTCTCAATTTAGGCCCATCGGATTTGGTTCGCTTTCATTGGAAGCCAATTGGGAGAAAAACCGATTCGTTTTTTCATACGCACGTTTCTAAAAATGCTAAACGGTAATTTTTTTTAAAAAAAAATCTGTTTACTTCAAAAAATCATGCTAACTTATTTTAAAAATTGAAAATAATTAATACTTAATACATTATACGCTAATGACTTATCACGTTTTGTGTCTTAATCTTCTCTTTTCACTTCCTCTCAAACACAGGAAGGGAGGGCTCGGTTTACCATTGCACCCTTTGAGGGTTTTCTCTATGCAATGAACTGGAGATGGGTAAAAGAGATTGAAAACAGAGTAATGGTGGTATTAATTATAAGTTGTAGTTAAAAGGCGTCACTCATAAACTCTTCTGTTTTTAAATTGAAAACCATCAAAGTTTTGTTCTAGATTTATAATATAGTAGTACATTTTAAATCTCTGTATTGATAACCTCTGCATATATAATATATCCAACCTCGTATGTATGAGTATGGCACATTATTTGCTTTTAAGATTCTACATGATATTTCCCTCTCACACAACTTATACATGCACGCACACATGCATTTAGACAAAAGTACATCTTGCACGCATTGATCTCTCTTGTGAGATCATATAGTGAAAAAAAATGAGCCGTGTTTTTCATCAGCGATCACATTAGCAAAATACACTTATACAGTATACACCACTAGTATCAATAAGATGAACTTGAAATGAATCTATTATATTATTAAAGGAATAGAAAAAGGAGTCTCCACGTTCGCTCTCATGGCCTAGAAATTCTCACATTAATCGGAGAAAAAGAAAAAGCAGAGTCCATATAGAAATACAATTTAGAAAGAGCTGAAATTCGGAATTAAAAAAATAAGAAATATTAGAAGAGGAGACTAGAGTCCATATAGAAATACAATTTAGAAATAATTGAAATTCGGAATTAAAAATATAAGAAATATTAGAAGAAGAGACTAGAGTCCATATAGAAATACAATTAGGAAATAACTGAAATTCAAAATTAAAAATAAGGAATATTAGAAGTAGAGTATAGAGTCCATATAGAAATACAATTAGGAAACAATAGAAATTCGGAATTAAAAATAAGGAATATTAGAAGTAGAGTATAGAGTCCATATAAAAATACAATTAATACAATTAAGAAAAAAAATAGAAATACGGAATTAAAAAATAAGAAATATTAGAAGTAGAGTATAGAGTCCATATAAGAATTTAAAACTAACTAAAATTCGGAATAAACATAGTAAAATTAAAAGTAAAGTTTTGAGTCCGTATAAAAATACAATTTACAAATAACTAAAATTCGAAATTAAGAAAAACATGGGAAGAAGAGTTTAAAGTCAATATAGAAATACAATTTAGAAGTAACTGAAATTCGAAATTAAAAATTAAATAATATTGAGAGATGAGTTTAGAGTCCACATAGAAACACAATTAAAAATAATAAAAATTCAGAAATAAAAATAAATAATATTAGAAGAAGAGCCTAAAGTCTATATAGAAATACAATTTACAGAAAATTCGGAATTAAAAAAAGAAATATTAAAAGACGAGTCTAGAGTCCATATAGGAATATATATAATTTACAAATAACTAAAATTTGATATTAAAAATAATTACTAACCAACACGTATATAAAATACAATATGAATATTACTCATTTGTAGTTTCGTAAAGTTATTGCAAAATTTAAAATTATGATATCATTTTAATATATTTGAATAATATAATGAGAAAACATATATGCTATTATATGAGAGAAAATATAATGATGCTAGCCGAGCAATCTGCGCGGGTCACCATGCTAGTTCTTCAGTAAGACAAGTAAATCACATATATATACTTGTTGCCATATATATCTACCTTAATTAAACCTTAAACTTTTCAACCAATAGCCTAGCTAGTCAATGCATGCTTGGCCTATGTACGTAGAGTACGTATACAAAGAGAGAAATAATGATCTGCTATTATAGTGCTAGGCTGCTAGCTACGAACGGAACCATCCGAGGTCGAGCCGGCCGGGCTCGTAGCCGCCGCCGGCGGCGGAGGACGGCGGCGGCGGTGTCGCGCCGTCCAGCTCGCCGTCGGGCACCTTGGCGAAGCGGCCCTTCACGCGCGGCCGCATCTCGGCGTAGGCCTTGCGCGAGGCGTACCGGATCTGCTTCTCGTATCGCCTCCGCTTCCTCTTCTCCTTGTACCGCATCACCTTCGCCTCCCGGTCCATCGCCGGGTCGCCGCCGCCGCCGCTCAGGCCGCCGTTGGCAACGACCGCCGCCGCCGCCGCGTGATCTTTCGGGATGGAGCTCACGGCGTCAGTGAACGTGCTCCCACAGAAGGACATCTGAAAAGAAAATCTCAGCTAATTAGTTACAGTTAATTACCTGCAGGTAGTTGACAGTTGACACACCGTTGAATACTTGACTTGAAAAATATAATGAACAGTACAAGTAGATGAAGTTGCTTATAGACATGCATCATTTGTCACTGGATTTAGTAACTGGCTAACGTTCGTACTGCTACACAATTGGTATGCGTGTACGTGTATACACGTAGGTATACGTGCTTATATACACACACAAGTATATGGCCATTATGGCAACGTTTTCCTGATCGATCTGATTGCAGTATTACAGAATACAGATACATGAGGTGCACTTGTACCATTATAGTACTGGAGCTAGGCCAGATACATGCAACAAACCCCAAATCGCCAGGATGAACTAACTTGAACCTTTTGATCAGAATTATATATAACTGAATCTTGCAGCCCAAAATTGACTAATATATATAAGCATGCATGCATGCCCCCTTGTGTTTTACTTTGATTTTTGACCGCACATCAAGCAGACTGGCAGACTGCAGACCGATTGTCGATTGTCGAAGATCATGAGCTCTTATGTCCAACAGCTTTATGAACTCTCTAAGGACAGAAATTAGCAGCAAGATACTCTAGCATGCATGAAATGAGAACCGGCGCTGGTATCAATTTACTTATATTATGGAGGCATTCTTGTTTTCGAAATTACAATGTAGGTAACTTATCATCGATCATCCATGCACACAAATTCGGTTGCAGAGGTAACTGCTAGCAGTGTTAAGTATGGAAAAAGCTCACAAGATTGACCCTTCAAATTAATTAAACAGATGCAATTAATCTGCAGATACAGTATGTCATCACAGAACATGTTTTTTTTTTCTTTTGAAAAATGACCGTTTTACTCTAGAATAATTGTAGCCATGCCATGCGTCACTCAAATGACGAACTCCATCAGGCCCCACTGTACGTAATTTTTGGACACTACAAAATCAGGGGAACTTCTCTCAGCTTTCAGACACATTTGTTTTCTACATTTATTTATTTTCAGGGAATGGTTTTTCTTTTCAACATTTCCCCAAATGAAGAGATATATACTTAGCTTACAACTGTCAAATCAATTCAGAATATAAGCTTTCAAGTGAAATTAATTTATATCGCCACTAGCTCTCAGCGACATGTTAATTATCTCTGAAAAGGACAAGTTAAAGCAAGGGTACAAATGGTGCACTGTTATGGATCAGCTAGCTCTCCTAATAGGTTGGAGAGTGTTGGACCGATAAATTGACACCGTTTGACATTTCTGCCAACTAATTATTAATTTGCATGTGCGCAGCTATAATTTGGACGCAAAATTTAAAAGAAGTGTTTAAATTAATGGGAAATTTGAGGGATGATCAAGAGAGAGAGAGGGAGACGAATTCGAACCACTCACGATTGTGCTGCTCGACGTCGCCGGGTTCCTGCCGCCGGCGCCGGCGCCGCCGAGGCCGAGGCTGGCCTCGAGCACCGCGGCGGCGGCCTCGCCTCGGGTGAGCGGCACGTCGAACGTGAGCCCGTGCCCCGGCTGGTACTGCGCGTACGCGTCGAACGCCTGCCGCTGCTGCGCCGCCGCCGCGCCGTTGCCGACCGCCATGGGCGCGGTTTGGCGGTGAAGCTGGTGGTCCGTCCCGCCGGGCGGCGCCGGGTCGTTGAAGAGCCACGCGACGCTGTCGTGGTCGTCGTGGCCGAAGAACTGGAACTCCTGCAGCCCGGCCGCCGGCTGGGCTCCTCCATCCCCTTCCACCGCCGTCTCCTCCACCCCCACCCCCTGAAAGATCGCCGGAAACCCCCGGTTCAGGTCCGCCGCGATCCCGCACCTCACCCCTCCACCTCCACCACCACCGCCTCCCCCACGCCGCTGATGCAGCAGGCACCCGCACTCCCCCACCCCTCCCCCACACACCCCGCACGCGGCGCCCGACGCCGCCGACATGCCGCCGCGCGCGCGCGCGCCCAAGCTAGCTAGCTAAAGAAAAACTACTACTAGCTAGCTACCTAGCACCACCACCACTCCTGGAGTCCTGGGCTGTGTGGTGGCGCGCGGCTTGTTGGTTTGTGCAAGTAGGGAGGCACGAGCTCGAGGTCGATCGATCATGTAGCGGCGCGGTGTCGCTGGCGTCGCGGCGCGTGTGTGGAGGAGAAGAGGCTAGCCAGCTAGGGCAAGGGAGGGGGAATAAGTACGCCAATGGGAGGGGAGGAAGAGATGTGAGGCGACGGGGGGATTTCCGACGTGGAGGATCCGGAGCCACCTTTCCGCCGGGATCATTTGGCGATTCCTCATTGGCTAGCTAGCTCGCCCCGCTCCGGCGCAAGATCCGCCCGGATCCTCTGCGCCCAAACGATGCAACACACACGATGAACCCCTGCTGCCACCGCTATCATAAAAAAAACACAGTACCATTGTAGGCGTCCACAACACGAGTACACTCAAAGCAAGGCTAATAATACAACCGACCGGTTGGCTATAAGGTTCTTTGTAGCCTTTTCTCAGCCTACTCATATAATAGTTAGCTCTTCACAATTAATACAAGGCCTACTTGTCTCTCTCACAGAGTTTCTTGGTTCTTGTGCCCAAGCCAGCTATAAGAGCAGGTACAATAGCATGCTATAAGCCAGCTACAAACATATTTTAATGAGATAAAAGATGAGAAAGAAGAGCAGCGGGCTACAGATTGTAGCCAGTTGCAGCACGAACTTTAAAACACAGTGTGTGTATGACATGTGTGACCATATATTAATAGTATAGTAAGCATCTATTGTATGAATTGGCTATTAGATTGGCTATAGACGAATTGGAGCTAGTAGTGGGCTACACTATTAAACTTGCTCTAAGTTTACAGTCTGCTTCTCCTCTCTCTCCTCTCTTCTCTCCTCCATCTCAGCATTTAGCCGTTTTATGGCCTACTATTATACTTGCTCTCATCTGCATGAACCCCTACCCCTATAAACGAAGACTAGACCGATATATCTTGAGATTGATAAAGTCATCACAGGTATCTCGCTATCGATGGATACGCGTGTTATCTAGCACTAAAAAAGATAATTAGCCGTTAATGCAAGCACACATGTCAATTCTATATATGTCTTGAATTCAGGTGGGTTCTTTCGTTTGCCGCTGATTATAAGCCATAAGTTTATTAGTGACTAAACTTTTATAGTTAGTTTGTGAACCCTATGGCCGTTGTGCTGCTCCTATGTTCTTTCATCTATAGCTAATTATATAAGCCATAGTGTTTACAAGCGACTAAATAATAATTTGTGTGTTAAACTTTTATATATGTGTGCTTTTAGTGATATAAAAGTTGATGCTCGAAAATAAACTGCGATGAAATACATTAAATAAACTATTGATTTTTTTATGGTTGAAGCAGATAAATTGAAGATCAAACGATGGAAGAACTATTCTTTCATGTTTTTTTTCTTCGTTTCTTCGTAGCATTTACACTTGTACCTTTATTTATTTGAACGGATGGTGGTGCTTGACACTGTTGAAAGTGTAAAGTAAGCTTGTGTGGTGGTTATTAGCTAGCATACCGATTTTGCGCGCGAATCGCAGTGATTTCGATTGCAGGTCTGCTCTGCAATGTCAATTAAATAGGTGCATGTGACCAGACGATTATTGGCTGGGACATCGCCCGGCTAGTGATTTGGACGATCGATTCGGTAAAAGAGTTCACATCAAACAATATTTGATATATTTTTTAAGGAAAGCCGGATAAATGAAGAAAATCAATCCATTCATCTCAACATACACAACTATTTATGTTTTTTTAAAGAAGTTAAGGTTTGGAATAGAAATGATTTATGATCGGTTGAGATAAAGAAAAAATATGAAGAGATTGAATATGTTAGAAGAAAATTATGATTGGTTGAGATTAAGTAGGTAGATGGAGAAGATGCACTTGATGGTGCAGTGGCAAGCGATGTATAGTTTCAACCCTAAAATCTCATGTTCAATCCCTAATATTCTCACAAATTCTTCTTTAAGAATGTTTGGAGGGATGTTTTCCCCTCCAAATCTACTATTTTTTTAAGTAAGCAGCTGGATAGATGGTTATATTTTAAGATAAAATTTAATCCTATATATATAACTATATTTTGAAATAGAATAAGTATGCATAAGTCTCTAGGAAGCAGCTGGATAGATGGTTATATTTTAAGATAAAATTTAATCTTATATATATATATAACTATATTTTGAAATAGAGGAAGTATGTATAAGTCTTTAAGAATTGTCGATATGTAGGTGAAATTGTGCTACAACTTTTAATTTGGGTCGCTGTCTTGAATGTTCCTAAAAGGCGTGAATGGAAATTCGAGTCCATAGATATCATCCACTCATGGCGGGAAAGGCTTGGCCGCAGATGATCCACGTTTTGACCACCGGGATATGGGGGCTTGATGTGTGGATCATATCGCCATTCCTCATCAACAACTGTACTACTACTACTACTAAGAGCAGGTTTAATAGTAGCGTCCATAGTTGGCTCCAATTTATTTTCACCTTAGTTACCGTCGATCCAAAAGCCAACACGTACATTAAGTAGTCTCTAAACTTTACGACATTTTCATATAAATACTATTCTACTATTTCTTTCTCAACCATAACTGCTCTCAGCGTGCTACAGGGATCACTTTTTCTTGAATTGTGTGTGCAGTCCGGCGACAGTTTAATCGTCAGCTTACCTTCTCTCTCTCGTTCCTTCTCGGTGCCAGCTCGTCATCCTATCAAACGTGGCAGTCCTATCACCGGTGTTTCAGTTGTTATTATACTTGCTCTAAGCAGCATCCATCGCATTATGGTCGATCGCTAACAGCATAATTAGCCTACATGTGACAGTCCATAATTAAGCTCGCGACAAAGATGCTTCTTAATTATCTACTACTCCAGCAATTAAGCATCAAACTGAACCTGACTATTTTGAATTCTGACATATATATACAGTTACAGAGATGCTAGCCAGCTTATATACATGGTGGCATATACCATCCGTCCTTAAAAAAAAGTCTAATCCTAGTTACGAATCTGAACACGTAAGTTTGTCTTTTTATGAGACAGAGTAGTATGCTTTTAAATAAATTAATTAAGATGTTTTAGTCACTGATCAGTTAATCATGTTTTGTTAGCTTTGCGTAGCTTGCCAGTGTTAAGCACATTTTTGTACTTAATTAGCTAATATGTGCAGTATACTATGTTGTGTACAATGTACACAAGGTACAGTGACTGCTGGAATGCCAGTGTGGATAGACGACATAGCACGCAAAGATGAGCACGTAATATTCAGTGGCTGTAAATTGGTCAATGAGTGTAGATCCTGCTTGCTTGCATGTATAGACATTGTAAAGAAGAACGTTTTATACGTCGGTTTTTTAAAAAAGTTGGTTTATACGTGATGCATAAAAGGGAGTAGCTATATACATTTTATGATGTCACATTTTTTTTAAAAAAAAGTCAAACAATTTTACATTATAAATTATATATAACCACCTACATTGTAATTATATTAAAAGTTTCAAAACTTAAACTGTAATTTACATTGTAAGTTTTGATATTAAATTGTATTTTTTTTCTAATACACAATACATCAAATAATAGGATTAAAAGTAATTTATTGTATCTACTTGGAAGATGAGATAGAAGATATAATAACATAACTATATATAGGAGATAGCTAGAGCAACCACATGGGAAAAAATTGACTGAAATCAAGTAAAAAAATGATGCCTTGTTTTTAGTAAAACCGAATTATTCATCAATGATATACTATGATTACACTATAGTTACTATTACTGCATTGTAATTATATTGTAATCTTTATATAAGTTAAATATAAAGTTGCATATATTATTAATACTTATGTACAAGTTATATTATAGTTATAGTGAAATTATATTACAATAATACTATAGTTAAATTCAAAAAACTTGTGGCAGATTTTTAGGTAGTTCCCCTGATTTAATTTATCTGCGTACAATATTATTAAGACAATATTAAAAAGATATACATGTCAAATGCCCTAGGCTGAAACTGTATACGAGTTAGAGGAGAAAACGATAAAGGATGCACAATTGACTGTGGCCGGTGTAGATTATAACAATATATGTCGGTCAGAAAAATTAAATATTGTCCTTTTATTTTGTGAAAAATAAAATCTAGCAACAGCAGAACCAGCCATCCAACGATTAAGAAGGCAGATAACACACATTTTCAACGTTTTCCGTGAGTGCAAAATCATTTGTGCCGGCTAGAGACTTGCTATGTAATCATATTAGATAACTATTGGTTTAATTTGTTTTCAAAATAAACGCAAAAGAGTATACAATATATATTTGTGTGTATAGCCACAAACATAGTTTTTTTCCGATTATTCAGAAAGACATATGTATACCACACTTACATTATCGTGTATACACTCTCCTAATATACTATATATCAAAGAGACAGATGTCAGTGACAAATCCTTAACCTCACAAATTAAATTTCTATTGATAGCGCAACCACATGTATATAATATTTATAGGCATCAAGATTTAGATGATTATAGGTAAAGTTATGAACCCACGACTCTATCACCATAACAATGATGCTTCCCCGTCACATATATAGTTACAAAGTAAAATCCAGCCATTATTTTATCTTTTAGCTTTCTTTAAAAGTTAGGTCATGCCAAATAAGAAGGATATGCTACATGAATCTGCTGAAAACACATGGCACATATACTCTTTGGTGTCACTATACATATACAGGCAGGCACACGCATAGCGTGGTTTTGATGCTTATACACTTTCCGTTGCATGCATAGGCACCAGGGAAACACGCACGTGTAATAATTCTGTCCATACGAACATGGGTTTTAAGCTGGAGAAAACAAGGAAAATTGATTTGCTTCGTCTTTAATTTTAATATAGAAAAGATGGAATAAAACAATCTTGTAGAGCCTTAAGCATCGTGATAAGTACTCCCCTTCATCCTAAAATATAAGCATTTTTAAAATAGTGCCAAGTCAAATATTTTTAACTTTAACTATTAATAGAAACAAATAAAAAATTCAATCATATAAAATTGATGTTACTAAATTTATCATCAGACAAACTATTATAATATGCAATTCTTTTTATTTAAACCATCTTATTTTTATTGATATTATTAATCAAAGTAGCATCTCAGAGACTAATTCGAAGTCAAAAATACTTATATTTTAAGATAGAAGGAGTAAGATTAGAAGGAGTAAGATAGTACCTACTTCCATCGTTTCAAAATATAACCATCAGTACAAATCTGGACTGGACAGAATGACAGATGCCAATGTAAGTGCGACATCAGTGGCTGTGAATTCCCAAATGTTAACGTCGGCCAGTCAGCCAATGTCTCGCCGATCATCCTGTGGTCGGAACTCAGACTGAGAAACTAGCAATCACAACTCACAGCTACCACAGTTTCGATCGTTTCCCGCCATCTTATGATAGAGTAATTTGCGTCAAAAAAAATGATCGAGTAATTAATATAATTAAAATTGTTTGTTCCATGCTTAATTCTAGTGCCTTTAATCTGTGACTAGCTAAGTAGAGAAATCCAGTTAACAAGGTGAATTTATTCATCAGTCAATGAGTTAATCTGTCATGGTTGGAGCGACGATGGGTAGTTGTGTCTGACCGACTGACCGGCCGCAATACCGCATCCACAAATCCTGAAGGAGTCGATCGATCGAGGCCGAGCTGTCTATGGCTGCATATGTAGGAGAGTCATTTTCGCATCACTGTGTGAACCATATGGATGGAAGTAAAGGAGAGGGCAATGGAAAGGGATGGTTGATCCATCCAACTTTATTTACCACACCATGATTGATGACTTTTTGCTCCATTGATACTTTTTTGTTTTTTAAATAGATTCCCCTTATTTTTATTACCATAAACATATATATACTCAATGAAATATCCATTTTTATATGAAAAAGAAACAGATAAGTAAATGTTTAAAACACTACTAACCCATCCATCAAAACAAGAGAATATGATGTAACTTGTATGTGAAATTGTTTAAATTTGTGAGTTGATTAACTTGTACGACCGTACGCGCTAACCCGCGGTCTCCCTTCATTTCTCTCCCACCTGACATCCCTCTCGATTCTCTTCCTTTATCTTGTGGGTGGCCCTATCCTTAGTTTTTTCAATGATCACCTCGAATGCTACCAGTGCCATTGTTTTTACTCCAGCAAATGCTACTTATCTACACACAAACTTTCTATCATATTGTTTGGCACAACTTTAGGTCTAAGATTTTCTGAAGCTGAATATTCTCTGGAAATCCATAGGTCTAGCTCTATTGATAACATATAGATAAACCATTTTATTTATGTTTTAGATTATAAATAAATTTTAAAACTACTTCAATTTTAGCTACAAACTTTAAATTTAGCTTGTTCTAAGATTTGAAATTGTACCAAACAGGGTGGTGCTTGAGCCCAGTGGACCACTTAGATCCAGATCAAGTGTTGATAGTTTCTCCGAATTATTATTTATTTTCATAAGGTAGTAGGGCATGTACTCTAATGGAATTGAAGGGCTATATTGTTCCTTGGCAATCCCATATTGAATTAAATAATGAAATGGATCATAAGCCAATAGTTTAACTAGTTTCATCTTAAACCAACCATAATTCATAACTACTTAACTAGTTAACTAGTAGCGTCGTTCATATCTATCCATCCCCCCCCAGGTGAACTTAATTGGTAATAACTGAACTTATTAGAGCATTCTCAACCCAAGACACTAGAGATAGTTTCCATAAACTCCACGTTAATAAGAAACTAGTACTAGACACTACTCTTCCAATGCAAACACTACTATTCCATACTTAAATTTAATGCTACTTAGGACACCCGCAATGGTTATCTATAGGCTCTCTATAAGAGATTCATGTCAGCATATTTTCCTACTTGGAAGAGATTAAATGGAGAGAGAGAGCAAAACTATCTACTAACCTGGAGATAGTCTATAGAGAAAAACGAGACAATGTATTAGAGAGCTATAGATATCCATGTAGACATACTATTGAGATGGTTTACTATTAATCTAGTCTATTGCTGATATGTACATGTTTTATAGATAAGACATTACTTTATCATTACGAGTGCTCTTATCTCACATAATATCTTGGATATTGTGTAGAAACCATGTCTCATGCAAGACATGATTTCCTTCTCTTTCCTCATTTATTCACTTGCCACATTATTTTTCATCCTAGGTGGTAGCATATTTAATGCTATGGACACTATCCTAGCCTTGGGTTGGGAATGCCTTAGCATTAATACTTCAAGTCTGTGTGGTCGGCGTCAATACTTACATCATGCACGTGTGAGTGATCATCGACGACGTGACCACATCACTCTCTTGTCTTGATAACATGTACTAGCTAACTCATCAAGAAGAAGGCAGTCGATCGAGATTGATCACAAAAATAGCAAGTTAATAATCAGATGCTTGCTTGAACCATAATTTAATCTGGAAATATAATATCTTCGAAGCTAGAAGATGATTTAGGCCACAAATCTGCATGCTATATCGGTCCCATGTGCAACCAAATACAGGCATGCGACCGGGCATGTGCGACCGACCGACTGATCGATCGAAGTAACAGTGTAACACACCCTCCAAGTACCAGGAGACGTGGCACAATGGAGCCCAACCATTGGCATCAGAGATACAAATGTGCAGCTCATATGAAGCCAAATTGTGCAAGAGAGGGGCAGGGCTAGCATACTCAATGTGCATCTAAGAACAGATGGATTCAATCTGAAGGCAAACGAATTCAAGTGAAACGGGTATGTAGTGTTACATGTACTGATGTTTCTGCAGAGTTTACAGTTACTTTCCAAACGAATGAGCAGACATGCACGCACGTATTGCATATACAAATCTTTCCACCAAGCAATGATTAGGCACCATGATAAGCCTTGGTACACCTTCTACAGGATCTTTCACTTTCCTGTCGCAACATCAAATTGCTATCTATGTCAGTGTGCAAACAACTGATAGCATGGTCAAGACTCAAGAGTGACATGTAGTCCCTTATATGTAGAATGGACATATATGTAGCTGTTCCATATATGCAGAATGCACGCCAGATTATAAGAGGATTGAGCATACCTTCAATTAACAAATCATCTGCTTGTACTGCCCAGATCGAAGTCCATAGTGTAGTCATATTCAATAGTGGGTATGACTGGGGCCATAAACTTCAAAAATATGAAAAGTTACCTGTCCAAAAGAGAAACACAAGTTACAGGCCAGCCAACAAAGAGATGTACTGCTTTTGATCATCCAAGCAGTCAGCAAAAGGTATCTCTGTAGATAATATTACTTGTCAACTTCTGGTTCAACTCCTCGAGACATTAGAACATCAATGATCTTTTTCATCACAGCAGCGTGTTTGCATGGATGCACTGAAGCATGCTTGCCTGCTGACAAGTGAGGATGGTCTTCAATAGTCACCTGTGGCAACACAATCCACTTCAGTGTCATCAACATGCAATGCGTAGTAGATGACTTAACTAGTACACTGGTTTGTTGCAATCCACAAAGGAGCTAACACTAAACCTTGAAATTTATCGAACCGTGTGGCATGATGTATATGGCTTAAAATACACGAACCATCATTACAGACATACACTTCTAAGTTGTGAGAATGACGGAAAATGACAGTAAAATGATAGAAAGGAGGCCAATAATTCCAGTATGCTACCATTGCAAAATCTAATTTCTGGAGACATTACTAATATCAAATATCAAAAAAAAAATACTTCAAATCCTTTTCATTGGCTTAATGCGTAATGGTGTACTCTATGACATTGAGGTTTTAGAAACATATAATAGACTCGGTTCAAAATATAAGCAGTACTAACAAAATTAAAGATATTGGTGAACCAATCCACAGTTCAAGTTGATTCATGTTTCATTTTACATGTCAATAGCAAATACTGAAATGAATGAAAATACCGTCTTCCGCGCATGGTCTTGCTGATATCTTCAAACACAAGTTCAGGCTTTAATGGCATTCTTGACTGCAACAACAATCAAATTAAATGAATCAACTTCATCTTCAAGACTGCAACAAGACACTTCTAAGGGCAAAATGACTTACCTCATCATATCCGGTAAGCCAGACACGTGGGGTTTGGTAATATTTATCATATCTGCAACAAGAGAACTACCTATTACTTTCTTAAACTAGAAGACTGAGACACACCACTGCTATGGCAAATAAAAAATAACCAAGAGGACTACATCATTGTTCAGAAGTGCAACAGGGAGAAGTTCAAGACAACAGCAATATCACTTGCACAATGTTGCACACAAATACTTTGCAATTAAGGCATATAATGCCAACTACAATTCATTGTTCATAGATAGTAATGAGGAGCAGATATGCCAAATGTCTATAGTTCTGTGCAAACATATAAAGACTCTGAAAGAGGAGGAAGATAGTATAAAAACTAATAAAACATAATAAGGCGACTAATACTAACCAACTAAAGACTTAAAAAGCATGCAGATCAAATAAAAGAGCTTACGTGATGCTAACGTCATATGTCCTAGTACGAAGGATGTTGTCATCTTCAGGCTCTTCTGCGACAAAATATGAAGGTTGAGCGGTAGCCTAAAATAAGATGACGAAGGCAAAGCTGGAATCGGTAATGACTATGAACATTATGAGCCTTTCTTAACCACATCGAAGATAGGATCACAGTCTTTCTTACCACTGAATCATTCCCTGTGTCTTCATAAGTGTCCATGTCTGGTATATCCTCCTCTTCTTCAGCCTTCTTACCAGCACTGAAGTATGAGGGAATAGAGTTTATCCCTTCAGTTTTCCCTATATCCAATGTATCCATCGATGGTATGTCTTCCTCCTCTTCTGGCTTTGATGCTATACATTACCAACAGAACAAAAGGCAGTTTAGCTTATACAAAAGAGAGCACGTGAAACACTGAAACAAGCATTGTGAGAGGTCAACCTTGCACTCCATGTGTGGCAAGCCAGCCTTCACCGTCCTCATCATCACCGAGAACTACCTCAGCTCCTGCTGCATCATACTCTTCTTCAAGTGAGACAGCGCGTCTTACGCAAGGCACTGCCAGCAGAACCAAAATTTCAATTACAATGAGGAATACCAAATTCAAACCGTTTCAACTACAGCAGGGAAACCAAACTTACTTTCCTACACATCAAAACTTTCCTACACACAAACTTCCAACTTTTCCATCACATCATTCCAATTTCAACCAAACTTCCAATTTTAGTGTGAACTAAACACACCCTAGTTCTTATCCTCTGATGTAGCAGCAGAACCAAAATATCAATTACAATGAGGAATATCAAATTCAAACCGTTTCAACTACGCGAGGGAAACCAAACTTTACTAGTTCTTATCCTCCAATGTAGCATTCCAAACCATGGTGGCCTAGAACCAAACTTAGCCTAATCAAGACCAGTGGAAACTAGCATAACAATCATGTCACCCAATGCAGCATTCCATCGAATCCTAGCACAAGATGAAATAGAACCAATTTAGAATCAGCATACCGTTCCTGGTGACGAGGAATTGCTTGTCGGGAGGGAGATACGGCTTCCTCTTGCTCGGATCGCCCGCCTCCCTGCACAGGAAACACCCACCGAGATCGATCAGACGCCCCACCCAAACCCACAGCAATCGGGTACCAAACCCTACAGAGGAGGGGGAGCAACGGAGAAGAGGCCTACCAGGACCAGGTGGGGCACTTGGAGACGAGGTTGTCGCCGGCGAGGATGAACTCGGGGACGGAGAGGACGCCCTTCTCGAGGAACGCCGACACGGTGCGCGGCCCCGTGACCCGCTCCACCGTCCCCTTGTAGAGCTCGTACACCTTCTGCTTCACCTGCATCCTGCTGCTCGCCTAGCCCCCCAGGGTTGCCTCCGCTCGCCGGAGAAGGTTGCTTCCGCTCGTCGCCGGAGACGGTGGAGAAAGCGAGCCGAAGACGACTGTACAAGAGGAAATACGCCTGCGGCTTCGTTGAAATACGCCTCCCAAGTCGAAAGGCGCACGGAAGCGGACTCCTCGTCGCGGCGTCGTCCCGGCCCACGAAAGCCCACGGCCTACTTACAATCGAGGCCCACCTGAAATTTCCACGCGCACGCGCTTTCCCGAACCGTCTGCACCAGTGGGACCCACCGTCAGTGACTCGGCTTTGACGCACCATTCCGACCGCCAGCTTGACGCGTGGAATGGTGGGGCCGAGTAGTCAGTGGGACACCCCTCGGCGTCATCCGTAAGCAGAGAGGGAGGAGAGGAGAGGACGCGGAGCGCCATTTCCGAAATCCACGAGAGCTCATTTGGCTCCTTGCCATTTTGCTTTTTCGTTTTCAAAATTTCTTCCTCTTCTCGAGACGAGAGAGAGTGAGCGTTGCGTTGCCCAAGGGGAAGGGAAAGGCGTCTTCCTCGACACGATTCCCCTCTCCCACCCAAAACCCTACTGCGCCGCCGCCTCCGAGGAGGAGGAGGAGGAGATGCCGCCGGAGACGACCGAGGCGGCCGCCCTGAGGGGGGCCATCCTCGCCGCGTCCACGGCGGGGGCGGCGGGGAGGGCGGTCTCGTCGGTGGCGGACTACCTCCGCCGCCACGCGGGCGACCACCCGCGGGCCTTCTTCGCCGACGCGCTGCCCTCGCTGCTCTTCCGGGTGTTCGTCGCGTCCCCGGACTCGCCGTCCTTCATCGATCTCGCCGCCGGGGACCCCGCGCTCGCCGAGCTCCTCGCGTCGCTGCTCGCCCCGTCAGGGCCGCTCCTCGCCGCCGTCTCCGCCGCGGATCGCCACGCGCTCCTCCGATTCGTGTTCCCACCCGAGCGGCTACCCGATTGGCTCCGCCTCGCGCTGTCGTCCGCCACCGCCGCCTCCTCCTCCTCCTCCTCCTCCTCTGATGAGGTGATCTCCCCTCTCCTCGCTGGCCGCGTCGACTCCGAGCTTCACCTGTCGGTATTCGAATACTACCTCTTCTGGTTCGCGTACTACCCCATCTCAGCTGCCACGGCCAAGGCCACAGGAATGGCTGCGGCTCGGGCCCCAAAAATTCCGCCCTCCATTTCAGAACAATCACTTAAGTCGCTCGGCCGCATTGAGAGCTGGATGTCCACCCTAGGTTCATCAGCCGGACGCAATCTGGGTCAGAAGCTAGAGAGCTCGCTATATCTGAAGCTTCTGTACTCCTACCTTAAGGAGTTCGTGCCCAGCGGATGTGTACCGCCGCGTAATATGGGTGGAACTCTGCTGCATCGAACTGTCAATGATGGTATTGATGCTGCTGAATCCTTCAGGCGAGCTGAGTTCTTCGTGCACACACTCATCCAGTTCTGGCTTGTTGGAGATGACTTCTCGCCACTGGCTGTGCAGACTTGCCGTGCATATGGGCTCCCTTTACTGTCTCTTCAGTCTCATGCAAATGCCACATTGGTTGAGCAGCCGCCAGCACCAGGACTCGGCGATGCGGTGAAGCTTTTTGTGATGTATATGAACAGGATCAATGCTTCTGTGGATATAGATGCGCCAAATGTCTTCGAGGGAATATCTTCATGGAGGGAGGCATGCAACAGCCCTGTTGGATACTGGAATCCATTGATACAGAGGCCTCTGTATCGATTTTTGCTCAGGACATTCTTGTTCTGCCCCATGGGTGTAGAAATAAAGAATGTTGCACAGGTTTTCTCTGCATGGATAGTCTATATGGAGCCATGGAAGGCTCAGAAGGATGATTTGGATGCGTATGATCTGCCTCCTCCAGGTTGCCACAATGTGCACCGAGTTACTGAGGGAAAGAGGCAGGTGTCTGAAGCAGTGTACTCTCCAGAATGGGAGAACTTTGTGCTGTCCAACTACTTGTTCTACAGTTCTTTGGTCGTTCATTTCCTGGGGTTTGCACATAAATTTATCCACTCTGATGTTTCCTCAGTGTTGCAGATGGTATCAAAGGTAAGTGAATAATTGCTCCGTCCTTACTACAGCATATGCCACTATGGTCTTTGTTTTCGTCCTTAACTGTCATGTTATCCTTGGTACATATTGTTGTCTTAGGTATGAAGTAGCTGAACATGCACTCATGCAGTCATTTACTAAATTAGATTCCACGTACTTGCACATGTGTGTTTGAGAATCGCTGTATTTGTGTTTTGAATTATCTTGCACTCCATAGTTTATTTAGCATCAGGGGGGTTTCCCCTTGATGGAAAATGTAGAAATATCAAATACTAAGGGTAGGTAAGTGGTGTCACACTGTCATATAATTTTACAATACTCCGCTACCAGGGCAGTACTACCATTAGTGGTCTAAGCAATGCAGTAGAAGAAAGTTTTTTTTTTTAAGAAATTGTATTTTTAGGAGCGTGGAGCAAATAATCCGGTGAATAAGCTGAAAAGAATGGGTAATGGATAGCCATATTTGTAATCTGAAAAAGTAATGTACCTGTAATCTAAGTGCATTGTAGTGGGAGGCATTTTCTGTAGAGGGTTTATCGACAGCTGCATGTGATGTTTCTTCATATTTCAAACTCTATGATTGAGGATTTGAGTTATTGTAATCTTAACTAACTTCTATTATACCACCTGGAGAGATTAGCAATAAAAGAAAACATATTAGATGTGCGCCTGGAACAATAGGCCTACCGGAACATATACCTTACAAGTTACAAGTAATTTGAACTTAGTCTATCTTGCACATTTTCTCTCTGAATATCTATTCCTATTGCTTGTTACCTTGGTGGATATTTGGGAAATAAAGCATGATCATTTTTGAAATACTATATATTACTGTTTCCTTTATCTCATTGTTCTGAAGTTATTGGTAATATGCTTAAGAGGATCATGTTTTGCTTAATGTGGCCATATGGCCAGTGCTTTATCTTCTATTCCATGTTATGTATTTTCTAAAATTGATGAGGCAGCTTTTCTGCTGGCTGAAATTGTGCTAGGCAGGTTAATTGTTCTACCCAACAAAAAAGCCCCACAAAGCGTTTTGTTTATTCATGAACTAACATTTGTAATCTAGAATCCTATTCATCTATATATAGCTTGGCCTTTCAGTACCTAATATCTATTAAACTGCTGACTGTTTCTCTCTTACTGAATGTATCGTTCGTTTGGATTTTTCAGGTTTTGGAGGTTTTGGCATCTTCTACAGAATTATTGGGGCTCATCTACAGTGTTGATGCTACATATCATCATAGATTTTTTGGTTCAGCATCTTGTTATTTGGATCATGTGCTTAAGTATGTGCCATCAATCCGAGAACAGCTACAGGTAAGAAATGGCTGACCTAGTTAGTGCCTTGAACTTCCAGTGCATTGCAGGCTTGCAGCACTGGAATTTTGCTAGTTCTATCAATAATGTGGAGGAGTGGATGACTTTCTGTTCTAACCTTTTATCGTCCCCTGTGGTCTATTTCAGGACTGGGAATATGGTTTATCAGAAAGTGATGCTGATGGGTCTTTCTTGCATGAGCGTAGGAACTTTAATCTGAGGCTTTTCAGCTTTGATGAGGAAGGGGCTTACAACTTGCTTCAGGTGTATATTATTATGCAATTATCATTGTTAGCCAATTTTTTATTCTTGTCTTTATTCAGAGTATAATAGATTGCTGGAGATTTCCTGTTTATTAGGTAGATATCTCTAAAGATTCAACTTTACATCCTTGGGCTACTCTTTTGTGATGGATGCTGTTTTTCTGGTAGCTATTACAGTACTATCCATTGATCTGTTACGTGAACCAACGTAATTTTGCCCTTTTGACTATTTATTGTACACGTATTACCAATATTGAAGAATACTTACTCATTCTTGCTTTCCTTTATCTCTAGTTGCTGTTGCTACGGGCAGAGTCAGAGATTCAACGTTTGCCAGGTGATGCTATGCAAAGTCTTCAGACTCTGGATTTAATTAAATCCCAGATGAAGAAAATTTTCCGTGAACACATTGAAAGTTCCCAGCCTATGAACTTGGTAGAGAGAGAATGCAGTCAGCACCATGGGCGTGGTGAGGTATTCGCACCTAAGCATCCAAGGCCATGGAAACACTCACTAGCTAATGTGAACTGGATGACAAGGCCCATCTCAGACTCTGAAGTGGCCTGGCTAGCAAGTTTGCTGATCCGTTTTTCTGCTTGGCTGAATGAGATCCTTCGACTCGACCGTGACGATTCAGATGCTATCCCCACAGGCCCAACCAACATCAAGTTTGATGGAAATGAACTTAATGGGGTTGGGGGCCCAAAGGATGCTGCCAGAATGGTGTTTATTGGTGCTTGTTCATTGCTTGTGCTGGTGGGGCAGTCAATCCTGCACTTCATGAGGACACACAGTATTAGGATCAATCTGAGAATTCTTGCATCTAAAAAGCTTCTCACTGCTGTTATGTTGTATGCCTTGTTCACTGTGGCAAGAAATGCGCTGTCGTAAACTGTTGTGCTTTGCATGTCCTCATCTCGTTCCTGGTGGTGGTGCTGCTGCTTGGCCAGTAATTGTCCAACCTCCAAGTTTTGCCCTCAGTAGACTGATACATATGCTGTACAGGAACTCTTAGGAGAAATGAACTTACACTGAGTGAAACTTCAGCAACCCTTTCAAACTTGTTTTGTGCATGTTGACGGTTCAGTGAAAAGCATGCCTGGTTCTCCATGTGCTCTTGGAGCACTATTTCGTAGTCATAGACAGGACTTGGGTACAAGAAAAAAATGTTCTGGGGGACCTCAATTGCTTAATGTAACTAACCACCCCTTTGCTACAGGCTCTGCAATGCCATGTTTCTTAGAGTTGTTTTTGATGGCTGATCTTCAATATCAGTCATTCTACTACCAGAGAAGTTGATGCAGAAGCAAATTATCTGGTTTCTTTTTTGCATCTGCATGACTATTTACAGTGTGTGGCTGTGTGCTGTGTTTTGCCCCTGCCAAAGACAATCTTAGGGATGGTGTCTTCATATCCTACATGGCTGGAATCAATCTTAGGTATGGTTCTTTAGCTTCTACTGCTATACCTTTTCTTTTACCAAATCATCATCTTGAGATCAGTCGTTTTTGGTTTGATTTGTGTGCAAGGGATGATTGTGTGATTAAATAGTTTGAATGCTGCTTTCTGCATAATTAGATGCATACAGGAGAATAATTCAACATAGCACTAGCAGTTATTAATAACATCAATTTTGCTGGATACATTTTCAACATGAAAAAGAAGAGCAATAATTGAGCCAACAGCGGCCTGTGGGCATGAGCTTTCTGTTCCATCTGAGTCGCATTTAGAATGTGCGTCTGATTATAATATGGTTACTTGTTTCTGGTTGATGTGCGCAGAATAATTCTCTATTTTGGTGATGAATGTTTTTCATTTGTTCGATATTTCAATTTTTTTTATGGGCAGCAAATGTCTGTGTTATGATGACATGTTTGAATGGCTTAAAAGAACTGACAAAAAAAAACGAGGAGATATTGTAATGGTCAATGGGAAAGGCACACCTACTTGAGAGCTAAACGTGCCATGAGCCCATGATGTTGATATATTCATCATACAGTTAACTATTCCATTTTGTTTGGTTTGGTGCTGCATTCCTTTCATTCAACACTTCCTGGACTTAATACCTTTCCCTAGCTACTTCCTGCAAAGTGACATGCAATAATTAATAAAAATAATAGATAGACCTGTCCTAGGAATTGCTTCACTGATGTCACTAAAGTATTTGTCCTGCCTGTAATGACCTCAGTAAACAAATACAAACAAATAAATATTCTTCCCATGACTTTTGCTTCTCTTAGGCTACTGTTCAACCTTGGAGCCTTCTTGCTTTCCAATGTTTTTTTACACATTCTTGTTACTGCACCCTCAAAAGGCTTCTCTTAAGATGCCCCTTCTTTTACCCTCCCTAATGCCTACTCTAATGGCACTGCCAATTCAGAAATGATTCTTTTGCAAAGCCAAATAGCCAATAATGCAATGCAAAAGCGACTGATTCTATCTATCTCCCTCTCTTAAGCATCTACTACTATAGCTGCTATACTAGGCTGATCAGCTGATTGACACACCCACAGTCCACAGAGGAGACAAATTGTAGAAGCACCATGCACTCACTATACTCACCAACCTGCTGCTGGGGATTCTCTTGGTTTCTTGATCATTGAAGCCCAGCCTTTTTGGCACGCAAGCAGTACACACTGTACACGCTTGGCCAGAGGTTATGTTGCCAACATTTAAGACTTGCATGCATGTGAACATAGGAGCAACAGTATGTGTCATGCATTAATTCATGAGAGGCAAATTGAAGACGAATCGAGAGTCTCATGCAGATGGACCTGTGCATACGGACTACGGCTGGGCCGGGCCGTTCTGTCTCTGTCCCCTGCAGTACCATATTGCATCGTATCGTCCCTGAACACACGTATATATGGTAGTCTACCAGATGCCTGTAGTGTACTTTCTGACCCCAAACAGCATATAATACTATCAAACCTTAAAATCATTTGAGTATGTTGTAAAAAGCGGTAAGTAGTTTTGTGCTATCACCCTAACGTTGTAACACTTAAGCGGTACAAAGTTGGGGCACCTGTTCCTTGTATGCGGTGTTGTAGAACGGATTGGGATCCTCTGACGTGAAGACAGATGAATGTGGTGACTGACATGTGGGCCCCACTGCTCGTGGGCCCACCTGTCAGTGACCACGTTAGGGTGCAGTTCACGTCACAGGAACCCTCTCCTTGTAGAACTACTTTTTTATTAAGAGACTGTTCGAGAATAACCATGGCAAGAGTGTTCTCTCCAGGAACACATCAGTTCTTAAGTTTAGTGAAGGAGGTAAAAGCCTCTACTGCTCTACTATGTGCCGTACTTCTGTGATCTGTTCTCTCCAGCAATCTGGTTGGAGAAATTCTGCTGTCTTCACTGTAGATCTGTTAGTTCCCCTGTCACATTTTTGCATCACCAGTTTCGTGCACATTGGGAAACAGTATCTCAAGTCTGCTGCCTGTGTGCTCTGTTTGTTTGTTTTTTTATTCTCCTTTTCATTCTATTACAGAGCTGTATGATTGTTTTGGCTTTATATATATATATATAGAACATGTATGTCGGGTTGTGCTAATTAATCCGAGTTATAATCTTTTCCTTTCTATCTTGGCCTAGAAGAAGAGCACTACTAGTGTAATGCATGCTAGGTGTATCTTCATGTTGCGTCCCAGCATGATTAGAGGGCTAATTTTGTTGCATTTAAAGGGCGATTAAGGATCCGATGCTTAGGTATGTCGATTGTTTGTTTCTCTTTTTGTCTCCTTCCCTTTATCGAAAGTACATGAAAGAGAATTAAGGTGGGGTAACAAGATAAAGCTTGGATGATTGAGGTTACGCATATTTAGGATTATAAAAAGAACACATGCAACACGATGGTTGGCTAGGTTGAACAATCCCTTGGTGCCAAGCGCCAACAGCTTGCTAGACACTAGGTGGGCTGTTTGCCCACCATTTTCTCATATGCATGATGTGAAATGTAACTGCAAGGGAACAAAGAACAAGGGACACTGACAGAGTACCTTGTGTGTCTTGTTAGCTAGTACAGCCTAGAATGCAGAGATGTCCAATGCAGTACCAAATGATAAATGTCCGTCCGTATTCGCATCTATAATAATGTGAACATTCACAATATATCTGTGGTCAACGTCAAGGAAGTTGATCTTTTGGTACTGGAGTAAGTTGTAAATATATGCACGCAATGTGAGATTTGGTTTATCCTTTGAACTTCCAGCCATTAGTAGTATTAGTGATAATTAGCACTTCCTATGGCATGTGAGATTTGATCATAATATGGCAATGCAAGGTGCATGCTTTGGTCCATGCAAATTAATTTCTGCATCGGCGATAGATCGGTCGAGACAAATTAAGCTGGTCCTCGAATATTCAGCTAGCGCCCACTCATCGGCAGAATAGCATGACGCTTGCTCACCTGCAGAGTATGTAGACAACATAGTTTTTGAGTTAATACTACCTCCGTCCCATATTACTTGTCTTTTTGAGTTTTTGTTTGTCAATGTTTGATCATTCGTCTTATTCAAAAAAATTTAAAATTATTATTTATTTTGTTTGTCATTTGTTTTATTATCAAAAGTACTTTACATATGACTTATCTTTTTTTATATTTGCACTAATTTTTCAAATAAAACGAATGGTCAAACGTTACAAATAAAAAGTCAAAAACGTCACTTATTATGGGACGGAGGGAGTATTTTTGAAGCCAACAGGGATATCCTGTGTTGCTGGCACTGCTATCATTATAGTTGCCTGAAATCTAGATACTCCCAATTATATAAATATTTATCTGCAACTAAATTCAATAATTGGGTCTGCAGCAGTTGCTTGTGTGCTTGATCTGTACACTTTTCAATTCCGAAATCTCTTTTTGGCAAGCAGATTACAATAATTTGGCTTATCTTGATACACAGAATGGTCCTCGAGCTATTGCAGTTGTAGTATGTATATATATGTATCTATATCATGTTATCAACTGACTGCCCATCTGTAAATAGAAAGTACCAACTAACATAACATTAAGTATATTAATATATGACAGATATACCATTCATTAAGTATTATGGATTCACTTTGTTAGTGATGAATAATCAGATAGGAATTAATAATGGCCTACCATTACAACAGGAACAGAGGGTGAAAATAGCAGTACTAGAACTCATATCAATATTGATTGCCCTTAGGTATTTCCACCATGGAGTTTCAGCTTACTCAATATACATGCTTCAAAATATTAATATAGAATATGTCATGTCCCTGTCTCCTATATAATTTTTGACAAGGATAATCTGGATTCTGAAAACTTGTTTGATTAGCTTAATTTTGTGGAAGGGATGGATGCTTATGTACCTGCCTACATATGTACATAGCAAGTGTTCCTAGCAATATCTTTGTGCAGTACCTGGCTTCATTAATTCAACATTATTTTATTTTGGTGGTGCTACTGCTGGTTAGCTTGTTGTTTTGCTCATAATTTTCTTGGCTGGACCAGCAGCAGCTGCCGCTGTTCATCATCGCAATTCGCAATCAATCGTGTGATTGTATGGCCATCGTCATCTGCTGCTGCTACATGCGTGTATCACGTACGGCTGGCTCTGATGGTAGGTAGGTGCCCCAATGCCAAGGGAAACCAAACAAACTGTCACTGTGAGTACCTAAGCTTTGCTTTGCTACTCGTATTCTATATAGCTATCGCCTATCGATCGTGCACACCAATCTCCTTTGGAATGAGAAATTTTGGATGAACTAAAACTAGATTATATGAAAATCCTGTGATTCATCATTTTTAATCATCTCAATTTATGATCTCTCACTGACATCTCAAATATCAAATGTATAATTTTTTATGTCGAGTCTAAGACAGATTTGGCATGTACGATAGACCAATTAAAGGGCTAGGAGATGCCTACCAGAAACGGAACGATTAAACTCGTCATCTTTCATGGCTAATCTCTCTTTTCTTTTTGAAACGACAGCATGGGGGTTAGCAGATGAAAGGCAAAGTATGATGATTGATGTGATTTCTTACACGGGATCAGATCGATCAGGTGCGCTATCAACCCATCCTAATTAGTGTCAGTAAAGCATTTTTTCCCCCGGAAAATCATTAGTGCCAGCCAGTAACATAAACTCTGCTTGATCTTTGCGTAAATATTCAGATATCCTTGAAAGAAACTCCTAAGATGGAGTTAATCGCGTGGCTTGTCTTCTTGGATAAAAACGTACAGCAGATTGGGACAGTGTAGGTACGGTGACGATCATCTCACCATGTCTTGATTTAAGCTGGAAACTGTCTTACACTACATGATCAATCAGATAAAAAAAAAGCATGCAAAATTCATCACCTAATGCACCCTTTTTATGGTCGGTTATTTGCTTGCGTGAATCACCTGATGCATGTATCCTACTAATCTAGGGGCTAATGTAGCGTTTGGTTGGGAGAAAGCAATTATAAACTGTGAAGGATCATATGCATAGACAGCAACAAAGGATTCAACGCTCCATCGCTTTTCGTGTTATCATCAGTATAGTTGGGTGCCACGTTCTTTTCTAACGGTGACTTGACTGCTAGCTCCTCCTGCATTATGCTACGACGTACTTGCAAGTGCAGACGAGTTTGGTAATTAATGAAATGCAGCCCCTAGATTATTTTATCGTCTAGATTGGGCTGTCATCTTCACTCTTGTCTACTCCCTCCGTTTCATGATGTAAGTAATTCTAGCATTTTCCACATTCATATGGATGTTAGTGAATCTAGACATATATGGATGTTAGTGAATCTAGACATATATGTATGTATAGATTCACTAACATCCATATGAATGTGAAAAATGCTAGAATGACTTACATTATGAAACGGAGGGAGTACAAATTAAGTTTTGATTCTGGAGTTTTTCGTTTCCTTCCAAAAAGCTTATAGGCTAGCGTAACACAAATTAAACAAACATTTTTTAATAAGTTAAGAATGCATTAATAAAAGTATGATTTCTTTCTTTTAAAAAATGATGAATGAAGCTTTTTATTGATATAAAGACCAATTATGTTAAGGTGATATAACCATCTTAAAATCACTCCTAGCCTCTGCATAACTACGATGCATTGAACCCACAAAAGAACACACCTAAAAAGTAAAAAAAAATAATTACAAAAGAAGTGTTCGTGACTATCGATCCGAAGACTAAATTGTCACCTATACCCCTACGCAAAACACTCCCTGACCATATGCTCCAAGTAACGACATACCACCGCAACCAAAGTATGGTCTCTAATTAATTAAGAAATGATAGCACAAGAGAATTTTGCTATTCAGATAAATAAATTATAACCCACAACTACCGGTCAAAGTCACCAGTACAAGTATTGATATGAGCAGTACAGAAGTACCAGTGTACCACTACGCATTTACAACCCGTTCGTGCTAACCAGTTTATTGGACCAATCTATCGTAGCGTCAAGAGAAATCGACCTATATGCCTATTGCGCATATAATGTATCAAGTGGCCATTGCATGTTATCTTGTCCTGCATTTCAATGATGGCCATGTGTTCGTTTTTGAAACTCATCTTCAGTACATCTCCTTTGCTGTAAGCTTGTAAACCTGACTTGGCCGAGCTGAAAGTGTGTTCATCGTTCACTTCAATTTAGTTTACTTCCAAGTGCAATCTGCCTATCTATCTAGCTACTACTCCTAGATTGTTAGACCAGTGATCAAGTAGTCGATCAAACTGTTGATCTGTTTGAAATCCTCATACTTAAACTGGCAACTTGTGCTTGATTTTGCTTTCCATGCATGGACCTAGTCATGCATCACTGATCGCTAAGTCAAAAGATCAAAATCTCGATACCAAGTTAGGAATATTCTTGGAGATTGTACATATAGAAAAATGGAGAAGATATGAACAGGTACTGAATAGTGATTTCTTTGATCAATGTGCCTGGCAATTAGGAAGGAAAAAGGAGTCAGGCTAACATGTCAAATGGCCATACATATATTCAGCTCACAATTAATTAATTTATTACAAGATACTTTACTCTGATTTTTCCATGCATGGACTTCATTGGCCGACCTTTTTTTAAGGAGTCCTAATTTTTGTTGGGGTCCAAGCTAAGAGGCAACAAGAGGTCCTGATTTTCCCTAAAGTGTCACATGAGTGTTGAGCACTGTCATATGGTGAAGCATCTAATGATGGCAAGTAAAAGCCATTGCATCAGCATCTGTTGCATTCATATGATGAGCTTTCTTTCTTTCCAACACTCCACACAAATGTTGCATTCATATGCCTGATCTACTCTATTACTTACCTTGTTGCAGAGATTTATGCATCAAGTTTAAGACACAATTGCACTAATTAATTGAGGCCATGTTGGCTGCTTTATTCCTTACTTGTTGCCACAGCACAGTGCTAGCTAGGCAGCAGTCCTTGCTCTAGACTTTTTCCTTTTCTTTTTTTTCCCCTTGATGAAAGCAACCAAGCTAGCTAGTCAATTACCAAAAGGAAAAATATGCACCCTTTTGTTTGTTGCCTAGTCATTGTTAACACACTTTGAGTTGAGCACGGTTGCTTCTTTTTAATTTTTTTCTAGAGGCCTACATTTTTTTGCTAAATAGTTCGCCTATTTTCTTATAGAAAAATTTCAGCATCGTCAGATCGATTGAGATTCATACGTTTCTAAACTACCTTGACGGAATTGAGTCAAGCTAATTGGCTACATTTCTAGATGAGAATTAATAGTTAGTAGTTGAATATATTGTAGTCACTAGCTAGCTGCTAATATATATGACTTGTACATATACCACAAATAATATTTCTTTCCTTATAAACAAGACATGTCATGCATATTTTTCATCAACTTCAGTATATTTGCTTTGCAAATTGAAGTGTCACTTATGCATTTGTTATCTTTTTTCCCCCATGTTAAATATGCATCATATTGCATCCCGGTCATTGCATTGCATTGCACCCTACTACTAGTAATAAGTAGGCCATGATGAGCTTGTGATCACAACTTTGCAACCAACACACACATTCATAGATTTTCCTTTTCTTTTCTTTGCCTTTTTTTTCCCTTTGCATTCATGAGTAGTGCTTTCTAGCTAGGACCTCTACTGTACATGTATTTTCCTAATTAATAATTCATGTATGCAGATTGCCGTCGCTTCCGTGCGATATCTCACAGAAAAGGATCGCAAAGTGCCAAAGCAGGTCAGCGTCTAACTAGATGACAAGCCACAAAATGCACTACTTGCACCATATGGGCTAATTTACAAGATAATTTTGTACCATGAAATCTGTTAATCTTGCCATAATCAAGCCCTAGTTGGCAGATTAATTAGGGGGCTCACCCAATGAAAGATATGATTAATTTAGTCTCAGTAACCAACTAATTAATTGTCGTTAGCTGAGACAGGAGACAAACTAACAAACACTGATCGCGTCCTGATTAAGACAACCCATTTTTGAAGCTCATTCCTTACTCCAATTTCTCGAGACAATAGACAAGTAGGCATGTAAGTGACTCTAATTGCATGCAGTTCTTCAACTTATTTAGAACGTGGGGGAATTTGCATGAATTGTTTTTCCATGTAGAGCTGTCTTACTATTGGCACACAGAGATCGGACCTACCGGCCGGCCAACGACTAGCTAGCTAGCGAGTGTTTCACCTGTTTTCAGCTGGAAAAATGGACGTGATGTGCGTATCAATTCAAAGGAGATGCTCTCTCCGGTCATGCAAACAAATTGTCTTAAGGTATAGTATGGTCTTTGATATATAGTCAATAATTTATGATATAGCATATTTGTTAAACCAAATAAAACTTACTACTAGAGTATGCTAATTTCAAGACAGTTTTAACAATGTGATTTTCATGTATCCAATTAAAATATTTTAAGAAGATGTGAAATGACCGTAGCTTAACTAGTTAGGCTCCTTATGATTGAATCTGTTTACCCGGATTTAATTTTTGGGCTTGGCATCGGTGCTCGTGCTCGCGTTTATGATTAATCACTTTTTTATTGGTACATGACACCCATTGACAACGGTTTTTGGACGTGTTCATAGGATAGTGTAAGAATATATTTAAGAAGATATTTACGCATGCTTGAGATTTATAAATGTTCTATTATAGAAGTGCGCCCTAAGCCACAAGCTATCGGAAATCAAAATCATGCATAGCCGGATCTTCAGCAGAGTCGTGTCACCTGTTTTGATCGTTCGAATGGTCTAAAATATTGGACGGCTAACAACCTTCTTTGCTTAATCTTGCCCCCATGGTCTTAATTAATCTTTGCCCAGAACGATTAGGTCCTGGAAACTAGGATTAACAAAACTTTAATTGCAGTGAGGATCAAGAAAAAAAAAAATCTCCCTGTATAATTTTCGGTTTTGAGAGGTATTCCGTACCAATCAACGTCGATAAGATCAAAAATCGAAAGAAAAGCGAAATTAAATATGGCACACGAGGGTGACAGCCGTGCACTGTCCAGGCGCGTACACGTCGCTCGCGTACGTACTTTGTGTGCAGTAGCAGTTGGTACTCCTGCACAGTGTACGCGCGCGCGACATCTGTACACTACGTACACGTTTACGTATACGTGTATATGCTTGTCGTCCACGTAGGCAACCTCCGCTACTCGGTCTCTAAGAGCTTACAATAGCAGTCTATAAACCAGCTATAAACATATTTTAAAGAGATAAAAAGAAGAGAGAAAAGCAGCGGGCTATAAATCTGTAGCCAGCTGTAACACGGACTCCAAGACGTAATATGTGTATGACATGTGAGATCAGGCATTAATAGTATTGTAAGCAACTATTGTATGAATTGGCTATTATATTGGCTATAGATGATTTGAAGCTAACAGTTGGCTATACTATTAAACTTGCTCTAACGCAGAGCTGATCACCGATCAGAGTGTAGTACAGCGAAATAAGCGTCGCCAGACTTTACCCTAAATTCAGGACTATATGTTTCTGTTTTCTCGCGCACGCTTAACAAACTGCTAAACAATAATTTTTAAAAAAATTATAAGAAAGTTGTTTTAGGAAAATGTATTAATCCATTTTTCAATTTTTTTATAACTAATAGTTAAGTATGCATTAATCTCTGTTTTATGTGTGAAGGGAGCGGTTCCCCAACTGCTCCAGAAGAAGAACATAGCTTAATTAAATTTCCTACGGTGAAATCAGTCTATACAGATTTAAGTTCTAAAATTGATACAAATATTAATATTTACTACTAATTGTTTTTTCAGTATTAGACAACGAGATGTCTATGGAGACATCATAGTAGTATCCAGCAGCCTATGTGGCGTTGCATTGGGAAGCCTAGCGCGGTGAGTCACCCTCCACCGTGGCATGGCCCCACCTGTCAGTTTGTAACTGCCAACCAAGTCACTGAAAAATTAGATGGACGATTTTGTCTCCGTAAAACAGAGTGAAATTAGGAGGACCACTGGATCCGCTATGCCAGGGATGTACTCATGATCTGGGCCATCCACGTGTCTGATTAAATACTTGACCCTGACATGACATACACGCATACTTAATGCATTAGCTTAATTAGCTAGCAACAATTGGTTTGGGATCATGGCAATGCAAAGCTTCTACTACTAGCTAGCTAGGCATGATCATGCAAGAGGCAGCCTGATGACTCTGATGTATGTTAACAACTGCAAGCAAGAGGGGTTATTTCACTAGTCTTGTCTTCACATGTTAACTGCATGAGTAGCTGCTTAGTTTGGAGAGGCAGTGTCCTAATCCAGCAAAGGGCAGGGCAGGGTCAGACCAGAAATGCTGCCTCATGGTAAGTGGGAACATTAGCTTTCTCACTGGAATATGATGCCATTGCTTGAAACAACTGTGCTCACTGTAGTGTAACAAAATCTTGTTCCTGCTATCTTTGATAATGGTACCCGTGTTTATCGGAAAAATGCTTACTGTACCAGCCTAATGAAGACGAAGTTGAAGAAGAAGATGATGAACAAGAAGAGGAAAAGATCTTTCCAAAGCAGCCAGCAAAAAAAGGATTTATAAAAAAGAAAAGAAAAGAAAAGAAAGGTAGCCAAAGGAGAAAGCAGGGGAGAAGAGAAGAAGATGAGATGAGCTGAGATGCTGCAGCCACATGAGGAATGCTACCTTTTGTCTCCACTTGATCATGGAGGAGACCAAGACCAGCCAACCAAATCACCAATTAGTTAACTGCATTTGCTACTAATTGCTAGTGCTAAACAAAGGTTTGGTTAAACGGTAGCCACCAGTAAACAAATCAGTATGCAAAAGAGGAATGGGGTTTTAATATTACCAAAGTCAGCAGGAGCGAGCCAGTAACATCCTAGCTGGACCAGCTTCCTGGGAATTTTTATTTCAGCTCAATTCTCGATTTCTCATTGCATTACACACTGATTAACCTTTTTTTTTCATTGGGAACTCAGTACAGAACATGGAGTACACAGTATACATCACCTAAATTCTAGCAAGGTCAACTAGTAGCAGAATTCACACATAACTATGTAGCAATAACTATAATTAAGTTACTGCAGATAGTACTACATATATAGCCTTTTTTTTCCTCAGTAGTATTTGTATATATATATATATATATTAGATATTATATTACCCCTTATTAAGTAAATAGAAAAGGGAAAAGGAGGAAAGAAATACTGCTTTTCCAAAGGTAATAAACTACAGAAGAAAAGGAAAAAAAAGATAAGAGAGAGAAAAAAAGAAGAAATAAAAAGTGGTAATTAATCCTAGTGGTGTATTGCAATTTAGTCCTTGGGATTAAGCATCTGTTACTCCCAAGTCCCAAAGCAATGGCTCCTCAAGCCGGAGCTCCGCATTGACCTCGTCGACGTCGGCGAGCGGCGCCCACATCGCCGGGAACCCGAACGGCCCGTCCTGGATGTCGAACAGCAAGTCCGGCAGGTCGAACAGCTGCTGCTCATCCGCCGCCGCCGCCGCCGCCGCCGCCGCCACCGGCGCGGTGGTTGAGCCGTCGTCGTCGTCGTTCTTGGCGGCAGCGGCAGGCTGCTCGTCGGCGTCGGCGTGGACGACGCATGGCGCGACGTCGTCGGCCGACAAGGAGGAGGAGGGCGACGAGGACGGGGACGTGGTGAACGCGGCGGCCAATGCGGCGGCGGCCTGGACGTCCTTGGGCGAGGCGGAGGCGGCGCGCGGGAGGACGCCGGCGAGGTCCGGGAAGTTGAGGTGCGCGGCGCGGCCCTTGATGGCGAGCGCGGCGACGTCGTGGGCGCGCGCGGCCATGTCGGCGGTGGGGAACGTGCCGAGCCAGATGCGCGACTTCTTCCGCGGCTCGCGGATCTCCGACACCCACTTCCCCCACGCCCGCATCCGCACGCCGCGGTACACCGGGTGCTTCCCGTCGCTGCTCCGCTTCCTCTTCTTCGTCGCCGCCGACGACTTCCCCGCCGCCGCCGCCTCCGCCTCCTCCTCTTCCTCCTCTCCTGCGCCGCCGCCTGCAGCCTCATCAGCCTCTCCTACCACCTCCTTCTTCCTCTTCCCCCCGGCCACAGCATTGGGTCTGGCCGGCGACGACCACGCGTCCGTGACGGCGGAGGAGCAGGAGGACGTGGAGGCAGCCGAGGAGGACGAAGACGAGGAGGTTTCTTGGAGCTCCTTCGCCATGGCCATGGCGAGCTACCAAGCTTAGCAGCTGCAGAGTGTGAGCACGAGGTCGAACAGGTTGCGTGCGGGCGGAGTGGCGCCTGCGTCTGAATGCGTAGTGAGGAGAGAGGGGGGTTTTTATTGCGAGTTCCAAATGCAAACGAGAGTTTTAACTTGGAGATTATAAACAACTGATGATGGGGCCTCAAACCCGTCCTATATATGCTTCGTGTCCCCCCGTTGTTGTCCCCACGGTGTCGCCGTGTTTATTTCAGGCTCGCTCGTTCATCATATGATTTTTTTAAAAAAAAATTCCTTAGTTGCTGGTATAAGTTAGAAAAAAAAACTGTGTGAGATAAAAAGCAGTTTTATTTGTTGTATGTATGATGAGCTTTAGTTGGTCCAGTTTTAGTAGTTGAGGCTAGGACATCAAATTGGTACTAGTTTCTCCAAAATTTGTTTATTTGTCCTATGAAACGGGGTGGACGAAACTTTCTTAAATCATGCAACCTCCATCGTGTAGCTATTGGTTTCCGTGACCAACGTTTGATCGTCCATCTTATTTTAAAAAAATGATTAATATTTTTATTGTTATTAGATAATAAAGCATGAATAGTACTTTATGTGTGACTATTTTTTAAAAAAAATTTCATATTTTTTTCAAATATGACGAACAGTCAAACGTTGGTCACGGAAACCTATAACTGCAATTATATTGGACGGAGGTAGTACGTGGTAGGTTAATTAGTAACATCGTGTGATCTACATCATCTTAATCTATAGCGAGTTTCTTGTTTAAGGCCTTGTTTAGTTGCGAAAATTTTTTGGGTTTGGTTATCACATCAGATATAAGAACATACATTTGAAGTATTAAACATAGTCTAATAATAAAATAATTACAGATTCCGCCAGAAAACTGCGTGGCGAATTTATTAAGTCTAATTAATCCATCATTAGCAAATATTTACTGTAGCACCACATTGTCAAATCATGGCGCAATTATGCTTAAAAGATTTGTCTCGCAATTTACACGCAATCTGTATAATTGGTTTTTTTTCCTGTATTTAATACTGTATGTATGTGTCCGAACATTCGATGTGAGCGTGAAAATTTTGTTTTGGAAACTAAACAGGGTCTAATTCTCGGTATGTAATAAGTTCTTATGAACCAGAACACACCACATGTTGTAATTAAGGAGAAAATTCCGAGGGGTTTTTTAGGAAAGGGGAAAAAACGCGTGTAACACCTGTGTTCCACTTTGATCTACAAGTAACATGGGACATATATCAGCATCCACATCCATTTCACCTCATATCAATGTAGAAGGTGATGGGACGGGCCCATGCAAAAGGAGGAAGAGGAGGACTGTTCAGTCACTGACAGCTTGGCCCTCAAGGGATGACTAATATTCATGGAAGGCAGCCAAGGACACCATGAGGGGCTCCTCAATGTATTGTTCCTTTCAAGTGCTCAAGAAACCCTGGTGTCTTGCTGGTGACACACCCCCAATTAAAGGCATGTCACACCAGCCCACAACCCCCCCCCCCCCCCTTCATGTGTGCTGCATCACCCCCCATTTTACAACTCATCTGGCTTTTCCATGCTGCTGCCCACATTAGCTCCTGTTGGCTTGGCTCTTTATCTTATCTCATCCTGCAAGGGATCACACAACCAAAGAGATTCTCTATATCAACAGCTGTTGGTGTGATACGAGCCACTGACATGTGAGACCGGACCTATCTGTCAGTGATCACTACTGCAGAGGATGTGAAAAATGCAATGCGAACAGCTGACCATTGCAGGTTCTGGAACAGGTTAGGATGTGAAAATGGCAGCCCATGCAAGTGGAAATCAAGGCAAGGGGCATATCAGCATATGGCAGTGGTATTGGCCAGTGGGCAGTAGTAGTATGGCATTGGGATTGGAGCACATGGATTTGGCCAGGGGATGTGTGGCTGCACCCAAGGTCTGGCTTTTGGAAGGCCCTGCTGTCTCTTGGAAGCAAAAAAAATTTGTGCTTGCCTTGCATGCAGCCATGCTGGGCTTGCTCCCTTGGATGTATGTGGCAAGTGAACCCCATCTACGCATAATTGCATTGGATTTTCCCTTCATTGGATTCCAGATGCATGTTGTTATTGTTTTTGTTGGTATTCTCTTTTGTGAGCAACCATTCACTGTTTCGCTTTTAGTTCCTTTTCTCCTTCTAGAGTGTACTTACCACTACTAGTTTATTACTCCCTCCAAAGTTTGTCGTTAGGATAAAAAAATTGTAGGTAAAATGTATGGTTAATTTGGTTGTCCAAAATGTATAGCATGTATAATGACTAGAGATGACAACTACTCCGTCCGTCCTAAAATATATAAGAATTTTTAGACGGAAGGACTATATCCTAAATTCGTAGTATTAAAATATATTTTATCCGTAAAAAAATTATTATATTTTAGAATGGATGGAGTAATTACTGCCACACTAACTACGAGCTCCATCGCTTCACCTGCCACTGATTATAAACTGTAACACTTAATACTGACTAAAAAATAAAAAATAATATGTGAATAGATCTTTTATATATATTCTTAGCGACTTAGAAACAATGAAAAAAAACTACGATAAAAAATATCAAAAATAACTTTAAAATTAAGTTTTAGAATTTAAATTTTAGTCACGACTAGTAAGCTGAAGAGCAAATGAAAAAGCTAACGGTGTTTCCATGTCAGAGTTGTGCGTACATCCAAAAGAGTTCAAATTCTGATATCCACGAATCAGCGTTCCCGCCCTCACGCGCCGGCCCACACGAACTTGTGTAGGTAGAAAGCATGTGTCTTCGTATCGTAAGAGTGGATACCTATACGTACACTCAACCCGTCAACGGCCTTCGTTTTCCACGGGGGAGATCGATCAATGCATGCATATTGTCGATCGATCGATCGAAGCGCCGCCGCGCGGCGCGCGTCGTCCCATTGCCTGGCCCTGATGCGGTGAACGCGCACGCGCTCCGGACATCGGCCCGCGACGCGCCCTCCGTGTTCTGATGCGTCCTCCACCGCGCATGTGCCTGCCGCCATGTGCGCGCGCATGCTTCGTGTCCGCTGCACAGAGCGTGGCCGCGTCGCGGCGACGATGGTTTGCACGGTCCAATGCCCGGGCGACAGCCATGGCGCGAGCGCGACCCCCGGCTTGCTGGGAGGGCGGCAATAATCCATTTCAACTATTGGATCCAAGCGTTCGGTTCCAGCTGCCGGGACACGTAGTGCACTCTCCTCGTTATCTCCTGGTGTGTCTTCTTCCCCTCCTCATCACTGTGGCCATACTACATGCTACTACTCAATTGTGTATGTAGCCAATCGGTTGGAGTACAGACTACGACAGAGAACGGTGCTCTGCTTCCCATTATTTTCTTTCAAGAGCTAGGACAGTACAAAGGAGTACAGTAGGAGTATGCACCCCCCATACTACTCTACATTCGAATTCGAGATGGCGACCACAACCTTGTTTTGGTTGCAAAAATCATTCGGGGATGCATGCTTATATTAGTGTTGCCACGTTTTTCTCCACTGAAATGAAAGGCTCAATAGATCCGTGCTTCAACGGATAAAAAATCGATCTTCATATCTACAAGTAGATATACACGATCAAAATATATACTTCATTTGTTTTCAAATAGCTAACACTGGGCACAAATTTTAAAACTGACAACTCAGTCTTTTTGTTACAAAAGGAATTACAAATACTTAAAGGAATAACAGATCATAGTATATTGTATGTCTTAAATATAAGCATTATGGAGTTAGTACTATCACTGTGACTTCAGAGTTTTTTTTTTTTTTATAGAACTGACTTCAGAGTTGACATGAGAAAAACCTGACATCGTCCGGCGACGATGGCATCAGGCAATATCGGCACACGGCAGGTTTGATTCGCTCATCAGATTTCGGTGCGTACCAATCTGTACCATGCATACGCGTTAGCTAGGTTTGCGGCGTTTTTACTCATCATCGCGGTAGCTAGCTGCATATGATGCATCTTTGGCCATATCTGAGGTGAACAGTGGGGATGAAGCTGTACCAAAGCACCATGATCTGGCTGCATAAAACACATTTGAATCTCTACACTGTAGTCTTCCGTGAGGCAATTAATTAGGTGCTGGAGAATAACGCATAATTAATCAAGGAATGAAAAATGGTGAGAAAAATGGCACATGTATTGCTGGTACATCGTTGGCACTTGGCAGTTAGGCTTAAGACTGAGTTCTTTTCATCAACTTCAAACGATAACTTCTTTGTTTTTCGTTAGCATGTTTTCGAACCTATTAAACGCATAATTAATAAAGGACTGAAAAATGGTGAGAAACAATGTTATTGTTACTGGTACTAGTACATCGTTTGCAGTGGCCTGTCGAGTCAATTTCTTTTGAGGCAACCAAGACGAAAGCATCAGCTAACCGAGTGAAAAATAGGCCCAAGACGAGCACGCTGAGGCCTATCTCAAAGTTGGTCCGGCCGAGCAAGCCCACTGCAACTCTAGAAATACGGGCCACATAACTAACTTGCAAATTTTGGGCTGAATACTGGGCTTCCAAGAGGCGGAATCCTATTTGGGCCGGATATCTGCGAACGCTAAATGGGCCGCCAAAAGAGCCCTCTACTATTCAATGGGCGGGCCCACGAAGAAAAGGTTGGGCCCACTACGGAACGGAAGCCTAGGGCCAGCCGGCAGCCGTCGGATCAAGATGGACGGCTTCTGTGCCTCGACCAGCCCTCTCGCCCTCGTCGCCGGCTGCCTCCGCCGCCGCACGCCGCCGCCGCCACCTCATCGCTGGCCCGCGCCGCGCCGCCGCCTGATGGGATTCCGCGCGTCTATATCCCACGTCCCTCTTGCTGCTTCTCTTCCACTCGCCTCCGTCGCGGTGAGCGAGCGAGCGCGAGCGGCGATGGAGGAGACGAGGAGGAGGGGTGGTCGAATGTGAGAGGCGAATCCACGTCTTGCCGCTGAGAAGGCGGCGGGAGGGAGCAACGTCGTGAGACCCACCACGCGGTCGCTGACGGGTGGGCCCAACCACCCGGCCGCCGCCACTCCCGCGCCCTTATCATCTATCTGCCTCGTCTTCTCCGCCCCCTCAAGCTGTTCGACGGAATGGCGCAGTGGGACGCGCTCGTGGACGCCGCGCTGGCGAGGCTGGCGTCCAGGAGCCTCCTGCGCGCCACGCGCCCCATCGCCCTCGCGCCGCCGCCCGCGCCGCCGGAGACCTTCCCCTGCCCAGGCCCGTGGGACCGCGCAGCCGTCGAGATCCGGCTCGACCGCGCAACGCTCCACCAATGGCTGGCTGAAGGTCCAACCTTTTTTTATCATCTGCTTTGCTTCCATGCATATCAAATTTTCATTTTTTTATTATTATTTCTTCCATGTAATAACTGCCTTTGAGATAAGCCTAAACAACATGTTCTAGTTTCTTTCAATATCATTTTTAATGGGAAAGGTGTTATCAACAATTCTAGTTGTTATCAATATAGTTTCGTTTTGCAGAAACTCTACCAACTTCTCATGTATCGTTTTACTTGATTAGGTGGTGAGGGGAGTGGCCAAGAAGAGAAAGTGGACGAGAAACTGATTCTTTTCTCCGGGAATGATTACATGGGCCTCAGCTCGCATCCTGCAATTCGCCATGCCGCAGTGAAGGTGCTCCTTTCTTGCACCCATGGCTATTGTTTGGTGCGGAATTTTTTTGACACTCTAGGATTTGCACCATGTTTCATTGAGGGGCAAATCCTAGACTGGCGCATGATCGATTTTTCCTTGTTTGATCTATGGAGTGGACTGAATCAATGCTTCGGTGGTTAACTTTGCCAACATTCTGGTGTATCTACTAGGCAGCTGAAGAGTACGGCATGGGCCCTAGAGGATCTGCGTTGATTTGTGGATATACTACCTATCACAAAATGGTGGAGGAATCGTTGGCAGAGCTGAAGAAAAAGGAGGTACTGTTGCGTTCAAAATTTAAGCAACCACATGTGCCCGGTATACAAAATAAAATAAAAAACTTGCAGCCTTACTAGAGTCCTTCTACAGGATTGCCTTCTTTGTCCCACTGGATTTTCTGCCAATATGGCTGTAATGACGGCTCTGGGAAACATCAGCTCTCTGTTGGCTGCTGGGAGAAAACCTGCGGAGGACGAAAGAATAGCAATTTTCTCAGATGCTCTGAACCATGCTTCGATCATTGATGGGATTCGCCTTGTTGAGCGACAGCAAGAAGTGGTATCATTTGTGTACAAGCACTGTGACATGTCCCATCTTGAACTTTTGCTGTATGTTTTTCACTTTCCAGTCATAACTCATAACATACAAAATGCTAAGCACTAATTTACTTAGTTATAAACCATGTTTGTGATTACACATGCAGATCCAGTTGCTCAATGGAAAAGAAAGTTGTTGTCACAGATAGGCAAGTTATACATCCAAGTAAATTTCATCATTTAAGAAGCATTTATTCTCTGTATTAGTGAGTAGTGTACCGAACTCAGAAGCTCTTTTGATTGGTAAAATGCAGCCTGTTCAGCATGGATGGTGATTTTGCTCCATTGCCTGAGCTTGTCAAGTTGCGCAGAAAGTATGGGTTTTTGTTGGTGATCGACGATGTTAGTATATTATCTTCCCTGAAATACAGTATTTTTCTGGCCTAATATTAATCAAGTTATGTTGCAAATTTCCTTTTCAAGGCACATGGAACACTTGTTTGTGGTGAGAATGGTGGTGGTGCACCTGAGCTGTTTGAATGTGAGAATGAGATTGACATAAGTGTTGGCACCTTAAGCAAGGCTGCTGGCTGCCAGGGTGGTTTTATAGCATGCAGGTATTCTATTCTAAGGCATGTCCATATTATCTGGCAAGGAAGAACTGCTCATAGTGCATATTAAACTGTGGAAATGAATCATAGATGCCTTGAAATAAAGGACTTCATAAAATACCTGAGACAAAACCTACTTGATAATATGTAAACAGTAGCGGCATGCTCATCACGGCCAACAGGAAATGTTAGAACAAATGCTTGGATGACTTCAAACATTTTCCATATCTGTTGCTGTCCTGAGTAACTTATGGGCATCGGCGATTATAGTTTAGGAATTACGCTAAGTGCTTAACTTTTGATGTTAATAGATGCTCTGGACACCACATAATATTATTTATCAGGGTCTTGGTTATGAAATTTGCACTTCAGAGCCTCATGCTTATAAACTCAATAAATAGAAGTTCTCTTGAATTAGCCTCTCTTGATAATACTTCATGCCATAATCTCTGCATTTTGGATGCATGCCATAATCTGTCTTTACAATTTCCAATCTTATGACGAATAATAATTTGAAATTTGTTTGCAGTACCCGATGGAAGAGGCTGATTCAATCGCGAGGTCGTTCCTTCATATTTTCAACTGCTTTACCAGTGCCAGTAGTTGCTTCTGTGTATGGTAATACTCTACACATTGTGTTCTAATAATTTAAAATATTGATATGGGAATCTGGTATTGATTGCTACATATACCTGTTTGTGTTACACTGTTTTCACGAGGAAGGGCATAGAAAACCTTCTCTATCACATTAATCCATAGAAGGACGAATTTAAATAAAACATTAACTAACGTAAAAATTATCTCATTGTCAAAGTAAATATCAGGAATTCTTCTAAACAGAATCAATTAATTTCAGCTGCCCTCTATGTATCAAGGGAGGAGAGATGGCGGAGATCAGTGATCTGGAGGCATGTGCAGTATTTTGCCTCTTTGACAAAACTCAACATAACAAGTCCCATAATTTCCATTGTAGTTGGAAGTGAAAAAGCAGCACTTAGAGCTGGAAGGTTCTCACTTCCTCCCATTTTTGTTTCTTGATAATATCAGTAGTTGTGTGTTCTAATCTTTTCATTTTGAAACTGCAGGGATATGCTAAGATCTGGATTTCATGTCACGCCAATCCGACCACCCACAGTACCGCCCAACTCATGCAGGTTGAAAATTTTCTGTTCCTAGCATTTTCCATCCTAATCTCTATTCATAGACTTCAGCAACCTAAAGCATCAGTGTTCCTAGGGACCATAGACTGTAATTGGATTAGGAACCAGGGTATATATGCATTTTTATTAATGTGTTTTCTTGGTCTTTGCTACTGCTCTCCAAAGATGGAATCCCTGCTAGACTTTTTTTTTGAACTGCTTGCTATAATTTGTTGTCCAGATATTAGATGGTCCTAGTGTTCATCGACATAAGGTCGGGCCTGTTTCAACCAAGATTAACTGTTTTATTTCTTTCCATGAATTCTTTGCAGGTTGCGAATAACTCTCAGTGCTTCTCATTCTTCGGATGACATCAAAAGGCTGGTGGATGCGCTGACGCCGTGGCTCCCTCACAAACATGATATTCAGATATATGCTGTGGCATCAAAGCTCTAAACAATGATTCATCCGAGTGTTCAGCTCATCAAGCTTCAAGAAGTAACATTAGCTGAGATCCCACCGGATGATATGGGAGAAAAGGGGATAAGTTAGTGCTGGTTGACGCGATTAATACTGGGATATCTTTGTATTACAGCACAATCAATATGAATATGAAACATAACTGATGAAACAGTACTACATCTTTTGCCCTCTCTAATTTGACTTTACTTAAACATAAAGCATCACATAATTAGCTAGGTAACAACATGAATGCATAGCATCCACTCTTTACTGCAAATACAGAAACGTATGCACAAACTACAAATATCGACAAATTGAGAGAGAGGGGCCACGCTTTATGCAAGGAACAACATTTATACAAACTCTAAGTGATCAGCAGATTAAGAGCAAACAAATAAAGCTAAATTATTATGGTGTATTGGAACAAGCGTGCTAAAAATAATATGTTATACTATATATATAACTCTCTCTTAATATGATGTAAACACAATTAGAGGTGCAGTAAAAATGGCAGCATCTGCTCCCCTGTGTTATTGAATATTCGGCTTAACTAGTTGATGGATCAACTCGTGCATGAAATGTCTTTGCAACAAATGCAGCTTAATCTGATTCTCCATCATTCCACATGCAGCTTACTGTACAAGTATTTTTACAGTCATTAAGAAGATAACGGGATGTACCATATTTTTTAAGTTGATACTTATCTGTTGGTACCTCTCAAAGACACTAAAATTTCTATTAACCAAAGAAGTGCAAGCTATGCAGAAAGCAGAGGAGGTAAGAATAAGATAGTGAAACACTCATCCTTGCATTTCTTTCTGATGCAATATGAATCTTCAGAAATATATATAGTACTCCTTCTACTAGCTAGCTAGTATAGTTATCTTGTCACCGACACCATAGAATATGAATCATCAGAATTATATATAGTGAAAGCCAAGGAGTAAGTTCGGAGAATTAGAGACTACAACTTTTCACTAATATCAATACAGTATACAGGCAACTACAGAATGTAGGGCCTGTTCACTTTAATGCTATTTTTAACCATACCATTTTTTTTGATAAAGTTACCCAAAAAATATCCACGTTTAGTTTGTTGCCAAATTTAGTCAATACATAAAAAATCCTGCCAAAATTTTAGCAATATTGTCATCTTGTCAAAATTTTAGTATTGACAAAACTTGGTAAGGTTTATTTTAGCTACAATCTGTTCATATTCTACGGAACACTCAAAATAGCATAGTAGATGATTTACTAATGGGCAAAAGGCGATTTGAAATAGCATATATACAAATGAAAACAACAGCGTTTAGGAAGGGTATACAGTAGTACTTAAGAAGTTGAGAGTTCATGATCTCAACAGAATTGAAGAAATAAATAATCACGAAATAGATGTGTATTTATGTGTGAAGAGAGAAAAACCGATCAATATACAACCTGATGTATGCTTAATTGACTAGAGGGATATGACTAATTAGTTCTACACTAGTAATATCGTGCGCGTGCAATATACATTCTTCACAAATATATATAATGAAAATTAAACATACATTTCCAGCTCGACCGAAGTGTCCTGCAATAAAAATACGGATTTGCTATAAATGTGCCATCATGTTTTTCATGAAAAAATAGTTAGCATGTATTTACATTGTAAGTCCCTAAATTACATATGTAAGTCCCTAAATTACATATATAATTACATTAGATTTGTAATATAATTGCATTTGACATATTTTTACCTATGTCGTCATATTTTTAGATTGACCCTAAAAATATAACTAATATCCACATTTTACATGATTTGGATTAGTCATTTAGTATGACAATTGATAAAACCTATCCTTATTCAAAATATAATCTAAAAGGTTCAACATATGAAGTTGAAGCTGATATATTGGTGGTAAAAACTAGTAGAACCTATCCTTGTGAAAGAAGGCACCTGAAAACTTACTGGATATATAAAAAAAAAGGTGAATAGCTAATTAAGTCCCTCAAGTTTCACTGAAGGCTCAATTTGATCCTTCACGTTTTATTTTGTTCACATAGCTCCTCTAAATATTTGTTTTGGTTTGACATCATCCTTGGGCCAACTTAATATGCCATATGGCTATTTTTAGTCAATATTTCTATTAGAAAATGTCCCTTTTGCCCTTAATTTATATACAACTATATACTAAAAGGGAGAAAATCAAGATGAATAAACAACATTGCAGATATACTTCCAATTATTTCAACATGTGCACATGAAACTTAAGCAATTACTATTGTATACAGCTTGCTAGTACATAATTTATTTTCGTTTTACATAATTTACTATACATTATCTTAAAAAAATCAAGCATACAATTTTTCTCTTATATATGTGAATGATGAGGGTATAAGTGTCATTTATCAAGAGAGTTATTGGTTCAAGGATAAATTTGAACTAAAATGAAAACTTGAAGGACTAATATGGATAGATTGAAACATCAAGGACTAAACTGAGGCTTAGATGAAACTTGGAGGACTACTTGAGCTATTCACCCTAAAAAAAATAGTGGTAACCATATTTGCACCCAACACCTCCCACGGAGAGCTAACGAGATTGAAATAATATTGAAGAAAATCCTTACCTTCAGACAATTTGTTAGCATTGGAGTTATCAGGATCCATGGAGTCCTCCAATGGAATCCTAGACTTGTCTGTTTCGTTTATGTGAAGGAATATTAATTAATGTATGTCTGGATTTCTAGTTAGAGAAGCAAATTGTTTGGCAATGCTACAGCAACCTACAGAAGATGATTTAAAGATGCTTCTGTCTAACCAGAAATCAAAGATAGCAAGTAGATAATATTTCATATGCTCTATCTTAGCCTGAATATAGGGCTGGAAGAGGCTCCCTTCTTTTCTGAACAGAATGCACAATTATTCTACTCTTCGTGAAACAAAAACCAAACATTATTATCAGAATCTTTGGAGAGGAATAGATGTCAACCCTAAAAATTTAGTCAATTTTCAGACTATTTTGTATATTAAATCTCCGTCCAAGAATCAAGCCAGTATACATAGAATGACAATTAATTAATATGTAAATTCAAACAAAAATAAAACGTAAATACTTACAGAAGAGGCACCACATAGAATAACACAGTAGCAGAAGGTCAATCCTAGCGTGACTTTAGCTCCACTGCACAAACAAACTTAATTGGGATATAAGCCTTGGCTTCTTCACTCTAACTCAACTCTGTAATTTGACTTTCCTGATTGCCAACCAGAACAAACAATAAAGTAGCAGTGCAGCACATAATTAACTAGGTAACAACATGCATGTATATAGCATCCACTGTTCATTGCAAAATTACCAAAAACGTATGCACAAGCTACAAACATCGATAGACTGATGATGAAAGACACACATTTATTCCATGAGAGACAAGCTAGCAAAACATGCAATTAAGCTCTGTCCAAAGCTCTAGATAGGGTAGTATGCTTGGACATGCATGCCTAACACACAAACATCAACAGATCATACATGGATCAACACTTGTCTCTCTCTGAGCTAGTATAGCTAAACACATACTTAATTAATTCATGTGATTATATATGATAATATAGCTCTGGCTGCAGCTTGATGATACTATATCAGCGTAAGTGTATAGCATTCATGCATATGTAGTAGTAGTATTCAGTTCAGTTCAGTTCAGTTCAGTTGGGCTTGGAGCTTGGCACGTAGATCCTGGCCCAGAGGTGCCTCCCCTTGATCATGTACTTCGCCGTCTGCTGTCCGTCGAGCACCACCGGGATCATCGACGGGCACCGGAGCACCACCCGTCCGTACACCGGCAGCTGCCCCGCCGCCGCCTTCTCCACCATCACCGACTCCACGCACGGCCCGTACAACCTATGTTGAAGAAGAAGGTGTTGTTGGTATGATCATTCATGGCGAGAGATCGATCGAGAAGAAGGTGTTTGATCTGGGTTTGGTTTGGTTTACGAGTTGAAGAAGTTGATGATGTCGTCCTGTCTGATCGGGTAGCCGCGGGAGAAGGTGATGAACAGCGAGCGGTAGTCCTCCGGCAATGGGATGTAGCCGTGCTGCTGGTGCGGCTGCGGCGGCGGCGGCGGCGGCTGCTCCTGCTGCTGCACCGGGAACCATGGCGAGGCCATCGGGTTCAGCTCGGCCACCGGCGGCGGCGGCGGCAGCATCGGGGCCATGTGGACGGCGTGGTGGTGGTACTGGTGGTACATCGGCGGCGGCGGCGGTGGTGGTGGTGTGCCGTCGAGCGCGTCGAGCACGTCGCGGGGGAGGAACGCGGCGGCTTCGGCGTCGTCGTCGTCGTCGGCGGCGGCGACGGCGGCGGCGACGCCGTCGTCGAAGATGACGCGGCAGACGTTCCTGTACACGTCGCTGACGCCCTCCATGACCTCGTCGCGGTGCGCGTCGAAGTAGGCGAGGCCCTCGACGGGCTCGGCGAGGAGCGCGTTGGTGCAGGGGAGGAAGCGGAGCGCCGGGTCGGCGTCCCCGGCGGCGGCGAGCGCCGCGAGCCGCCGCTCCGCCCCGCCCGCGACCCCTCGCCGCCGCGGCAGCCGCGCCAGGCACGCCAGCGCCTCGTCTACGAAGCGCAGCACGACGGGGGCCGGCAGCACGGCGACGCGGCGGACGAAGTCGTGGTGGCCGACGGACTCGAGCCACAGCCACAGCGCGATCACCCACCTCATCGGCCCCGGCTGCTGCCCGTGCTCGCCGACCAGCCGCCAGAACAGCTCCCGCTCCATCGTGTGGAACATCATCAGCGCAACCGCCCCGCTGCTCGCCATTGCCGCCGCCCACCTCGATCTCGATCTCGATCGAAACGCTCGCTGCAGCTGGCGATCGATCGATCGATGGCGCTGTTAAATAGCTGGCCGGATTGGCAGCTGGTGGCTCGCCGGGGAAGCATGAGGCCAAGGCGGTTGTTGCTGCAGCTACGAGACAAATCAAATCAACGGGGAGTGGACACACGTCACTGCACCTAGCCGTGCTCCCGCTCCGGCGAGCTCACGTGGGAAGCACGCATGCATGCATGCATGGCCAAACCGCCAAAGCACACAAAAGCTAGTTCTTCCACCTCTGCACACAAAGCTCTGAACATCGATCATCATGCGTGATCGTTCGAGCTTAGCTTAAGCTATCTTTTCAACAGCATGATTTGGAGATACATGAGTTAGGTAGAAAAAGTTTTAGAAAAACTTACGAACTTGGATAATCAATATGAGCTGGCTCGAGATGGAAGAGGCTCCTCTAACGTAAAGTCAGAGGGACATAAGTCGTCTCTGACACGTGAGGCTCACCCCAATAGACCCACACGTCAGAGAGATATATGTCCCTATGGTGTACGTGAGAGGAGCTTCGTTGGCTCGAGATATATCTGGCGTGGCAACGGGATTACGGATTGTTGATCATGTGTAGCTCTGCTCCAAAACTTTTGATCCAAGTGATTCACCAGTTAGTAAATGTTGTTTGCTACTACCCTTGGGGATGTGTAAAGCTAGGTGGATCAATCCAAACATGACATAATAAGGACATGGTTATATGAATTTAAGTTCAAAAGTTATGGGCAGCTAGCATAACAAACCTTTAAAAAGATCTTAGAAAGACTTTTTTTTTACGATTACACGAAAGACACACACGCACACTACAATCACCACCCGTAAGTGCGTCCCCTAACACACGCTATCTAAAGAGACAATTTGATTACACCAGGAAGCTAACAGATCCTTGTCAAAAATGCTAGGAGTTGGGAATATTCTATCTCCATATCATTAAGTTGATTATTGTGGTGATCATTAAGCTATATCTACTTGTATATCTGGCGTGGCAACGAGATGGATCATGTGTGCTTGCTCCATGGCTTTCAATCCAAGTGATTCAGTTCGTTAATGCTGTCTGCTACCACCTTTGGGGATGTGTAAAGGTAGATTATATCAATCCAAACATGACTTAACAAGACCATGGTTCATAATAGTTTCAGTTCTGAAGTTATGACTTATCAGCAGCTAGCACGAGAAACCTTTGAAAAAGGATCCTAGCTAGAAAGACACTTTGATTACACATTTACACCTGGGAGTTAACTGATCCTTTTGTCGATAATATATGATCTGGCTCTGCCTCGAAATTAACTTGATTGTGGTGATTAGATAGAGTAAAGGTGAACTCACTCAAATGATGATGGCGAATCTCCTGACAGAAGTACTGAACTAGTCAACCAGGCCAGCATGGATGGATTGTTGGTGACCAGTTGTCTCCAATGCATTTGAGAGTGAGGAACATGTTTCTGACAAGGGAAGGGGAAAAAACAGTGATGAGAATAATCCCATATTGGGAATTGCTACAACATTACCAAATAAAGAATTGAAAGAAAATAAACTTTAAAAGATCTAATAATTGCCTTCGCCCCCAAATGATAGAAAAAAAAATAGGCCGTTGGATGGAGATCCGATGATCCAGATACATTTAATCTTGTAACAACCCTAATTACTAGTCCACCTCAATTGTTTTTTGTTGCCACCACCATCGATCCCCTACCTCGCCGCCGCCAGCAGCAACAAGTCCGTTCTTCCCCGGGCACCTCCCTCTCTTACTATCGAACACCTTCTTCTACTTCTCTCTGAACATCCTCTCCAACAACGTTGTTTTACCTTTTCTCTTGTTGTATTGCCTTTAGATCAACCGCTGTCGTAGCATCAATCACCTCGTAATCACAAAGACTTCCTCCGCCTCCTCCCTGTTTCTCCCCTCACTCACCCACAACCTCATCTTGTAGAGCCTTACTCTAGCCAACTTCGCCACCTCCACCACCGTATAGCGAGAAAGCCATGATAATTTGGGTTCCGTGGTGTATATATGGCGGAGAGGCTGCCTAAAATTCACAAATGAGGATAAGAGCAATGGACGAAAGCAGGAAAGGCAGCCAGCCTTTTGCCCTTTTATAAGCAATGACGGTTTGTACCGACCTAATCGTATTTCTAAATGGGCCTAAACATATATTTGGGTCTAAAATAGTCGCTCCCGTCTATCACATTAAGGCTTTATTTGGATGGGTCGACATTTCTATGGACCACATTTATGGGCTGAAGTTTTATTGAATTTGTCGCCCTGTACACAACACAATAGAAAAAACTTGGGTTTACTCATATTGTAGCCACCTTTCCTTTAAAAATGTTCTTTATGAATTTTCAAAAGTATTTCGTTTTCTATTTATTCTGATGAAATTTATACCAAATATAAAGTTACAACCCACTAAATCTAAAACTCGACATGCAATCATGCCACAATCAATTATTACATATCAAAGCTCATGTAAGCATGAACATCATCTACAATCTACTGAATTCTACAAATTAACAAGCAAGCATATCTTATCATCACCACTCATATCATTTCCACAATATTTCAAAGTATCTATTTATCATTTTTATAATACTTAAAACATATATCTATCAATATATTCAGCATCAAAGCACAATATCATTTGTTTGTTTCATGATTAGTATCGTAAACTCTGACGTTTCATTATTTTTTGCATTCTGCTTCTTGCAATACAAATCTTGATCAACAATCTAATATTTTATCTATTGAATTTATTTCTCTCCAAATATATATTAGTAAACCAGTTTAATTTGTTGTTAATAACTAATATCCTTTTTACTCCTAACTCGATTGTTGAAAAAATATATTGAAGATTGCTTCGTAATTCCCACAGCAAAGCGCGTGTGGAAACACATAATTAAACAAAAAGTTGTATCCACTTGAGCCGTAGGCTACAACAGACAGATAGTAAAGTCTCTACATCAAAGAGCGTCTAAAGGTATGCATGGTCCATACTCATTTTATTTCAAATTGTTTATCATTCTAGTAAATTTTATAGCAAATAAAGAGCTATGGCAAATTACATTATTCCCCTTATTTATCAGAGTACATTCCAATCATTTTTCAAAGTAGTCATTAACTCTGATTACTAATTGTGGCTGCATATATAGGGTAGGGAGGGAAGATCACATTTAAAGCCTTGGGACATGAGAGTGACTATTTTAGTTAAAAAAAATGAATTGCTAATAATATGAAATGGAGGGAGTAATTGAATATGCCTTTTGGGCTGCCATCTGCCCATTGGGCTGTGACCATCCGGTTTGAGCCCATTTTACTGACCTGTCTCCCTGGGCTTTGTTGCGCGAGCACGAGCCATGGCCGACGTGGGTGGGAGAGCTCGAGCTCCGAAGATGGCAACAATGGCGGCCGGCGTCGCACTGCACCTGCACCTACAAGGTGACGCGGCCGGCCGCCGGATAAGCGGCGAAGCTGCCCAAGTTCTTCTCCTTGGGCTGCTTCTGCTTCTACTGGTGAGTTCAGAGTTCAGACTCCAACTTGGGTCAGATCTCGTTTCCATGACTCCCATGTACCCATGTATTCTGAATTTCTGATCCTAGCTCAAAATTGTTTTTTTCTCTTTTTGTCATTTCCTGTTTTGATGAAACATGCGCATCATTCAAGTATTATAAATTTATAATTGGTGCCAGCCGCAAATTTGCGGAGGTTGGTACGAATAGGATTGTTTTTTTGTCCTCATGTATTTGTACTTTTGTAGTCCTGTTGAATCCACTAGAGACTGCTGCTTATTGCTGAACTGCCACATATTGCTGCTAGGAACTCACAAATTTTCAGGAGTTCTACTCGATAAACTTATCAGCACATTGCACATCCAGCTTTGCCTCTGAGTGCTTCCAGGGATGAAGGTGAAGGCAATTAGAGTCCACAAGATTGGTGGTCCAGAGGTAAGTGTGTGTTCTATACCAAGAAGAAAACTCCATCTAATTTCCTTTTCCTTATAATTCATCTCCTGCAAATCTAATCCATTTGGGAGTAAGCAGTTCTTCTTCTGATGTCCAAAGGTGCTAACTTGGGAAGAGGTGGAGATTGGGGAGCCCAGCGAGGGGGAGATCCGGATCAAGAACAAGGCTATCGGTGTCAACTATGTCGATATTTATTACCGTACTGGGTTGCATCAAGAACCTCTCCCGTTTGTTCCTGGTACGGATTTTAGTATTTTACCATCATCAATGACAGTGATGTGCTGAATGTTTTCAGATCTGGTGTATGGGGATTCTGATAACAAAATTCCAACTTACTTTGTTAAATCTAATGTCAGTTCATGGCCCGGAGAAAATTCTTGGTTGCCATCTGAGCTTATAGAGTATACTGGTAGGCTAAGGAAAAATTATAGGACATGTTCATATTGTAGCCAAAATAAACCTTACCAAACCAAAATTTTGGCAATTTGGCAATATTGTCAAGTTTTGGCAGGATTTCTTATTTATTTACCAGAGTTTGGTAAGAAACTAAATGGATGCGCATATTTGACAACTTTACCAAAAAAAATAGTATGGTTTAAAATGGCATCAATCTGAACAAGCCCTTACTCTAGCACTTTTCAGTCTTCTATCACTGTTCACTAACTAGGCAAGTGAGCAGTGATATAGGACTTTTGAACCTTGTAATTTCTATGTAGGATTTCTCAAATCACTACAGCCAATCACCATTTGCATACGAAGAATCAGACTCAGTGTTATGCTTGAAGAGTCTTCCCCTGAATAAAGTTCTTTGGTGTTTTTTGTACTAGCCAAGCACCGAATTATCACAAGAAGTGCAGTTTGTGACTTCTAGAAAAATTGAAAACACACAAAAGAAACTGTTTAACTAATGAGTATTCAATCGAATTTATCAGAAATTATTTAATGGTATGCCGAAAAGGCAAGATCGCACTATCCATTTGCAAATGAACAGTCAAACTTGTCGAAAATGTGAATGATCTTATTCTTGGAGCATTGACTTTGTGTTCATCCAGGCAAGGAAGCAGTAGGAGTAGTGTCTGCTGTTGGACCTGGGGTAACAGGTATCGAAGTTGGCGATGTAGTCGGCTATGCTGATACTCCAATGGGCACTTACACTGAAGAACAGATTATACCGGCAACACTGGCCATTCCTATTCCACCTTCAGTGGACCACATTACTGCAGCATCTGTTTTACTCAAGGGAATGACTACATATGTCCTTGTGAAACAAGCCTTTAAGGTGATTGTTTTGTGCTAAGCTGATTCAGTAGTTCAGTACCAACTTCCATGATTTCAGAGACACAAAACAAAAGAAAACAAAACAGAAACTGATTTTGATTTCAGAATGCAACTTAGAAACACCTCCATGTTGGTCTCTTGTGCAGATTCAGGCAGGCCATACTGTCCTAGTCCATGCTGCTGCAGGAGGAGTTGGCTCTCTCCTTTGTCAGTGGGCGAATGCCCTTGGTGCCACCGTTATCGGGACCGTTTCGACACAAGAGAAAGCAATCCAAGCAGCCGAAGACGGGTGCCATCATGTGATCATCTACACCGAGGAGGATTTCGTAGCCCAAGTTGCTGAAATCACATCGAGGAAGGGTGTTCATGTTGTTTATGATGCTGTCGGTAAAGACACCTTCAAGGTAGCAAAACCATCCTACTCTCATTTTGCAACACCTTACAATCACTTTCACCTTCTTTGATCTTGACAAAAAGCATTGCCATGAAAATTGGAATTAAATGTTGAATCATAGGCTTGACATGAGGTAAATCAGCTGCCTGAAACTGAATATTTTTTTGTCTGAAACTCTGAATGTGAAGGGATCAATGGAGTGTCTGATGCCGCGTGGATGCATGATCTCTTATGGGCAATGTTCAGGGAGGCCTGACCCTGTACCAGTGAGTGATCTGGCGTCCAAGTCCCTGATCTTGGGCAGGCCAGGGATGAGGCACTACACCGCCACCCGCGACGAGCTGCTGCACGCCGCCGGCGAGGTCTTCGCCGGCGTGGCGGCTGGCGTTCTGCGCGTCCGCGTCAACCATGTCTACCCGCTGCATGAGGCGGCTCGCGCGCACGCGGATCTCGAGGCACGGAGAACCTCTGGATCTGTGGTGTTGTTGCCTGCCATGCCAGCAGCTGACAGCTGATGAGAGTATCCTGTGGCATTGATGTTGTTAGAATAGGTGTCGAATATACTAGTTCTATTTGGTTACAGTTGGACTTGGAATTGTAATAGGTGTTAGGGGGTGGAGTTAGAGTCAAACTCTGTAACCCGGCATCTCTCTTAAATAGAGCGGGGGGCACCACAATGTAACCATGGCGACTACAATGTAGCGTAGACACGCAGGGAGATGATGGCGGCGTGGCCATGGACTCGTAGCGGCTAGGAGCTATATTGGTTGGGGAGGAGCGCCCATAATCAGAGCCCCGGGGATGTAGGTTTCGGCTGAACCTCGTTAACAAATATCGTGTGTTCCTGTGTCGTCATCTGGCATGTCTTGGGTGATCAATGATTGAAGCGATCGGGAAGGTTAGTTATCGTTCCGCTATATCGGCTAACTTTTATAACAAGTGGTATCAGAGCCCAAGGTTTGGAACCTGGAACAATTTCCATGGGTCACATGGTGGAGAGGCCAGGTAACAAGTCTTCGGGGTCACATGGGTTGGTGTGACGGGGGAGATTGTTAGGCCTGAGGCCAGGTAACAAGTCTTTGGGGTCACATGGGTTGATGTGATGGGGGAGATTGTTGGGCCCGATGTGTGATGGAGGAGATTGTTGGGTTTAGTCCTACATCGGTAATTGATGGTGGGGGAGCACGACTTAAAAGGTGGGGGCGGTCCTCACCCATCAGACTAGTCTTTTGGGTTGTGTAGGCCTAGGACCTAAAAGTTGTGGCTCCGGTTGGACCTGTGGTGGAGCAGGCCCAATGTGACCTGGGTGGCCTACGGTTGGTGGGCCGGGCTGCGCACTCCAACAAGTGGTAGACTAACCTTTATAACAAGTGGTGAGAACAATTTCCATGGGTCACATGGTAACAAAGTGGTATCAGAGCCCAAGGTTTGGATCCCGGAACAATTTCCATGGGTCACATGGTGGACAGGCCAGGTAACAAGTATTCGGGGTCACATGGGTTGATGTGATGGGGGAGATTGTTGGGCCTGAGGCCAGGTAACAAGTCTTCGGGGTCACATGGGTTGATGTGACGGGGGAGATTGTGACTTAAAAGGTGGGGGCGGTCCTCACCCATCAGACTAGTCTTTTGGGTTGTGTAGGCCCAGGACCTAAAATTTGTGGCTCCGGTGAGCCTGTGGTGGAGCAGACCCAATATGACCTGGGTGGCCCATGGTTGGTGGGCCGGGCTGCGCACTCTAACAGATGTTCTTGTGTAAACTTTGTCAAAAGAAAAAAGAGAACACTTTTGTTCAGTGATGCTAAATGTGATCTAGAGTAAAAAATTCATGGATCATCCAGCCTCATCGTTTGGTCGATGGCTGAAGCTTCATAAGCTGTAGAAAAATGAACGGAGAAATGAAATATAATTTATAAATAAAAACTTATATATTTGTGTTTTAGTGAATTAAAAGTCAATGCTAGAAAATAAAATACTGTGATAGAACATCAAAATCAACTTTAAAATTAAGTTTTTAAAATCTAAATGTTAGTTGCGACTAATAAGTACAGGCAAACGAGATGGAGGTGATCATCATTCTGATAAACCTCATGCTGGCATGTCATTTCAAGCGGTGAACTTGAAAGATTTAACAGTTTAGCCAAGGCTGATGGTACTGTCAGTCCGACAACAAGAGCAATATATAGCTTCGCTGCCTTTGTTTAAACATGATCCACAATTTGCGTCTGCATCTGCTTCACTGCTCAGTGAAGTGATTGGACATGATCTCAATTTCTCCCAAACAAAGACATGGATTTGCAAACCACAAACAGGAAGTTTGGCGAATAGATCAAAGTGAGCTATTTGATTCGAGCAATTCTTCTACAGGCTATCACTGTCATCAGGGCAAAAACTGTGAGGATGAAGGATACATTACATACCAAAAAATAAATAAATGTATCCAAACTTACAAAACTGAATGATTAAGGCACACGTTATACCTTTCTACTCAAATAAAAAAAACAAAAAAAACGTGGGCTTTCAGCATTATATACTCATGCAGTCATGCATGCACTGGGGATGGAAGATCTCAAGGATTCAGCTTCTGTTGTGTAACGGCTCTCATATTGCTATCTACAGTCGACGAGTCAAGTAACGGTGGTTAGTTTTTTCAGGCAGTTTGCTCGAAGGATGTGTGCAGTTCTCCTACAATTGGCAGACATTGTTCTTCCTCATTGTTTCTATGCTTCCTGCTATGGTTGATCCAGCAGTCCCCACAAATCCTAGTGATGCACAGCTACAGACAGATTCTTCAACATATAACAAAATTTCTGGTAGTTGAACTGGATCACAATCCTTCCTCGTGTTTGCTATGTTTTTGGGAATAAATCCAGATCTCACACCATGTTCAGCAGCCATAAGCCGCTCTGCGGTCTGTGCCACCAGTTCATCACTTTCCTTCAGGGTGTGCAATTTATATCTCCCATCTTTTGCAATATCTGCAAGATAGGTCTTTGACCAGTTTGCTGGTGGAAGATCAGTCATCATGAACATGTGAATAGGACCACTACCCTGGGTTTTCTTCATTTCCAACGCAACAGCCTTTAACTTCTCCTTGAGTGCAGAAAATGTAGCTTTCCAGTGATTTTTGAATTGCCCATCTAACAGCCTTAGCTGTGCGCAAAGAAATGGCTCCTTGATCTTTTTCCTAGCGAACTCCTTCCCTGTAGCAATGATCTCAGGGGCAAAAGGGAGGAACTCAACCTTCTCAAGTATAGTCTGTAGCCGACGATCCTTTGGCGATTCGTGGATATCAAAATATGACTCTGATCCCTTGTATGGTCCTGAGAAAAGTGTCCCAAATGCCAACAAGGAAGCATCCTCAGCTTCAGAACCAGGCCCCAAAGCCTTGTACATATCTTTGCGCCTCCTAACGTATGATATCTTTTTCCTCTTTTTCAAGTCTTCATCTGGTTGAAATGAATCAAGCGCCCCATCATTATTCTCTTGATATGTCCAGACTGTTGTTCGGCAATCGTCCTGGACAGGATACACACAGCCATTTTCGCTGCCCCCTAAACCGGACAGCATCGATCGGCATCTATCGTAATCACCTGGCAGCGATCCACCACCAGAGACAGCACAGCACAAGCCAGAGAAGCAAGTCTTGCGCATGTCTACGCCGCACCACAATGAGACAAACACCCTGAAATCAATCGTTCTAACCGTAGCCTTTATCGGCGATAGATCAATTATGTCACCCATGGATACATACCTGCAAGTTAAACAGATGAAAATAGCAATAAATATTTGGCTTTGTGTCGAATTTACCAAATGAACATGGTAATCTATGGTGGAAACCGTGAAATTTGGAAATTGCATTACTGTAACATTAACAAGCAAAGAGAGTAATCTAGGATTAACCAACCCCACTTTGGGGGAGTGAGATTTTTACCTCCGCTCCCGGAGGAGCTGCATGGAGTGGTCCCAGACGGCGGCGCGGAGGTCGGAAGCGTCGGCGACCCTGAACTTGGGGCAGCTCCCGAGGACGACGGCGTGGTGGTCGAGCACCGGGGGCACGACGAGGGTGCGGTTGAGCAGCGCGGCGGCGACGGCGGCATTCCGGAGCTCGCCCACCTGGTTGCTGAACCCGCTGTGCGGCGCGTACCAAAGAAACCTCTCCCCTTCCAGCTCCGGCGACCGCCCACATCTTCTGCCCCCTCCTCCGCCACCGCCTCCGAAGCCGGAGAAGGGGAGGATGGAGCGGAGCAGCGAGGAGTAGGCCGAGGAGAGGAGGAGGGAGGCCGGGATGAGGAGCACGAGGACGGCCACGAGGAGGGGCGCGTGCGACCGGGCGCTCCGCTTCCGCCACCGCCCGCGGCTCGCCGGCAAATCCATCTCGCCGCCGCCGCCGCCGACGCCGGCGAATCGGATCGGATCGGTAAGCAAAGCCGCTCCTCCCCATGGCCCACCTGCCAGATATCACGCACACTCCCACGTGGGCCCAATATGTCAGCCCGCTAGTTCAGGATGGGCCACATTAAGCTGGCACCCACCTGTCTGTCCAGAGTCAACAGCATGGGCCATGTTAACTTGGGCTTTATCACGTGCAGCAGCAACACAAAGGACAAAAAAAGAAGAAGCCCATAACCTACGGAGCCACCGACATGTGGGGCCCACTTAAAACAAGATATTATCGCGCTCTCATGTGGGCCTAACCTGTCAGTCAGCATGGGCCACCCCGCCCATCTAGACTTACGTACTCTAAGTTGGGCTTGTTAGGCATGTGCAGCCCAGAACGTACCCCGGGGGGTGGGTCGCTGACAGGTGGGGCCCGGAGAACTGCCGAAGGCGTCAGGGTCCAGAAGCTCGTGACGCGTGCGGCGGCTTGCCCATGTCGGCATCCGCCAACCCCTCCTCGCCTTCTTCTTCTCCAGTAATAAATCCACGCAAAAGCCTCGCCGCGCACCACCACCCAGCTCTCTCCACTCCACTCTCGCGTTCTTGTGGAGTCGTGCTCCACTCCGGGAAGGAAGGAGTGGGTGGGTAGGTGAGTGGAGTTGGTCGATGGCGATTGGGGCGTTCGTGGAGAGCGGCGGCGGCGGCGGCGGGGGAGGGGGAGGAGGGTACGGCGGGCGGGTGACGGCGTACGTGGTGCTGACCTGCGTCGTCGCCGGCAGCGGCGGGATCCTCTTCGGCTACGACCTCGGCATCTCCGGTTCGTGCCGCCGCCGCCGCCTCGCGCGGTTGATTACTTCCTCGCTGTAGTAAATCTATCTCATCTGTTCATCTCGTCTACTGCTTGTGAGTTGTGACTGTGTCGTGTGCTGGCTCGTGGTTGGGCCTGTCTGCATCTGCATGGGCCGGTGTTAATGGCTGGCTCGGGCCCAGTCTACGTACAAGAAAAGGTTTGCAAGCTTTTTTGTCATGAGGAATTAAGAAGCTGCATTTCCAGCTCAAAAGATCTCATCTTCCAGCAGTAATGCAGCTTCTCATCAATGTTGCCAACACTTTACTCTTTGTATTCCTTTTTTTTTTTTGTGTGTGTGTGTGTGTGTGTGTGAGATGGAAGACGAGGCTTCTTGTTTTGTGTGGAGAGTATAGATAAAGATAAGTAATGTAGTTTGGATGATCACGCAAACATTGTTCAAGTTCTCCTGCTTAATCTGTCCACTGATGTTGTGACTTAACTACCACTAGTACGGAGGAAAGATCATGCTGAAAGCTCATGTACTCGATCGTGTATGAATTGTGGCAGGTGGTGTGACCTCAATGGACTCGTTTCTGAAGAGATTCTTCCCGGATGTGTACCAGAAGAAGCAGGACACCAGAGTGAGCCACTACTGCGCGTTCGACAGCGAGCTCCTCACCGTGTTCACCTCGTCACTCTACATCGCCGGCCTCGTCGCGACCCTCTTCGCGTCGTCCGTCACAAGGAGGTATGGCCGCCGGACGTCCATGCTGATCGGCGGCACCGTCTTCATCGCCGGCTCGGTGTTCGGCGGCGCCGCCGTCAATGTGTTCATGCTGCTCATCAACCGGATCCTACTGGGAATAGGTCTCGGGTTCACTAATCAGGTATAATTCTCAGCACATTTGATTTCAGGTCAGTAATCTCTGAATGAATGTGAATCTAGTTCAAGAGATAGTGCAGAGATATCTGTCACACATTTTTAGAGTGCCTGTTATATTAAAGAAAATAAGGAACTCTGTTAAACTATTGCACAATTCAGATAAAAAAAAAACTTGTACTCCGTATGTGGCATGGTACTCCTTATGTTGTTTTAGAAGTCACTAGTACATCAAGTTCATGCCATCATGCACATCGTGATGCTATCTAGAGTTCTAGACAATGTATCAAAATCATAAATCTTGCATGCTGAACCTAACACCACACACTTGAAAACGAAATGCAGGCCATGCGTGTCGTGTGCACAAAAGTCAAGTCTTCATTGACTTGGGTTTAGAGGGTATAGACAGCGGGTTTATGTGGATGTACTTTGTTCCAAGTTGATAACACTCGACAAGAAGTGGAGCACTGACAAACTACATGGTTGTCTTTATAATATTAAGGTCTTGTTTGTGTATAGATCATTGCATTGACTTGACAAGTCATATTTTCGTTTTTGTGGCCATAACGAGTGAGTGGGTCATTAAAAAGTTAAGAAGTTTTTACAGCCTGTTGAATCTCTGTTTTGGAGAGGGACAGTGTTGAAATATTGTGTGGAGATACAACGCAGAGGGAAAGCAACAAACTATGTCGTGGTCTAAAAACTTGGCGATTTACTGCCTAGATAGGAATTAGAATGGCTTATGAGAAAAACAGTGACTGTTCACTGATCCAATCTCACACTGTGCAAGACAAGGGAGATCCGGAGATAAAGCCCAATCTTGCAATCAAGATTTTCAGATAACATAGAAAAGGGATTCCACTTTGTAACTAAACTTCATTATGCACATAATTTTCCTTCTGATGCATACTCCTAATCCTAGACTCTAATTTTTGCATTTGTTCTTTCTTAACAATAGTTTCCTCCTTCCCAAAGGACAGTGGTAACTGTACTGACGCCTTTGCTATGAAACTATATTTTGCAGTCAATCCCACTGTACCTGTCAGAAATGGCGCCTCCACGATACCGTGGGGCGATCAATAACGGCTTCGAGCTCTGCATCAGCCTCGGCATTCTCTTCGCAAATGTTCTTAACTATTGCGTTGTGAAAATCACAGCTGGATGGGGCTGGAGGATATCCCTATCCATGGCTGCAGTTCCTGCTGCATTCCTAACCATCGGTGCGGTCTTCCTCCCAGAGACACCGAGCTTCATAATCGAACGCGATGGCGACACTGACAAGGCAAGGATCCTACTCCAGAGACTTCGTGGCACCACTTCAGTCCAGAAAGAGCTTGATGACTTAGTTGCTGCTAGCAACCTCTCCAGGACAGTTCAGTATCCGTTCAGGAATATATTCAAGAGGAAATACAGGCCACAGCTTGTCATAGCACTCCTGGTCCCTTTCTTCAACCAGCTTACTGGAATCAATGTGATGAACTTCTATGCACCGGTTATGTTCAGGACGATTGGTCTGAAGGAGAGCGCGTCTCTCCTATCCTCAGTGGTCAATCGACTCTGCGCAACTTTCGCCAATATCATGGCGATGATCGTTGTCGACAGGTTTGGGCGTAGAAAGCTCTTCCTTGTAGGTGGTATTCAGATGATCCTTTCCCAGCTTGCTGTGGGTGCAATCCTGGCTGCAGAGTTCAAGGACTATGGATCCATGGACAGAGAGTATGCTTACCTTGTGTTGATCACCATGTGTGTGTTTGTTGCTGGCTTTGCATGGTCATGGGGGCCATTGACATTCTTGGTCCCAACTGAGATATGTCCACTTGAGATCAGATCAGCAGGGCAGAGTATTGTTGTTGCAGTGGTCTTCCTGATGACATTTGTGATTGGACAGACATTCCTTGCAGTTCTATGCCGCATCAAGTCAGGGACATTCTTCTTCTTTGCAGGATGGATCTGCTTGATGACAGTGTTTGTTTATTTCTTCCTGCCGGAGACAAAGAAGCTGCCCATGGAGCAGATGGAGCAGGTCTGGAGGAAGCATTGGTTCTGGAAGAAGATTGTAGGGGAGGAGGAGGAAAAACAAGCAGAGAAAACAGCTCTCCCTAGCATGTAAAGCCCTATGAATTGGAATGTATTTGACCATACAAAAACCATACAAAGTGTAGGGTTCTAATTAGCAAATGTAAGTTTGTAATTCTTCTGTCTAAATGTAGTGTGTTGAGGTGGTCAGTTGCCGTGACTGGCTCTTTCAGATGGTAATTACAAAGAAATGTAACATTAATGTTGTAACAAGGGTGCCATTTTGTTTCTGATTCCAGATGAAAAGGAAAAACTATTCCATATTCTGCAGGATTAAACGTTTCTGCTGTTCACAACAGGTAAAGTCACTCCACTTCAGGGAAAGACAGCAAAATCATTTCTTTTACACAGACTTTAGATAACCCTTTTTTTTGGGGTTCTTGGTATATGCCAACTTTTGTAGCCTGCACCAGAAACAAAAATGAAGACTTTTGCTAAAGATGTAAAAGTGGCATGATGTCCTGGATGACCAAATAATTCATGACAAATGGATTAAAAGAGCCCAATATCTGAAAGAGACTGGCCAGCAGCCACTAATGTCACCAACCACATATGTAACACTTGGTGCATAATTCAAGAGGGAGCATCTCCTCCAGAATCAGGATTGAAAGGTACAACCTCATAGTAAATCCTCGGAATATAGCATGTGCAGCATAAGAATATATCAGTGTTGTGCTGGGTAAGAAACCACATGAACCAATTAGGAATAAATAATCATGCTGAAATTATAGCAATGCTTGCAATTTGCAAACGATAAAGCTAGACGCGGGTTGCTGGAATAACAATCCATCTCCAACAAAATAGTACAGAATATAACTGAATGGCCAGCTCAGACCCTAACAGAATTGAAAAGCTGGATTCATCAGCACTCCATTGAGCAATCTAGATCAGGAAAGAGCATAGATGCATAATGAACTGAGATCCCTTCAAAATGACTAACTAATATTTTTTTTTCTTATAAAAGAGTTTACAACAGTACAACCACGAAGATCAGCACTACCATTACTGATTTTGTTAACATAGAGTGATTTATCATGTGTGCCAGACAAACAACAGATACATTCATACATAGCATAACTTACAGCACATGATACAGACTACGGAGAACGGTTAATCTTAAAATAAAAACAAAAAAACAAGGAGGCAAAGCTTATTTTGCCTGGGATTCATCTAAATGCAGTTGTGTGCAGAAGGAGATCATGCCTGTGCCCTTGTTGGTGGATTTGCATGGAAAGCTGATTGTCTATTTTGACCTCCTACCAGATTTAATGAAAGAGAAGTAGACACTGTCTCTTGATTGGACTCTCCTATGCTGAGCTTCGACATGCCAACAAGCTCATCAACGTTGATTGGGCTCTTTGAATGAACTGGAACAGGCTTGACAATCTCATGTGTTTCTTGCACAGGACCATCTTCATCTTTCTGATTTTGCCAGAAAGGAACCGAGAATTGCAAAAAGGGCGAGAAATAAGCTGGAACAATCACTGGATAGGTCGACTGCAAATTATCTGGCATGATAGCAGAAGCGGAAGAGCTCTCTGCAACGGCAGAAGTATCTGACTCCATAGAATCTACCTCCTCCTCCTCCCTCGGTGGAGGTAGTGCTGGTTGATTTAATACTTGGGTCTCTGGTTCTTGACCTCCAGGAAGTGGTGGAAGGTCCATAGACTGTAAAACCACCAAAACACAGTTCAGTTCCCCCATTAGAGTACAGAGAAAACAGTACAACCTTTCTAATTCGAACAAGGATAAAAGTGTTCTCAAGTCTTCATGCAATACATAAATAAACTACACAATTTGTTCAAAAAGATAAGTTTTAGCAATATGATATCTATCACCACACAAATGAGCAATCTCCTCGTCTCAATATAAGAATAGACCCAGGCAGGCTTATTATGCTACATGCCAATATCAGCACAATAATCGAAATAAGATCAAGCAAGCTACCTCATCTGGCACCATGTCAAAAAGGCTAGACCTTCTTTTCCTTCTGGTCATATTGGATTGGCGTATAAAATATTTCTGAGCATGACTGGCTACTTGAGTAGGTGTTCTTGAGACCACGAAATTACGAGAGATTCCTCGCCAATCACCTTTGCCAAGCTTTTGCAATCCAAGCAAAAACCTCCGGTGTTCTTCTTCAGTCCAAGGAACACCTGTCAAAGTCATCTTAATCAGAAACATGGCACACAGAATGTGGCCTGCAGGCACGCAGGTAGCGAGTAATGACTGGAGTACAAGAAGCTGGAGAACTGTAATAGTTAAGCTCCCATCATATACTGACAAAAATACCAACAAACTTGGGACTACTACACAAAATAACAGTACTGCCTATCACCAAAGGAAAATTATCCAGCCCAAAAAAGAGCCCGTTCCTAAGAAACAGGGCGCACAGAGAGAGGACTCCAATCTTAAAAAGTAAAAGGATTCTATGAGATTCCAAGAGAAATGCCAGAACATAAAAGGGAAAGAGACAAATTTTATGTCTTTTGCCACCTTAACAAGTTATGCAGAAGGTTAACAAGATTAAAACATTGTCAATCTGGCATAATCCTCTTAACAGAATAAATGTCAAAAGAATAGCAAATTGTACATTTCAAGGCGATTTCTTTTATCCAATTTAGTGCCTTTCATTACAAATTGATAAAGGACAAACATATACTTTTGACTTTTCCAATACATTTAAGTCAGTAGGCATATAAGTCTAAAACTGCACTCCAAGCATCAAATTTGGATGGAAGTACAAGTTAATGAGGCAATGACAACGCAGTCTACCAATGGCATGACCTCTAGTAAGGCCGTTACAGTAGGAACTACTGCCACAGTAAAGATCAAACAATCACGTGCTGCTTTGAAGCTTTCACACATTAACATAGGCATGCCATTAGGAAGGTTCTTGGGTTTTGAAAGCTGACAGCTTGGAAGACTTTTCTTGGACCAACACCGCGAATATAACTACGCAGTAAACTAGAAATCATTCTGAATCAGAACAGAGCTAACAACACCGTACGCAATCATAGGTTCCAATCTCCGATGATCGGGTGTCTAAACATGAGAACACTGAGCCTAGTTACCAGCCACTCACAAAATCCCTAATTCGACACTGTTATCCTCTCAGAACACGTGGCCCCATGCATCCTTGCAGAGGCAAAGGATCAAATTAAAAAGTTCCACAGGATCAGCCATCATTACTCGTTGGAACGATCTGGTCTGATTCTAAATTCTTACTTATCCTAGACAAATATGGAGCTGAGCATGAGTTTGACAAAACGTCCTTGTGATCTCATCAAACAGTTGGAGGCATCTATACGCCGTCCTTGTACCGAGAGTAATTAATTGAAGTGGAGTGGCGTATGCATGAGCTAAGTAGTACCAAATCACTCATCCATGACCATCAGTACAATCTGCCCATTAAATGCTTTCTCTAGCGTCTGTCCTACTTGGAAGAAACAACTAGCAGTGACTGCTAGTAGCAGTACTCCATCAAATCTCCCAAATCTACACGCCGAAGCAGCAAAGGAAGAAGAACATACTAGTAGGAATAATAATAAAAAAAGAAGCACAAGAAGAAGAAAAACCTGAGGTTGGAGAGGATCTAGTAAGTCGCATCAGGCCAGAATGGTTTTTGGGATGATTAAATCATTGAAATTAAGGGGTTGGGAAAGAAGAAGAAGGGGGGGGGCTGACCCTTCTTGCGGTCGCGGGTGGCGGAGGAGGAGCCCTGGACGAAGTCGTCGGAGGCGTAGCCGTCGGCGGCGGTGGGGGCGGCGTCGGGGCCGTCGGCGGGGGAGGCGCCGCCGCTGGTGGATCCGGCGGCGGAGGAGAGGAGGGAGAGGTTCCCCATGCTGGCGCTCTTGCGGATGGAGCCATCGGTGAGGCGCACCCCGAAGATCTTGACCCCGCGGTTGGGGCACGTCCGCGAGTTGTGCCCGTTGTGGCTGCAGTGCGAGCACCGCCTCGTCATCCCCCCCTCCGTCCCTCCACCTTCCAAAGCTTCCCTTCCCCCACCTATGGAGATCGATCGATCGATCGAGTGGAGACGGAGATGGTGGTGGTGGAGACGACGAGGAGAGGGAGGGGGGAGAAGAGGAAGGGGAGGAGAGGGGTTAACTGCTGTGTGGTGATTGGTTAAGGTGGTCGGAGAGAGGCGAGGGCCGTCCACGTGGCGGATATTCGGGGGAAGGGGATATACGTGAGACGAGGGAGGCAAGTAGCGGCGGCTTGTGGGTCACGCCTTCTTTCTATCCGTCCACGCGGTTGGGCTTCCTTCCTTCGGCTGCTCTCCTCAGCCTCAGCCTCTGCTTCGATCGTTTCGTGTGGTGACTGGTGAACGATCCACAGCAAACGGCCCCCAACAAACTCTCTCTCGCTGCTAGCTCGTCAAACTGTCGTGGTCTTTCTTTCTTTTCTTGTTTTTTTTCTTTTGAGCGATGTCATGGTCTGGTTTAACTCTTCTACTCGTAACTAAACAGACGTTAACTAAAGATGAAAAATGCACGGATTATTCTACGCCAAAAAGTTTATGGATTCTAAATGTGTTGCTTCTTGGTGTACCATGTAACCCTAATGTGCCACGGGTGAACGTAAATCCTGAATAGTTGAGGATTAGAGGTTTGTCTCACTATAACTATCAATACCAGGTTTTGGTTGATTTTATCAGCTAAATGCCAGCTAGATAAGGAAGATAAATCACACGTATCTGATTCCTAAAGACGGAGAGTTAGTTTTGTGAACAGTAGAACTAATTCCTAACCAAATTGGAGATAACCCTCGAGCCCCACCAGCGCCTATATAAAGAGATGAAAGGCAAAGGAGAAGGGATGTCGTACTCTTTGCCTAAACCCTAAAACTTGCACTAGAAAGGATTCGTGAGGTGATCTCGGGAAGCCCTCGGTGATGAAAAAAGAAGAGAAGAAAAGAAACCGAAGAAGAAGAGAAGGAAGAAACAAAAGGAGAAAATTAACACCAATGGCATCTCAAGCAGGTCGGTGAGATTACAATTCTACATAGGTGATTTTGTATAGGCTAAAGCATTGAGATTGTAAATTTGAACTCCAACACGAGGATGTCAAATATTTTTGTAGAACGCTCACTTTGTTTCACATTAGAAGACAATAATGCTAATGACATTTTTACCTATCGATCCTATTGGAGAGACAATATTAATATGATGGTGGAGTCCATCCACGAGGTCCATAAATATGCGTCTTTATAGTAGATGTTGAGTCTAAAGATTATACAACCTTTATCAAGTTAGTGTCATGTGGTATGCTATGATTCGTTTATATATGCATCAACCTATACTCTATATAAGGAATTATGCTTCCTATAGAGTAAGGGAAAGGAATTATTGATGCTATTTGAATGTGTATTACGAGGACACGCTGATAGCTATGTACGTGTATGTATTTCATGGGACCTAAAATGTGCACTCACTCTTTCTGCAAGCATAAATCGAGGCTTGTTCAGTTTGCTATCATTTTCAACCTTATCAAGTTTTGGCAAAGTTACTTAAAAAAGTAGCTACATTTAGTTTGTTGCCAAATTTTAGTAAGTACATATAAAATCTTGTCAAAATTTGACAACCTTGCTAAAATTTTGATAACCTTACCAAAATTTGATAATGCCAAAACTTAATAAGGTTAAAAATAATAGCAAAGTGAGCAGGCCCTAGATTTATACTCCGTATATATTTTCCATGTGGGCTGCAGGCACACAACTGGTGAAACACATGGTGGCATTGGAGGTTTGGGAACCAGGGCGAGCATGGTATCACTTGAGCGTGACCCGTACGAGCACGGCAGGGATGACGATATCATCGATCGGACCCGTGGCGCGCGCGTGCGGACCAAAAATCCAAAAATCCGGACGACAACGAGACAGCCACACAAACGCGATGAGGCCGCAACTTGCACACACAAGCATGTAACGCACCTGCCTCGTCCAACGCGAATAACATTCGTGCAGCTCAAGGTGTGGCCGACCGTGCGCGTACCTGTAGTAGAGAAACGTACATGGATTTATTTTCTGGCTAGCTTCACAAGTGGTTAGCTAATTGATCTGGATTCAAAGACTCATCTATTCTATTTATTTAATATTAAATTTTTCTCTACTATTCGCGTTTTTTTCGTACCTGTATGTATACGGAGTACTTATATATAAGGGTAGTCTGGTACACGAATTCGTAGACGTTGCACACCAGCTTCCACGACAAATAAATAATCCTGCGAGCTGCAGCTGCTCATCATCAGCTCATCCTATCCTACGGACTGCAACAACCAACACAAACACAAGTCAGTCCATGCCGAAAGAAGCCAAAGAAAAATGCATGGAAAATGTATACACCACATCATCTTGAACCAAATCACCAGATTAATCAAAGCCAACGAACGTACGGCAAGGTGATCATGATAACTATAGCAAGGATGTAAAAACAGGAGTATTATATTTTCAAGAACACGAGCAATCAACGGATCTGAACCTGAAGTAATTAACCTGCAAGTCAAAAGGGATCCACCGCGAGAGGTGGATTATTGTCGGTCTACCACTCGTAAAACCGGGGGACAATGTTGTCGGTCTACTACTGCATTCTGTATTATCATATTGCTACAAGCACGAAACAGTGACAGCTTATCTAAGCCAACAATATGCTTTCTGCTCGCAACTAATTAAAATTGCATCCATGGGGTTGAACGGACCAAAGAGGATAAGTTAAGAAAAAGCGTGGCTAAACACTCAAAAAGTCGGCAATCGATCAGCATGCACCTTTATCCCTTATGCACGGTAATCCTAAGCCATGACTATCACGGAACGCGTCAAAGAAAAATGACAGTCACGGATCAATCAAGGGCGCAGTTAATAAAAATAGCAAAAACTTGAAGGTGTTAGGATAATTTTGACAGTGACTTGCTTGTTACAGAGATATTACCTTTTTTTTATATTCTGTACTAAAGAGTATTTACCTATTTGAAGTAGAAAGGCATCATAATCTAAAGTAAAACAGAGTATGTAAGCAACTGAGTGAGCAATGGCCTATATTATTTTCGTGTGGAGATATTCTCATCTAATGTCATCAAGATTCAAGACGGAGGTTGCACTTGCACCGATCTAGAGAGAGGATGTGCTTACCAACATCCAAATCTTGATGCCTAATTTTGTTGATGCAGTTGGACAAAATATCCCTTGCAAGATACTAGCATATATCTTCAAATTATCGAATAAAATATAAGTTAGGATCCATCAGCAGTGACTGGACCATATCTTTTTTTATATATAAAAAAACTGACACTGGAGTACAGGACCATATCAACAGGTGGATATATATTGTTTACGTGAGTGATAATCTAAAGAAAGAACAGAACTTGATGAATTAAAAGTTGTGAAAAAGATAGCATACCTGCAGGCAAGGGTAGCCATTCCATATTGGCATATTCCGAATGTGCCGTTGCAACAGTTTCCATCATCAGATTCATATGCTTCACTGGTATTGAATTGATAAACAAATCCATTTCAATAAAACAAAGAGATAAGATGTATGGAAATAAAAGATAAACTTAAAAAAGTTGCTCGGCTGGATCAACAATGATAAAGAAACACAGTCAGTTCATTAAAAAGAATAAGAAGATTCATGATTTGTTTTCTGTTTATATCTCATTCTCTAGTTTAAAAACAACTCAGTTGAACATTGCACAAAACAACGGTACTCCAGAGCCCAGAAGCCTACACGCCTTATATTTATGTTACCTAATAGATTTAATTTTCTCAATCATACGCACCCAGTATATGGCAGCAATATAATTAATCTGAAACATTAGTAAGAAGATTTTGCTGAGATGCTAGTCTGAACACTGAACCAACCATATTTATGTTACCTAATAGATTTAATTTTCTCAATCATACGCACCCAGTATATGGCAGCAATATAATTAATCTGAAACATTAGTAAGAAGATTTTGCCGAGCTGCTAGTCTGAACACTGAACCAACCATTTTGGACCTTATGGTTTCTTACTAAACTAAAAATGTTCTGGCATGAAGAGTTTTAGTATCATATAAACACTGTAATGCACAGATATTTAGTACCAACTAACAAATACACTTGAAATGGTGCACTTATGACTGCACTGCATTATTGACCGAATAGTGCTGATCAGCAGTAACGTGCACCATTGTTCTGAAAGAATTCAGAATCAGGTCCCAAACTTGAAGGGAAATATAAGCAACAACAGTGGAGTAAACAGTTCTCTGAAACAAGATATGAATGTGCAATGAGCAAGAGTGATAGAAAGTGGGTTGTGAACTTGTGATACAGTTCTAGAATGCTGTAGTTGTTTGCACAATACCAAATCAAAAATGCCTATGGCAGATTTGCACAGTACAGTTTCATTGACGCCTTTCAAGATGGAAAGTGTTCTAAAGATAATTTGGCCGGACAAATATAGAAATATTCTTTTGTCCTTTTAAGAAGCAAAGCTTGGAAAGGACATCAAATCAACTGAATGATGAACGTCCAAGTAAAAATGAACGGTTACATTTGACAAATTTATCAGTTGTTGAGAAATGGCGAAGCAGACAAGTACCTTCAGAAAGCAATTGGTACACATCATCACTCAAATCCATCTTCCAGAGGCCCAAATCAGAAATACCGCTTGATGCATCCTACACAGACAATCACCAATCACAACTGAACCACTCAACTGCATCGTAGCAACCATCCCAAAAAAGTAAAATATTCGAAAATATGATTTTTGTCTCGAACTACAGGCAGTATGAGGATATGACAAAAGGCTCTCCAACTACATCTGGCTGACAGAGTCGCGCGTAACCTGAACAAATTAAGCAATAATCGAAGCACACGCCACGGTTGTCGACGATCCCCTCACACTCCAAGCTATCACCAGTTCACCACGAGCCCAAGAGGCAAGCACTGAAAAATCCTTACCCCTCTTTCCCCGAGGGCCGCACCGCCATCTTCCCCTCCGGCGAAAGCTCGAAGAACTAGTCGCCATCCCCGAACGAACACACCCTAGTACATACCATAACCCTACCCAGCAAAAACGCATACAAAATCAAATTAAACGGGGACTTCGCGAGCTGGAACGCGAGGGAAGAGGAGCAGGATACTTATCTACCTGCCTCCGGTCGGATTCCGCTGCGGCGCGGAGCCGGCTGCCGGAGGGCGCCTCCCCGGCGTCCCCGCCATCTCCGGCTTCGCCGCCGCCCGACGGCGACGCGCGCCTCTTTTTTTCTTCTTTTTTGAGCCCGCGCGTCTCTTGCTCTATTTCGGTGTTTCAAATGGGCCGAGATAGGTGGGCCTTAATGGGCCTGAATCAAATGCGAACTATACTGTAATATTGTCGATTTGGGCCGAAAATTATCCATCCAGTACAGTCACCTGACAAGTAGGCCCTACGCGCCGCACTTGTCTCGCGCTGCTGTTTTTTTCCCCCTCCTCGGCGGCGATTCCACTGCCTCGCCGTCGCCGGAGTTGGAGAAGAAGGCGGCGGCGGCGGCGGCGCAGAAAGGTGAGGCCTCTCGACCGAATCCCTTTCCCCTTCCCGTCTTCCGCCCCGCGCAGTCAGCAGCAACAGACGAAGGAATGCGGTGCGAATGCTTGCGAGTAGAGAAATCGATTTCTGGCTGCCGTTCATCTGCGCGTTTTGTTGCGCGCGCGCGCGCGCGAGGGAGGGAGGGAGATCCAGTAAATGGCGCCTTGTCCCGTTGCTTGCTCGATCCTCCTGCCGGCCGTGGGGGTTTTTGCCCCCGATTGGTTCCGATAATTTGTCCCGTGTTGTAGATGGTGAATCGGTGATGACCAAGGGTTACCTTAGATGATAGGAAATGATTAGGAGTAGCGTATTTCCTCGTGATTACTGGAGCTGATACAATGCAGGATATTTTTAGCGCTGATTTGTAACATGGCAGGATTAATATACCATTGTTGTGCTGTTGATCACACCATATTTCCCTTATGCAGGGTATTTTGTATTAGGGATATAGGCAATGCAAAACTGCAAGCTGCAAAGCCATGGCCATCCAAGATAAAGTTGAGAACAACGACCCAACTGTGACTGTTGGGTTGGCCGTGAGTAGTTCCAAATCCAGTAAGTACGCCGTGCAGTGGGCTGTGAAAAACTTCTGCACCAATGGGATGGTTAGGTTCGTGCTTATCCATGTACTGCAGAGGATCACCACGGTTCCAACACCGAGTGAGTGCATATTTGATGTGTTTCCTACTGTGTAGATGTATACTTTCGTTTGTAAATCATGTTGTCACTTAAATATATCTATTTTTCTTGCTTCTTTTGTAGTGGGCAACTATATCCCGATTGATAAAGTACGGGCTGACATTGCCAGCGCATATGTGAAAGAAGTCGAATGTAAGGCCCGAACGATGCTCCTTTTCTACAAGAACATGTGTGATGAGAAGGTATGACGTTGCCACTTCAGGCCATCCTTTTTTTCTTTTCCGTTCCAAAATGAACATTCCTAAGGGCACACTGGAGCCAAATATAATGAAATACAACTGAATAAGCACAATTCACAACAGTATTTATTCAGGACATTTCATAATGTTAATTTTGTTCAGAATTGTACTTTCGTATAGAGTCAGAAATTATGAGAACAGGTTAGAACTCAGCAATGATACTCATAGTTTTAAACATCCTGCTGAACATGTGTATACATTTTCTGATCTTGTTCAGGCTAAAGCTGAAGTACTGGTTGTCAAAGGTGAAGATGTGGCAGAAACCATTTCCAATGTTGTTTCAATGTACGAAATCCACAAGCTTGTTGTCGGTGACTCTTCTCAGGGCAACTTTATTAGGTACTTAACATGTTCTGTAATAAATAATGGTGAACTGCATGCATCAAAATGCTGATTAATTTGGTGGAAATGTCTTAGGAAATCCAAGGGTACTAGGACATCTTCTCAAATTTGCAGAAGTGTTCCAAGCTTTTGTGCAGTTTATGTTGTCTCAAAAGGTGGTTTATCCGCAGTTTATTCTCCTGGATTTGAAGGTCACAAGAGTTCTGAGCTATTCCTGTCCAGTGATAGCTCCAAAACTGAAATCCATTCAGATGATAAGCCCTCATTATCAGGTGAAGTTATCTGTCCGTAAAACTGGCACTGGAAATTTTCACTGTGTACTGTATAGACGATAACATAATGACTGCTTCCAACTTTGAACCTTTTCGTCCTTGGTACTCTTTGAAGCTGATATAGAATGGATCTTTGCTAGTCTTTGAGAAGTTTGTAGCACCTAGCTTCCTTTTCAAATGTTTGCTTGGTTCTTTGCATTCAATAAGAATTTGGAATCGAGGTCGTTTGGTTTTGAAATTCAGCAAAAAAGAAAAGAAAAAAAAACAGTGCAAGAAATTTATCCCTTTTGTCCAATGCAGATGCCACACCTTCGAGAAGCTTTAGATCAAACTTGACATGGGAGAATCTGGAAAGTTTATCATCCGCAGACCATGATAGACCGCGCTCCTTACATGAGTATCTTACTGAAAGCACTTCAGCATCTGTTGGTGATAATAACAGTAATTCTCCATGTGCTAGCGGTCAAACCCCTCGACCAAGTAACGTGCTTATCTCAGATAAAGCTCCAATGACAAGCAGTCCCCTGCAGGAATTGATGCTTTCAGAGGACATGGTGAGCCATTTGATTTTTTCACAGTAAAACTGTAATAAATTTTTTCACAGTAGTATAATTTTGCAAATGATACATCTTTGATGAATTGAGGATGAGCCTTCACTGTTTAAACTTCTTAGATAAGAATAGTTCCTTTTTTTTCTGAATATACAGTAACTTAATTTTCTCAATGCAGGATGATGTAAATAGCGAGCTTGAAAAGCTGAGGCTTGAACTTAGGCATATTAAAGGAGTGTGCAAACTTGTTCAGGATGAGTCCATCAATGCTTCTCAGCATGTAAGTTTGGGAGTACTGTGTTTCAACATAATTAGTTGGTTACTTTATCTCCAATAGTCAGCAACTTAATTGTCATCTTGACAATCATATGTTAGGTGACTGACTTAGCTGCAAAACGTGCTGAAGAGGAAGCCCGGCTCAGCGAGGTCTACTCCAGGATCAACAGAGTCAATGAGCAAGCACATCAAGAGAAGGAACAACTGAACGCTTTGGAGGCTCAGTGCAGGCATGTGAGGGATCTTGCAAGAAAAGAAGCTTTGCAGAAGCAGATTTTGCAGCTGAGGACTTCGAAGGAGGCTGATAAGATGCAAAGGCTGGAAAAACTTCTTGAATTAGATGGGATGTCATACTCAACATTTACATGGGAAGACATTGAATCTGCTACATCATCGTTTTCAGAGGCACTTAAAATTGGATCAGGATCTAACGGAACAGTGTACAAGGGCAATCTACGTCAGACATCTGTTGCCATAAAAGTCCTCACTTCTGACGACAGCCACAGGATCAAACATTTCAAACAAGAGGTATTCCTTGAACCATTAAAGGTTGAGCAGTCAAGTCCTAATATCATCATGATCTCCGGATCTTCAGATATATTCATAGGCTAAGAAGTAAATTGCGATAACTTTGCTATGTTCAAATATGCAGTGCTACTCTTCTTGCATATATAATGCAAGATGCCATCATTGTTATCTCTAGGAAATTCTTATAAGATGCCCCTGTTCTGCAGCTTGAGGTTTTGGGTAAGATCCGTCACCCACATCTGCTGCTGCTCATAGGTGCCTGTCTGGACAGACCATGCTTGGTGTACGAGTACATGGAGAATGGCAGCCTTGAGGATCGCTTGCAACTCAAAGGAGGCACGGCCCCACTCCCATGGTACCAACGTCTTCGCATTGCTTGGGAAATAGCCCTGGCCCTTGTCTACCTCCACAGCTCGAAGCCGAAGCCAATCATCCATCGTGACCTCAAGCCTGCAAACATACTCCTTGATAGCAATTTCACCAGCAAGATTGGCGATGTGGGCCTTTCAACATTGCTTCCGCTGGGGGATGCCTTGTCGACAACGCGCACAATTTTCAAGGACACAGATCTAGTTGGCACACTGTTTTACATGGACCCAGAGTACCAAAGGACAGGCCAAGTGTCAACAAAATCTGACACATACGCCTTGGGCATGGTTTTATTGCAGCTGCTCACTGGAAAGCCACCTGTGGGGCTAGCGGACCTTGTGGAGCAAGCAGTAGAAAATGGTCACCTTGTTGACATCTTGGACAAGAGTGCTGGGAAGTGGCCTGCACAAGAAGCACATGAGCTAGCGCAGCTTGGCCTAAGCTGTTTGGAAATGCGAAGCAAGCATAGACCAGATCTGAAGTGTAAGGTTCTTGTGGAGCTGGAACGGCTGAAAAAAATTGCCAGTGCTGTCTCTGACCCTGTACGGCCAGTGATATCTGGACCACCAAGCCATTTTATCTGCCCAATACTCAAGGTATTTTTTGGCTTATTGCAATACATCAGCTTTAAGTGAATTACATCACAACTACCTGTAGCTCATTGTCTTGTAAGAATGTTTCTGTTTCAGAATTTGAACTATATTACACTTCAAGGTGGTCTGTAATTCAACTTTTTACTCTTACCTTGTTGTATCCATTTTTTTCGAAGGGTCTGAGGTGAAACTTCATTTTGCTTTTTTTCCTCCCTGTAGAGGATAATGCAGGACCCATGCATTGCATCTGACGGGTACTCGTACGACCGGGTCGCTATTGAGATGTGGTTGTGCGAGAATGACAAGTCACCGATTACAAAATCGCGGCTTCCTAACAAGGATTTGGTTCCCAACCATGCTCTGTTATGTGCAATTACAAGTTGGAAGGCAGAAGCAAGGGACTGATTGAGTGATTGTGCTAGGTAACTTCTCTAACTTCACATGGATACGGCACTCGAAGGCTGATGATGTACATGTTTTTGCCTTGGTGATGGCCTCCTTAATCTCTAATACTGTAGATACTGCGGTAATGTTCTTGTAAAGCAGCAGTTTTGCAGCATTTTCATAGACCATCTCTGAGATAAATTTTGAAGGGTTTAGAGTAGGAGTATCAAGAAGGTCATTTTGTAGGTTGGACCAGCAGAAAGTACAGTAGTACACTTCTACAGTATTGCTTTGTGATAGTTTATACATATACATCGAAAGGATAGGAAATTCCTCTTACTTTCTTATCTTAGTATTGTGATGACTACTCTATAAATTTAAGAGTTGAGACAAATTTCCGGCATAGACTCCATGTTACCGTTGTGACTATGATGGCTATAAACTTAGTATTTCTTCCGTCCCAAAATATAGCAAGTTTTAATTATGAATTTAGATAAACACTTATTCAGATTTATAATTAAAAGCTGTTAATGTATATTTTGGGATGGAGGTGATAATATTTAAACTACCTCTGAGAGTAAAGGGTTAGCAGGTGGTCGTCGTATCCCATAGTGTTTTGCTAGTACTATTATTATTGTTACGAACCATATTTATAGAGTAAGGTATTTGCTGTACTTAGCATGTTCTGTTAGTATTAGCAAACTTGGACATGTGGTCTTCAGCTGTACATCCATGTAGCCTTGTTCAACTCGATCAGCTCCAGGTGATGAGATGATCATATCTGACCAATAATTTGGACACATCAGGTTTAACTAAACCACTTAGGAAAAAAAAACATAGCTTGAGCTGCGTGTAAGTGGATGATGCCAGCAGCTGTTCAAACTACTCCAAGTACTACTCCAGTAAGAAAAGAAAAATGATTAAGGAGAGATGAGTTAGCAGCAGTGGCATGACGAGCTAGGAGGCCGGATTGTCGGGGCTTTGGGGTTACGTGCTAGTGACGTGTGGGCCCCAAGCACGGATGACGTGGACACTTTCACGTGTATATGCAGCTAGCTAGCTTAGCACTACTAGATAAGTATAAGTGTGGCACACTTGTGATAGTGTGAAGGTTAAGAGTAGGAGGAGGAGTACTAATTATAATCATCATGGTGTCATCATCAGGCAAGGTAGAGTCCCCCGACAGCATGCCGGTTTGGTGTCACCACCGCCACGAGTCCATGAGTGACATTTATTAGGGCCAATGCATTGCACGCACGCATGATTGCTCACATTCTGTTGCACTAACAGATAAATTTAGTACTGTATGACAAAATGACAAAATTAGTCCATGAGTAGTACCAATGCATGCACGCACGCATGATTGATCACATATTGTTCCCCTCTTGTATCAAGATTTGATTGATTCCAAATCTAGTGATCATCATAAATATGGCGTAGTATGAAAATCAAACATTGCTACTCCCTCCCTCCGTTCTATAATAGGTGATGTTTTTAACTTTTTATTTGCAATGTTTGATCATTCGTTTTATTTAAAAAATTAATACAAATATAAAAAAAGATAAGTCATATGTAAAGTACTTTTAATAATAAAGTAATTGACAAACAAAATAAATAATAATTCAATTTTTTTTTGAATATGATAAATGATTAAACATTGAAAAAAAACTTAAAAAGATAAGTAATATGGACGGAGGTAGGATGTTCTTGGCCTCTTAATTAATTGTTCTTTCTTGGTATCTCCTGACATAGTATAGTAACACACTTTAACTAATACTAATGGTTGGCCATTGACTGAGTACGTAGCATATACGCATTTGATCATGTTACTCATAGCTGCTACGTCGTCACGTCAACGTGCATGTAGTTAACTTAACAAACAATCAGTTGGTTATCCATTTCCATTAGGTGCATGATTACATTATTATTATTTATTGGATCAACCATGAATTCGCGGCTACCTCCGGCATGATCGACACACCTACCTGCATGCATGGAAGCCGGGGTCGCGCCACGTGCGCACGACGTGGCATGCTCGAACGCCATGGAAGCTGGGATTTAACCACGCACGACTAAACAACAAAGTAGAGTAGTATACTTAGGGCACCCACAATGGTTATCTATAAGCTCTCTACAAGAGATCTATGTCAGCATATTTTCCTACTTGGAAGAGATTAAATGAAGAGAGAGCAAAGCTATCTACTAACATGGAGATAGTCTATAGAGAAAAACGAGGCAATGGATTAGAGAGCTATAGATACCCATGTAGACATACCATTGAAGTGGTTTACTATTAATCTAGTCTATTGTTGAGGTGTACATGTTTTATAGATAGTACCTTACTTTACCATTGCGGGTGCTCTAAAGCAATTAAAGAAGTAATTAATGCTGTTGACAAGAGCTAAATAATTATAATCAACACGCACCTATTATTGGAACTTGAATTGCAAGTCTCTCCCTCGTTCGTTTCCGGAGATTTTTGTTTTTTTAAATAATCTCCGCTAGTACGGGATCTAGCATGTATAAAAGTTTTAAAAAAATCAAATAAATATATTTTAAATTATAATAATTAATACTTAACTAATCATATGTTAATAAGCTATCCCTTTTTTCGTCGGGTCGGCTTTGCTGATCAAACATTGAATTAAGAAGGAGAAAATTTAGAACTGTACAGATCAAAAAAAACAAAAGATAGCAAACACACACCCCGAAAAAATCAGAGGTGACACAGCTCCTACTAACAGAGCAGAAGCTCACACACACCCTTGTTCTGCTAACTAGCTGATCCCTATGGATATGGGGCTTCTTGCTTCAATTTCGCACAGCAGACCGGCCGCTTTCCAAGCTTCCCATTCTTCCACAATTGTGGCACAAAGATGGCCCGCTGAGGTTGCTCTTCCATCAAACACTCTAGCATTATTACGTTCCTTCCATATGAGGCATGTCACAAGGATCACCCCGGCGTCAAATGTCTTTCTGTCTTGCTTGCGCACTGATTTTCGGACCGAACACCACCAAGAGGAAAGATCTTCTACCGGCACCGACAGGGGCGGATCTACCCATTAGGCATGGTGGGTCGACCATCCCAGCTATGACTCATATCGCCCCACACCCCCAAGACCCTCCCCACCCCCTTATAATAGTTATAGGCCATCAAAATTATGTATAATAAGGTTTGGACGTCTGTCTCTTCACAATGCATGCACGCCATAAACAATGATCAAGATAATTATACGATTGATATATAAATATGATATGTGTTATGTTCGATTGCTTATCGAGTAAACATCTTCATTCTTCGTCCCATCTATATTTTAAAACTGCGTCCGCCACTGGGCACCGAACAGGAAAGGCTAAGCCGATCTCGAATCCTTGTCCAAACCTGCTTTGTGAAGGGACAATCATGGAAGATGTGGGAGCAGGACTCGCCGTCGTTTGCACAAAGGTGACAGATCGAGGCCATTTGCCAACCCCGGCGCTGGAGGTTGTCGGTAGTTAAACATGCACCACGCATCGAAGCTATCCCGTTTTACATGCTGCTAATTAGGAGTAATATGCTTCTCCAAATTGAAGGTTCAAACGGCTAGCACTATAAATCTGAAGCAAGTCGTTCGTAGCAACGCTAATATGCATGCATATTAAAAGTCGGAAGGAATAATTGGCATGGATCTATCGCTAATGATCGATCCATCGTTTAATCTGACGCTCACGGAAGCAAGCTACTCCTACTAACCCATAAAAAAATAATATAGTAATGTACCCCCTCCATCCTAAAATATTTGACGCCGTTGACCTTTTTAAAAATGTTTGACCGTTCGTCTTATTAAAAAAATTAAGTAATTATTAATTCTTTTCCCTTCATTTGATTTATTGTTAAATATATTTTTATGTATACATATAGTTTTACATATTTCACAAAGTTTTTGAATAAAATGAATGGTCAAATATGTTTAAAAAAATCAACGGTGTCAAACATTTAGGAAGTATATGATATATTCTACTACTACAAATCTAGATATATTTTTGATTTTTTTTGTCTATATTTATGTAATAGAATGTGTCACGTCTAATCGTATATTTGTTTTATGTGGAACAGAGGAAGTAGCTAGGTCACTCGCATGCACCATTTCTATAATCAACATTCAACAAGGACCTAGGAAGACAGTCCTGTAGCCATCGACGGACGATACATGGATGGATGCATCAGGCCAGCTAGCGATCGATCGATCTGGCGTCAGCGTATATGACTCTGACCTACTACTAAGTAGCAGAAAGACCTAGTAGTATTCGTAGCTGGCTGTCCAGTTCACACATACGAGATCAACTGATGATTGATCGATTAACACGTGTACAACCATGCATGCATGCTTGGCGATAGATGAATGATCATGCATGCATCAGGTCGTCACTCGTAATCTCTGGTCATCTTTCGACCACAAATATAATAATTTCTAAGTTATTTATAAGAGGTTATGTTTAAGAAAAAAATAATTTGTTGTCCTTGATGGTTTGTGATTAAATTATGGTTGGAGGAAATTAAAACGAGAGGTGACTGTCAGGGGCGGCTCTACCTTGGTCCATGGGGATTAGGGCCTTAGGGCCCGATGGAGGCTCGAGCTTTCATTATTGACGCGAGAACCATATAAGCCTCTATTTTTCTTTGCCATATATAAGATAGAAAAGGGTTATAATTTTGTCTAGTTTGTTTACACCTAGCCCAGCTGCTATTTCTTTATGGATCTCTGTCACTTGTGACTATTAAAATTAACAAACAACATCATAGAAATGCTTATGATTCATAAAATTTTAAAACTTAAAACGTTTATATTTATAGATAAAGAGAGTAGCACATGCTGTATATGTGGTGCGCGTGCAGTGTGTCCACATGCATGCATGAGCATGACGGCAACACGGCATGCATGCAACGCATACAGGCAGGCAGCTTAATTGGTCGACGGATGGTCAATGGATGGATCGATGGAACCATCCAGCACAAGTGCCCTCGCGTCCAAGTTACTCCAATTTGTCATTACTAGTATCACGTACACGGTCCAATCGATTGATTCTTGTCAACTCGATCGATCGATCGATCTCATGGGCCAAGCTATCTATCTATTCTAGTATTAGTCTTCCAAAACATAATGAATCATTGATTGATTGATTGATTGGTCGATGCCTCCATGGATCATACTAGTATACTTCTTTCTTAAAAAAAAAAACTAGACCTATTACTTTTATCGTCAAGATTAAAAAGAAATTAACTTATTTTATACGTGACAAAAATTAAAGAGTATATATATCAAGATGACTCATCGAGTTCTGGTCTCAAATATTTGATT